ACCATCTGCCACACACACACCCACATTTCCTTTCGCCCGCCGTCCCCCAGCTTATCCAACCCCCCCCCCCCCCCCCCCCCCCCCAAAAAAAAATCATCTACCAACTTCCCAGCTTGCCATATTTCTTCAGAAAGCACCATCTGATTACTTGACAAGATGCAGTCACCCACAGAGTCTGACGATACCCACCTCAACCCTAACACCCCTCCTCAGATTGAGGATTTCTGTATCACCTCTTCACTAGCGGATCTTCAAACTGACGAACATCGACGAGCTCTTGATATTATTGCTGAGGTTCAAAAGTGCTTGCCTGAAAGCATATTATCTCTCCCACAGCTCGTTGTGTGTGGCGACCAGTCTTCGGGGAAGAGCTCTATCCTCGAGGCTCTCACTGGAATCCCATTCCCCCGGAATGATAATCTCTGTACCCGGTTTGCCACAGAGATCAGTTTCCGACGAAGCACCACCAACAAGCTGACTATCAGAGTCATTCCTGATGATTCTCGTCCCCATAGTGAGAAGGAGACCATCAAGGGCTTCTTTGAATTCATTGCGGATTTTACTAATCTGCCTCGTATCATGGATTTGGCAATGGCTACTATGGGAATTGCGACTAGCGTTGGAACAGATCCATCAGTACAACCTCGAGCGTTCGCAAGGGATACATTAAGCATTGAGATTGAGGGCCCATCCCGCCCACAGCTTACTCTCGTTGATATTCCTGGGCTTATCCACACATCTACCAAAGGGATCAGCGACGCAGACGTAGCCCTTGTTGCTGAAATTACCGATCGATACATATCCCAACCGCGCACGATCTGCCTTGCAGTGGTGTCTGCTTCCAATGATGCGGAAAACCAGACCATCTTGACGAAAGTTCAAGAAGTAGATCCTGAAGGAAACCGAACACTCGGTATTATCACGAAACCGGACATTCCTCCTGCCGGTTCCGGATCGCAGAGCGCATTCATAGAACTTGCTCGCAACAAGGATGTATTCTTCAAACTCGGTTGGCATGTACTCAAGAACCGTAAGTTTGAAGAAAGCACTCACTCTCTCGCTGAGAGAAACTTAGCGGAGATGAGATTCTTCCGAGAATCCAATTTCAACTGCCTCCCAAAGGAACATGTCGGAATCGACACTCTGAGGACTCGCCTGAGCGTGCTTCTTTTCGAGCATGTCAAGCATGAATTTCCAAGGTTCGGACGGGATCTCCGGTTCGCCTTACGCGATGCGCAAGACGAGCGAAATCGTCTCGGCGCCGCTCGATCTACGCCTGTGGAGTGTAGAGCCTATCTATCTAGATTGAGCATGGGTTATTACGAGCTCTGCAAGGCGGCCGTGAATGGGAACTATGAGGGCAGCTTTTTCCATTTTGGCTCTAATGAGGAGTTCTCTTGGAACTCTAAGGGCTCAATTGCAAGACTTAGGGCAATGGTACAGGACCTCAACGCAGAGTTTACACGTGACCTCCAGCAATGGGGGCATAAGTTTGATATCAAGTCATTAGAGGATGACGAGGTCGAACCTGTTACCAGTGATCCTGACCCTAACCCTATCCCGCTATCGAGAAAAAATGCGCTCGAGTGGGCCCGCAAGGTTCTTGTTCGCACACGGGGAAAGGAGCTGGTCGGGAGCCTCAACCCACTCCTCGTTGCCGAACTGTTCTGGGAGCAATCCAGTGGTTGGAAAAAGCTTGCATCGGATCATATTGGAGACGTTTTGCTCTTGTGTGAGAAATTCCTTAGTCTCCTCTTAAAGGAGAAGGCACCCAAAGAAGTCCGGACTAGATTGTGGTCCTCGCGGATTTCGGATGCTTTGAAGGACCGCAAACGAGCTGCCTTCCGTGAACTTAAATTGATTATGGAAGACAATAGATCAGCTCCAATCAACTATAATCGCAATTACACGGTCGTAGTCTTGCGGCGCCGCCACGAGAGACAGAAGAAACTCCTTGCCCAGGCGGTAGAAGCAGGCATAGAGCATCGAGTGTGCTCGCAGTGCAAGAGTTCGAGTGATTCTTCTGACACGATCAATATTGATGAAGTTGCTCGTATCTCCGAGACTTTCAACTGTGAAGAAGCGCTGGACTGCTTACTCGCAATTTACGATGTAAGCTGTTGAAACCCATCTTCAAATACTCTCATTAGCTAATCCGAATATCGTAAACACAGGAGCTTCAAACAACTTTCGCCGCCAATATAACCACTCAGGTTATTGAGCGCCATGTTGTCCGAGGCCTTGAGGATATCTTTTCGCCCCTCGTCGTTAACAACATGTCGGATGTTGAAGTCAAGACTATCGCGTCCGAGCCTCTCCCCACCAAGAACCTCAGAGACTTCCTCGAGGATCGGATCAAGAAGTTGAAGGATGGACTGAACACATTCAGAGCCATGATGGTGGAAGACTTCGAAGAGACGGACACATTTTTGTGACCTGGCCCTAGGTTATCGTGAAGGTGACAATGGGGAAAGGGATGTTATGTCCAAGGGCTATCTGCCATTTCAGACGGAGATTATGTTCAGTAATTGGTGCAGAGATGGAAATGGAAAGACGCTTTAGACAAATTAGATGACTACCTATGGCTCGTATGTTCGGCGCATCTGGTGGAGGAGAAATCATCACAGCCTTCGCGCTGGAACGGTTGGGAAAGACATTGAATAATTTCTTGCAGCACACGAACCGCAGATGACTAGCGTTGCTTGATAGACATCATCTGCCAAGGCCAAGTAGATAAGAACACGTGAAGTATAAAACTTGGTGGCCTTTGTAAGGAACCTGAAGTCGTACTTTAGTGAGAGGCTTGACAAATAGTATCTTGATGCGATGCCATACCCGAAGCTCAATGAAGCTAGCTCAGCCGAGGTGAAGGGAAACTAACTGCTCAGACTCACCCTTCCACCCTCACTCATGAATGCACGATAACCTCATTGCCTATCGCAGATGGCTGCAGTTTCTGTGCAAGCCAGGTCGTTCTCGAAAGCAAATATCGACATGTAACGTAAGTGCCTTTTGTAATGGTCAAGCCATTAGTGACCTTGTGGTCTTCCTTAAAAATCCTCCTTATCCTCAACACCGTTAGCGGAGGCATCTGCTAGGACTCTCATGGTACACTACCGAGTTTGTGTAGCCTGTCATAAGAGCATTCAGTCCGTTCACTCCAATTTATGGTAACCTGAGTACCCCTATCCCTAAATCCTTTCAGTAAACTGCCCACTATTAATAATGTCGTATAATATGTCGACCATCTATAGAAGCATGGTGTGAACCGAGGTAAGCGATAGGCGAACCTCAATAAGCGCAAGTCCTACCTATGGATCCATGGATATACGACAAGCTTGAGAATTTTAACGGCATACCACGTCACGATGAGTTGCCTTTAGGGGTATGATTAAACACTCACCGCTTGAGTTCACAACCTACAGGGTGGTGTCGATTTTGTACACCATGGGCAGCTTTATAGGGTTGCTACTACTGGCCTCCGCTACTGGTATGGTGCACAGTCATTGTTAGTGTGACGGTTAAGACGTATCCAGTCGCCCTAATCCTTGACGATGCCAGGGCTTGGTGTTCTGCATGGTGTAGGTGCGACGTTTTGGAGAAGACAAGAAAATGGGGTAAGACCCTTGTAGGCCATCCGCAGCCAACAGCCTCCCAAGGCTACAAACGATTGGATGGGCAAGATCATGAGAACAACGCTGTTATATGCAATTGGAACTAACAGTTAGGGTCTTGATGCCTAACAAGGAGGAGGACCCAATATTGTATGAGCATAAATAGCCCAAGGAATTCAATCCCCTTGAAGAGAGAAGAAAAGACCAAGGACCTAGAGACCCCTAGTTGATTATTAGACTGAATATGACTAAGTTTCAAGCCCTCTAAAAGAGCCCTTGTCACAGCATCTGACGTGAGACACATCCAGCAGCGGTCATCTGGTGAGTGGATACAACTATGCATTCCCACGACCTGCCGAGATGTCCGAGCTTCCTGCTAATACATAATAACAGGTTCAAACTTTCATCAACATTACTTGCTTCAAACAACTTTGCCCTCAGCTCTTCGTGAGTCTCATCCGGCAGATAGGGCAACGCATCACATTTGATTCCATCAGTCATGGCATCAAAGGACGACTATGTCTTGACTCGAGACATCTTCGACAACACCAGGTTTGTGACTTCTTGAGTTGAGACTCAATGGAGATGGAACTGCCAATTAGCATCTCGCTTACGCTGATAACAGGCTTAACTTGATACACCACCTGTGGACGAGGAGCTCTGGATATGTAATTCACCCTGCGATCCCTATCAAGGACACCGATCTTCGAGTCGCAGATATCGGTGCAGGTACCGGGTACGTTAACCAAGTGAGGCCGTACGGAATTTAGACCTATCACTCATTCCACGTTGAAGAGTCTGGCTATGCGATGTGAGCGAGAGACTACCGAAGACCGCCCAGCTCTATGGGTTGGATATTTCCTTCGATGCAATGCCACCGCTAGAGATTCTGCCACCTAACATCTCTCTTCGGATTTGGGACATACGAACGCCAGTCCATGAAGAACTCGTTGAGTTTTTTGATATCATCCATATACGCTTCTTCATCTTTGTGCTGCGGGAAAATGAAGTTTCATCTGCGGTGGCTAAACTAATGAAAATGTTGAGTATGTTACCCTACAGAAAACTCTTTTTGTTTAGGGCCATGTCTTCCGCTTATGTATTAAATTACGTCAAAATCATTCTCTGGCCGTTCGGAATTAATTTGATATCGCCATGACAAAATAAGAGCTGAATCAGTATAAAGGGGCATTCAGATAGCTAACCACATTAGTACAGAACCTGGCGGGTACCTTCAATGGGTTGACTCCGAACACACGAGCCTACGTTTTGAGAAAACCAAACCTGAGAACAGCACAGAGAATATGAGTCAGCTTATGAGCTTACTTGAGTCCCAAAACACCCGACTTGAACCAACTTGGGTTCCTGCATTACCGAAAATCTTCACTGAGAATGGCCTAGTTGGTGTAGAGCTAGATAAACAAAGCACTCCGCGCCACCATGCGTACATGATGCACGAAAGTGGCTTGATGATTCATGAGCTTATCGCACGCAAGACCAAGAATGAAGAGATGGCGAAAGAGATCAAACAGCTGTTACCTCTTGCAATTGATGAAACGCGGAAAGGGGCTTATTTGACGACTGATCGCTATACCGTTATCGGCAAGAAACCTGAATAACTGACGGATTATTCAAAAGCCGCAGCCGTGAGGAAAGCTATTATGGGTTTAACTGCATCCTAATAGCTAATAAATGAAGCCACTTCAAAATCTTCGTGCCTAGGCTTGGCTATATACCAAGTCTACCAGTTATAATCCTCTAGTGGTAGTCCCGTGAATACGTAGAAGTTACCCAGAATATCTAATTATGTCTAAAGAAAGGAAAGAAGAGGAAGAAGAAGAAAAGGCTTCGCAGATTTAAGCTTAATCATGGTCAGAGGTAGGGCTACGTCGCAACCTCTGGCGCCGGTAGAGTATGAAAGACGCGGGCTTTTCGTTAAGCTTATCGTCCAGGGAGGAGAACAGAGTCCAGTCTGCTTATATAACTAGGTATGGAGAGAGCGTGGCCAATTTACTTCTTAATACCCACTCTTCACTCTCCTCGAAGGCGGAATTCGCCTCAAGACTAGCTGGTGTTTATCATGCATTAAAGATTCAAGGGTGCCTGGCGAGTCTTGCTAAAGAGGATAAAGAAATCATTGTGCCTCCTATAGCACTCATACCGCAACTCGATTGCCTTGGCCCCGATGTTCCCGATTCTCGACAGTCTCAAGCCTTCGCATTCCCCTTGCATCATATCGACCTTGCCTTGGCACTCAAAGCAAGCTAATATCAATGTTGAACCTTCCAGCGATGAGTCCACCTGGCTGCTCTAGATATCTCTGCCTGTAGCGACTCTTGCCATTGATAACAAATAGAAAGAGATCAAGATGCATGCGGTTGCTGCACCCTACTTTAGCGAAGAGATTCTGTTGCGCTTTTTGGCACAATTGGTCAACGATTCAAAGCTTGTAGAGCTCAACTTATAAGCTTGGAGAAGACCGTGAGTTGCCCCTCTACTTATTACCTCTCTATCTGCCATTTGGTTGACCTTGGAGGCATCGTAACTAGGGATTGTTGAAAATCATTAATTGAATTCGTAATAAGTATTCGCGGTCGCGTTGACACCACGCTTCGTACTCTCTACCTCTGCACCTGAGTGTCGTTTGGCTGCTCCCCGCTAAGCGGACACCAAATCACACGAGTTTGGGACTTTCGTGACGTCTGGAGTACAGCGCCAGAACAAGCTGAAAGAAGGAGGGAGAGACTACTTCAGAACATGGCTTATTGTTATGGATGGTTCGAGATGCGTCGAACACCTTCGAAGGAGACCCTCTGTGCTAATACGTTGTGCTGCTCGGTTGTAACAGCATCCATCTTCAGCTACATGCTAGCTGATTTAGCGGCACATCAGGATGTTCTGAAAGCGGTAAGAACCGAGATTCGCATTAGACATGCAGCAATTGGCCGATGTTGGGATATGGCTGCGCCGAGCAACTTGGATGACCTAGAGTCATCCACGAATGAGGCAGCGCGTTCGCTTCCAGTCCTTAAGATGCCTGGGCACGAGCATACGACGGACCCCGCGCCGTTCGAAACCCCCGATTCCGGGCAAGCTTGGAGATCACCGCGCTAAGGCTTGCCGGACTGGTGATACGGACATCTTTACCTGGGGTGCTGGGAGAGCGGCGTGTTGTGATCATTTCACTGCGGACGTTGCCGCTAGGACCCTTTCCATTGGGCTTCCTGATGAATACGACTTCGCTCTGGTAGCTGGCAAGCCACTAGAGCACAGTAGGTACTATAATTATTACTTCGTCTACTTCAACCTTACAAATAAGCCTTAGACAGGATTTGGCAGACATTGGGTTCTAAAAATCTTTGGGCTCAGTAGAAGACGACTTGACGATGTTGGCTTCAATAAAGATGCAAAATTTGACTAGTAGCATTCTGCTGTAGTGATAAGCGCGTAAAGCAGCCAGGCGCTTACCATTCGGTGACTAATATGGGACGAATCTCAAGCAGCCAGTCTCCTCAGTCGCCAGCATGGCTCCTAACACACTCATTACGAATACAATGGCCATTGAGCGAAATCTTCCCCGATTAGTATCTGTTTCGGTGGCTTAGGTACCTGAGCTGTTCTCCCTTCCATTCCCCAATCAATGTGTCAGTCACCGTCTGAGACAAACATGTTCCATCTTTCGTGAATGATAAAAGACACTTACATAGAACACCTATTGTGTCATATGCAATCTAGCATTCTTACCTATCCTACTACTTACTATGACTATTTAGTCCTATATTGCAAATCTTATAATCACGCGACGTTCGTACGAGGTGATCTGCTGTACTCATGTGTCATGTTCCTCGACAACCATCTGCGTCTCCGTTGCTGAATTGAATCCTCAACTAGTTAACATTCAGTTTTTTCAGTATCAGCTTTTAGATAGCAGAATACTATTCTATATGTGTGTAAACTGTTCTTACTATGGCAAAGGCTTATGCAAGGGCTGATCGTGGTACCCACCAGCTGGGTGTGATACTTCAGTTGATCTGCATACTCTGCAGGCATATTGTTCACTAAGATCAGCACAAAGCCCGAGACTCGAGCTCAGTCTTTTCAGCCAGCCAAAGGCCCTTGGCTTCAGCAAAAAAACGATCATATCTTACAGATTCGAAAATTGTATTGGTTGAATATATCATTGACTACGTGTTCTAGGTTGCGACATCGGTAGTACACCGCCTCAAGCCTCCCCCCCTTTGACGCGTTTTGGCGTCCGGACACTGCAATTCTTTGATTGATCGACTTGCCACTTCTCTGTGTCTCAAAACATATGTGTCATAGGTAGCTAGTTTTTGGGTCGGTACTCTCACCTTACCATCTGAGTAAGGGGTAAGAAACTGCAAGGTATATGTAGCTAGCGAATCCTATCAGGCTGAGACCGCCATGAGACTGGTTGAGAGGAAAAGGCAGTACATGCCTCGATGGATAATGTGGAAGACCAACCCAAAGTAACAAATGAGTACTAAGTACTCAAATAAGCACGCATACTCTTGATCGGAGGTCTGGTATTGTCTATAGACTATCTCAGTTGTGTTATTATCCCCTCAATTTTATCAAGCCTGTGGAGGTGTCGTGGAAATCTAGATATCAGCCTTGCTGCGGGATACCAAATGGACACTTGCTACTGCACTGTTGCCATTGTCTGCTATCCATAGTAGTTGATCTTGGCTATAAACTTTAGCGCTCAGCAGCCCGATTCACCACCAAGTACCATCTTGGCTGCTTCTTAGTACAGATGCGGGCGAGGGCCTCTAGATCTTCGTCATACCTGCAGGCAAGGCAATAGTCATAGGTGGGGAGGGGGAAATGGGTAAACCACGCGTGACCTAACATGTAGTGGGTTCTCTGTTGCTTGATCTCTTGGTAACTAGTCTCCGATCGTGATGGTGCAGGGAACTCTATACAATGGTTTTTGGTGTATGGACGGCTACATGTCCCGAGCGTCGACCCCGAAGGTCCACATATGTACCTTACCGGTAGTCATATATAGATTCCCTCGACGCTTACTTGCGAGGGCATATCTATATAAAGGACAGTCTTCTCATCTTTCCATACCATACATATCTGTCATCTCTCAGAGTTAACCAAGAACGAATCGCCTCATGCTCCTTCGCTTGCACCATTGTCTTCAAGTTCAATATCACACTACAAAATCCAAGGTAACTTATCCCTACATCTTTCCGAAACCCAACTACCATCTAACAGTTTTCATACAGATGTCTCAAGCAACTGGCCGCATTGTTTGTACCGATGGTGGTCATAAAATTACTGCAATCTTCATGATCGATGGCGTTCAACGCCAATTCATCGGCCAGCTCAACGGCGCTACAAGAGAATTCACGTCCATGAATGCTACTATTCAGTACGGCGATTTAAACCAGTTATTGGGCCAACACACATTTAATGGGCTTCTTGGGCCCGTCCACATCACTCTCCATTTCGAAAACTCTACCACGATCTCTGGTTCTCTCGATGTCCCCGTGGAGCCAGTATCACAAATTGTTGGAACCGGCAATTGGGTAGTAACCATGTAATAGCTTAGTCTAACATGCTCTGCCGCGATCTGATTGAAGTACGGCACTTCGTCCATATGTCCAGCTGTGAGACCAAATCTTGGAGTAAATTTCAACATTTCTTTTGGGAGATTGTAGTGGGCATGAAGAAACTATACGAGGTATGCGGCACAGAATATGGGACGCAGAGGGGGTTTCTTATGGCTGTGTTCAACAACAGGCCAACTTCAGCATTAGCTAGATGAATGATTGTTCATGTCTTGCTTCAGTTAGTTTCTGAATGATATAACCGATGATGACTTCTCAGTTCCATGCGCAATCAGTCCCGTGCAAAAAGCACCCACTTGAAACGGTATAAGCGCATAGATAGCCATAGGTCTATAAATCATATGAACGATGAATAGAAAAGCCTAAGAGACTTACTGGCTTTTCACCATCAAGCTTCACACATTATACCAAGTTGTTTCATATCAAAATTGGAAGTTGAGGGTTGGATCCAGCTGACAATAATTGAATTTGATGCACAAAGTCTAATAAATTTCCACTGAAGGAATTATCTCGATGTCTATAATAACGCACGAGCTACTTCTATGTTCGGCGGGCGAATTGAGGAATGTATTAGAGCACCCGGAACGGACGCGGCCAGTGGCTTGCACGACGTGCCGGTAGTTGCTCCGCTCACCTGTCAGCATACTTGAATTTTCAGCTGAGATAGACAATCAGGAAGTTTTCTGGCCGTCGGCTGGGGTTTCTATGTTATGATGTGAGGTCGACATTAAGGAGAATGAGTGCGCCGATATCGGGCGTGGTTGTAATCTCATTTTTCAGTAAGGGAGTGTGCATGATGGTTAGTTAGGCTTTGGTACAATGCAGCTGCAGTCCTCGGCAGAGCTGCTAGCACGAGGTGGCTCGCTGTCATGAGACAATCTGGTATGAGACATATATGAGGGTAGCTACATACGTGTCCGGTTTTGCCAGGTACTATCCGCATTCGAATCTCATGTATCTACCATTAAATAACGGTAATGTTAACGGCCGCTCGAAACGCCACCTAATCTTCACGCCATCGGGGGGACCAGATAGGCTCTTGTGGTTGTCATTAACCTCACCGTCGTAACGATACGCTATCACCAAGGTCATCTTTTCTGCAATTTTCATTTCCATCCTCTCCGCTTCATATGTTCATTCACGGGCATAGTAAGATTTCATCGGTCGTGTTCCTCGTGTACTCCGCCCTTACTTCATCCTTATGCGTCACTCTAGTCATATGACCCCGCTTAAGAACCCAGTGTGACTAGTAATACTTCCTGACTGCACCCTCGCAGTTGACTCAAGAATCGCATGTCCTTTATTCGACTGATCAAGGCGTGCTTCTACTCTTCTCACAATACCAACTGCTGCGCACTATAATTGTACTTGTTTGCCATCTAGCCACATAAACAGTTCGAAACAATATAGTACCGACAGCTATTGTATGACTCTTGATCACCTGCATATGATTCCTTCATGCAAGATAAGATCAAGGCCAAGGACCATCGCTTGGCAATACTCAGTAGTTGTGAAATATCTATCTAAGATCTCATGGATCTTCCCTCTCAATTGCCTACTATATCAGGTGAGGGTGTTGTCAGTGATGCATATCAATATGGATATTACCATCATATTCTCAATTGAAGAGACACCTCTCTTTTAAACTAGGTAAGTAGTTTATAGTATTTCTTTATGATCTATATTTGTTGGTAAGAGTATAAAACACATAGCTTAATTTTATTCGTGTTTCGATTCTCTACCGTACCCGTCGACACAATACTTCTAACATACGGTCCGTGAAATTAAGGCTTGAAATAAAAGCGTTTAGAATACAACTTCAAGTTTTCATATGTCTCATACAGGGGGTCTTTGTAAGATTTGTGCCTGTAGTCGTAGGAAAACTATATGTCGGTCGTACGCGCGTGTAACAGGTTCATTAGCTATATAGCTACTTGTATCCGAAGGGACCCAATCCCACGGGATTGGTACAGAAAATCACGGATGTGCCCTGTTTCATTGCAGATGTTAGTCACCGTTTCTTGTGTGCCAGCCTTAGCAATGTGAAAATGGCCTGTTAGAAACAAATCCAAATGAACTAGGAAATACATAATCAGGATATTTCCGAACACCTGCAATCCTGACCTTCAAGACTCTCGCAACAATGAAATCTTCACTGTATACACATACGCAGACACTTACAATTAGGGGCCGAACACAACAGGCGGCGACTTTCCCGACCACAGCACATTGATTCTGAAAATCTATGGCACTTGTTATACGCATGACAGCTATACAACTGGTCAGCTTGAAGTTCTTTTACGCAAACGTGAATGCAGAGGCTATTCCCACGGGTTGTACAACTGCCCATCATCGCCATTGGTCAGTTACTGTCTAAAAGTACGTAATGATTGTTGAAGGATTGTTAGGGTGTTGAGAATGAACTTAGATTTAAGAGCATACTCTATCCAGTCGCCGAGTAGACCCTTGGAACAGCAATTGGGGGTATCGTATAGGCCATCTGGACACGGGACATAACTTTGACTGTATGACTGAGATGGCAATGCCCAAATAACACCAAGGTGCGCGATTGTCATTGTTAGGAGGAACTTCATTTTGGCAGCTGGGACAGAGGCACTTTGCACGAGCTAACAATCACATAACTAAGTCAGGTGGTTCCAAGGGAGCGCAGCAACCTATATATACACATAAGAAGATGATGGATTCTGAACAGGTTAGTGCCGTCTATCTAGAAACTGGGGTTTCGTGCGTGTAGCTGAGCCTTGGCAAGCCTCTATCACGCGTTTTCGTACAGCGAACACTCCTAAAACTTGGAATATCATCTTACATGCATTTCTTGTCCAAAACCTATACAGCTTTGGAAAAGCGCATCGAAGTGTTATATATCATTCATTGCCAGTCTAGACACACGATTCCCCATGATGTTAACTCAGCTCACTCGACATGATAATATCTTTTGAGAGCTGCGCGAGTCGCATCATTGCCAAGATAGAGTTTCCTGTATTACGGTATTGAATACTAGGTTCTTGAACTTTAGAAATGCCCCTTCAATAATGTTGCAAGATGATTTTTGCTGATTAATTGTCTGCGATGCATTAATGCCTTTACTAACGTTGGTTCATTTGGTTACAGCGGGTCAACACCCCGCCGGGACGCTATCCCTCCGGTACACTGATGAGCTTCTATTCAATTCAGTACTGTATCATATATCTGCTGAATTTTGTCGCATTGAATTATAATTCTGGGTGGTAATTTGCGTTGCGCGTACTTGGAGTCCTTGGTAGACAATGCCCCTCCGACTCTACCCCGCGGTCCCGGCCGACGCCGGCCGTATTTCTGAAATACACATGGCAGCCTTCGCTGATAATGCCATGCTCCTTGCCCAGTTTCCCACACCTGAAGTGCGTGCGGGGCTAAAGGAGAGCATACGGATGAAAGCCCTTGCGGATATTAGCGACGCGAGAGTTTCCGTGCTTGTTGTCCGGGAACTTTTATCCGATCCAGGCTCATCGAATACGACAGGCGCAGAAGGTGATGGCAATCAATGCCCTGGGGTCGTTGGAGAGGGGGAAATGGAGGAGAGTGCACCACAAAGAATCATTGCTTTTGCTAAGTGGTCGCATCCCGTGAGCGAACATGAGGATTACGAAGAGCCGGCTTGGGTATGGCCCGCGGGAACGAACATGAAGATCCTGAACAGTTGGGTTAAGGCCGCCGAGGAGAGCCAGGATGAAGTGGTCGGTGATCGCCCATGTTATCGTAAGTTCGGCTTCACTGGGCCATTGGACCATTGACCAGTAATTCTATTGCGCGAGACTCTCAGAATACTTATGCTTAGCAATAGGTCTTACCTTCATGGGAACAGACCCAGCGTATGAACGGAGGGGAGCCGCTTCGATGATGGTCAACTGGGGGTTAGAACAATGCAACAAGGGCGGTGTTCCAGGCTATTTGGAGAGCACATTAGAGGCTGCACCGTTTTATGAGAAGATGGGCTTCGCGGCTTCTGGGAAGATTTCGATGAGATACCTAATCGAGGGCCAGGAACAGTCTGCGATATATGAGGAGATTGCATTTGTCTATCGCCCAGGTTCATCATAGAAAGCGATGACTGAGCACAATAACCGCAGTGCTACTGCACACGGCAATGCAATTCTCGTACCAATAAAGCCACTAAACGTGTCTCATCCTACTTTCGGCTACAGACAGGGGTCGATATCTTGGCCTTCACTGCTCAGGTCGGTTGAGGGGGATCTGGAATGACAGCATATGTTACGATCACAAGATGCGACAGTCTCCTGCTTCTAGTATTCTATCACCTCGACGGGAAAGGCTACTCTGCTGGAATTGATAACTTGAATCTTCCTCCATCGAGTTTTCGACTTCATTATGAGGCGACTTCGAAGGCCGTTGAAGTGAGGCAATAGTGAAGGCAGTCTATTGCCTGATATCTATAGTGCCCTTAACCATATGGATACCTGAAAACTGAAGCACAGTGATCATAACTGCACTTGATGGAACAATCAACTTTCGAAGTTACCTTCACAGGGTTAGGCTTAGGAGCATTACTTGCCATCGCCTTATTGCCATTAGTTCCTTGAGCTACCAGTGTATCCCAAGAGATGGAATGACTATGAGAGGCATGATGGCTGACAGTAACTGAAAGACGGAGTAGAAGATTGATTTTATTATTTATGAAAATCAAGGCCTCAGTCACGTTGGGGCTGTGTGGAATGATCAAGAATCACAGACCGTTGACCTTTTTATGCACAAGCGCTGTGTCGAATACTTATTAGAAGCGTTGGCTGAGTAGGTGGGTTTAGATATAATCACATCGCACTCTTACGTATAGAGACGTGACAAATCAGTAAACTAATCGATCAGATATAACTATCTTTAGGGAATGTTTCTCTGCTTGCGCTAGGACACGAATCTGCGCATATTGGTCATTCTGGTACCACACTCGCTTGATGGGACGTCAGGGTTAGAATAGACCATGATCCTAGATAGAATTACAAAACTGGCTAGAAATCTGGTCCAAACAAACAAGCGATGCTCACTCGATAAACTCATTTCTCAGGCTAAAGCAACGTCAGCACGTGAGCTATGCAATACCTACCAGGTATTGGATTGTGATGGTTCAATGCGTCGTACCTACTGGGGTGAGCTTAGCAAATCGGACTTGTTGAAAAAGAGTCAGATTTTCCAACTGTCACCCGCTTTCAGCTAGTCATTCATACCTGTTGTCCACAGCATACAAGGGTTGAAAAGAAGTTGATAATATAGGTATAATTGGGCATGAGGTCATCACCGAGCGTGTCATTGACTCAACGCCTCGATGACGCGGTGGTTAGCGCAATAGAATGGTTCTTCATGGCTAGCCGCGGTTCGGCCCGTTTGGATTAAGCAGGTCATGAAGCATTGAAGCAATATTATCTAACTTCTTCATGCCGGAAAACCTCGACAAGCGCATACTATGTACCCGCGAACTATGGGTCGCAGATACACGTGTGTGAGTTCCCCACATCTCATCTGAGCATGGATAAACCTGCGGGTATCGTATGGAAGGGGGTTTCCAAATTCCTGTTTGCCGACAGCTTGACAATAATGCGCCCACTTTCATACTACGCTAGTATGACGGAAAGCCTGCCGTTGCAGATCTAGTTGTTGGTTGCGGAGTTATTATGCATATCCCTGGTTATGAAATTCGTTACCTATTGGAACGGTTGGTTAGACTCGGATTCTCGGAAACGGCGTTTCAGAACCCGTTCAATTGGACACTGGGCCTTTTACCTGAGTTTGAACTTCATATCATAGGTGTCTGGATGTTAGCATGCTAGACCACTGGCTGGAAAATGAGGACGAAAGAAGATATCCAAAGTCCCTACCAGTATGTAGTCCTAAAGAGTTGTTTTGAATTTGGAATACATATAACAACAAGGTTCTACTGCCGTATATGTAGGATTACGGCAGCGCTTAAACCAAGCTGGTTACGGGTTTCGGTACAGGATTGAAGACGTACAGTATGGGATCATACTACGTTAGGCTTAGGTTCATCTCGTGATTAGCAAATTCAATATTCAAGAGCTTGGAGCAAGGACTTTCAATGGCGTTGCACCATGCATCTACGGTACTACTCGTGAATACCACTGTTCTGTGCAGGGGTAATCCATTGCGAGTCCTTATCATGATAATGAGCAATTGAAGACTAGGCAAGTAGTTCCGAGTTGTTATTGGCTGAGGTGACTGACTGCTAGATTCCCCGTAGCCGATTCCTACTCGACTGCGCATGATAAGTATGAATCCAATCTATTGCTACCCGATAGTCCGGGGCTAGTGCAATCTCACTCCTCTACACGTACATAAGTTGGAATGGTCTGATTATTATCATTTCTAAGAGCTAGACGATGCATAGCCGATGCAAATTCAAATTGGTTCAAGGCTAAATAGTTGACAATAAATTTCAGTTGTTAGTCATTAACCGGTAGTCTTCTGCAGCAACCATGTGGACCGGTGGTTACCGAACCCTGCATGATGGTGACGATGGTTCTAACGCCACTCTAGGGTCTTCTGTGGCTAGCGCCCGTTGTGCAATTCAAATTCTACTAACTGCCAACTGAAAGTTGTATCTGTTGTACAGAAAATCAAATCGTCTGTGGCATACGTCAAGAATGATATGAGAACCCCTGTCTCATAAGGTCATATCCCTTCAGGGTCTTCACTAATTCTTCCCTGTTTCATAATGCAGGGCGCAAGCCTGGGTTGGGGTCGCTCATTGGAGTGAGCTACCTACGTGCAGCAGGAAGAGGAATTAAGTCATCTACCTACTCTACGAAGACTGCACCACTTTAAGCCCAGACAACTCAGATTAAGACGCCGGGATCGTGAGGGCTGCTCGGGTCTTCGCTGTCCGTGGCCCCTAAAATCCAGCCGACATGTATTGGGAAAGGGCAGAAGTAGGAGTTATAGATACCTGATGCAATACCACAGCACTCGCATATAACAATGTGAGCTCATGCGGCCCCCTCCCGCAAAGCTAGCCAGCGCCCGATGTAGAGCCCCAGTCTTGGAGCCAATCATCCCCAGCCCGCCTATAATCCCTGTATTCGGGCAATAGATCCATTTGAAATAAGAACCTGGACAGTACCCTTGGCGGGCCCCTGGGTGAAGCCCATATATTATACATACTACCCTCATCAGCATTGAATTTACCTCCGACATTCTTATCAACATCTATTTCGTTTATCTATGAATTCTGCTCTTGAAAAAATCTAGAAGAATACCTCTAAACTCCTCCATGCTTGATATAATCTCATTCGGGATGGGGATTAAGACGTGGGCAGTGACGTCGAAGGTGCTGCAGAGGCTGAACCGTGGCCAATCAAAGGCAAGGGACTCAACGAACGATCAAACCCATAGCTTCATGGCAAGTACTGGCGACTTATCAGGGAGAGCTAGAGTGGCGGCGGCAGCGGCTCGACGAAAGGTAGAAAAACTTCCCCTCGCCGTCCAAATTCTCGACGACCCCAGCTCCGTCAACCATCAGCTAGACAGCCCTTTGTTCTCCAAGCTCCCCGCCGAGTTGCGAGAAATCATCTGGGACTATGCTCTCACGGGCTACGAAGATTTCGATGCTCTGTATCCTTTAGATAGGCCGTATGCGCGACCTGGACAGGCGGCTCCGTTACACATCGACCTTGACCTCTTGCTCACATGTCGCGCCATCTACCTCGAGGCCTTTCTGGTTCCTTTCCAGGTGAATCCTATGGTCGTGTTCGACGGACATCCAGATGTCGTGCCCCCAGAGAGCCCATTACAGTGCACTCCTTCAAACTTACGACTGTGCCGTAAGCTGCGGCCCTGGCAGTTTGCAAATGTCACATCAGTAGATATGAGTGTCCAACAATTCATGCTAGAAGGCGGTATGTTACATCAGTATTGGAAGCGTTTCGATAATACTATGAAGGCTAATACTCTTTGGTCATTGCAGGTGCGATTGAGCGAGCGTCTCGTCTATTGGGTAACAAGGGTCGTCATGCTGGCCATGAAGCGCGGGGCTTTACTCTCGCAGGATATGCATCATTTGCCCCGGCTAAGGAAATGAATACATCCACCGGTGACGCGTTACGGCGGTCTGGAGCTGCAGAGACTCGGGACACTCTAATTAGAAGCATTTTCATGGGGAAGAGGATTACACATCTTACATTACGCATGTCCCGTACAGACTGGTGGGCATGGACGTCCCCTCCTCATGACGGAGACCACAACCCACACGAAGCCTTACGACTTGAGCCTATGATCAACGTCACAGACCGGAACGAGACGTGCTCAGCAATGCTAAAGGGTTACGAGGCGCGCAAAGAGGGCAATCAACCCGACTTCGACTTGGACGAGTTCGAGAAGCAGGGCCGCTGGGGCATGCAATTTGCGGAATATTGGCCAGACTTACAGACCCTTGAATTAGCTCTTGAGACATACGCTGCGAAAGAAAATCAGCTAGATGAGGTGATAAAGTGTGCCAAGTTATGGACACTACCACTTGATAGTGCGAAACAGCTTGAGTGGGACGGCGAAGAGGCGTCCAGTGTACGTTGGCACGGTGCACACCGATACGGTTACGATGACGAACTCGGCATGTCTTGGCCCATTGAGCAGTCAGACTCCACCGGACCAAGTCGGCAAGATATTCCAATTGCCCAATGGCGTCCGATCGCCGACGATACGAACGACGCGGGCCCTGCGCAGGAATTTGTGATAAAGTCACTCACTTTTACTCGGCGACGGAGTGTCGATGTCACCAATTCTTTGGATAAATAAATAATCTTCATTGAGTCATCCAATCCCTGCGTAGACCAATGATCTACAGTGTACAAATAAGTGTTACGGGACTGAACCAGACATGTAACTGATGATGGGATACGAGTATGAACGCAAATGTACTGATAGCCTTCTTACATTAATGTTTGAATGATAATCTTGTGTTCTCACGTACCTATCGTCTGGGGATTTTCACAGATTGATTTGTAATTGGAAATGTGATCCGAAAATGATGTATACGGTCAGAATACGGCCTTTTCTAGCACATGTCCGTTGTCAGTCTACGTCACTATGGTCAGCTTACGCGATCGGCACTCGGACCCACGTGATAAGCGTGTCGAGCGAGCGCATTCTTTCTCCTCCGTGATGCTCTCCGTTGCAATCAACACTTCGTTTAGCCCTCTGTACTGCCACGCTCGTCCTACCAACATCAATGCCACATGGTGCCATTGACTCCAAACAGCAGCTCCTTTGCGAATATTTATTGGGGGCTATGCGGGTCCATCCTCCATCCTCACGAACCCCGCGTCGCAAGCGACGGGCATTTTACCGTCTTACGATGGGGTCAGCCGGGGGCTAGGCCCCATGACTTCACGTTGAGTCCTATGTAAACTCGGCGGATCAGCAAGGAAATGCATTACCTTTTGAAGACCCAAAAGCAGGCAAGTATCCACGATGGGAGGTCGATGGATGATATAGTAGCAATGTTTAATGTTGACGTAATCATGTGATCTCATGCGGACACGCTTAGCAAAGGCGCGTCGATTGAATTCTCTCGCTTCTCATTCACTTTCATATGTAATTTTGAGCAACTTGTGACAAGAAGATAAAAGAATGTGAGATCAGCACTAAGTCCATGTAGATCTGAGTATGTTAATGCGACTGAAATGCAACGCCTTCATGTGAGCTATTATCGACGCAATGTGAGACTTAAAAAAGAAATTCGTGGGAATCGACTCTGGGCAGATGTAAAACACCAGTTAATACACTTTCAAGAGCCTTGCTAGACACGCTAGCTTACCTGGTTGAATCACCGCAATGTGGTTGCAGATATCGTTTTGGTTTGTGGTGTCGCTGCCCTTTCGCATCAGACAGTTTCTTGAAACCCATAAGCCCAACGCCTTCTACCCGAATTTAGCCATCGGCTGTTGCATCATATAGTTTTCATTGCCCACTAGGACTTAGAAAGTCTACCTAGGCTAACAAATTGTCAGGAAATCTAATTATCAATGGGAAGAGACAAGCTTACGTCGCAGCATCTCCCCATTACCCGTAGTCTACCAATTTTGCCACATCAAATTGCTAGAAGTGGGTTATAATGATGTTTATAAGTGATATGAAACGCCATAAAGACGCAAGAGTACTGTTGAATATTTGAAGGTTCTACCCTTGTGTTAGTAGGAGGGGCTTGAGTCAAGTATAGCATGTGTATACGCTGTGACTCTGAGATGGTACGGGCAAGCGTAGTGTACAGAGGCAGGCTCGGCAGGCACCAACGAACTTGAATAAATCGACAGCAGGATAAGTACCAGATTGGACAACAAGCGGGCTTTACTCGAGACCCCAATCGCGGACTTGCCGCCTTTGCCACCGAACCTCTCGGTAAGCCTCTACGTTCAGTCGGGGCGGGTTTCACCCGGAGCACCAATAGTAAGAAGGGTCAGATAGAAGAGTATTGTTGAGGAACTGGAGAGTGATATCCGGCGCATCGCTGTAGGTTGGACTTGCTGCGCGCTACCTGTTGAAAGAAAGGCGCCCAGTTACCACTATGTCGAAGCTGCTCTATACAGCTTTTTGATGGCATTGCGACCAGGCACCTCTTCGGCAATGCGCTAGAGGAAGCACTATTAGTAAAGCAACTACCAGTGAAATCCATTGAGGCTGAACACCATAGCAGGTTTCAGGAGCCCATGAGTATGTGGGCGATTTTCAGAGCACAGAAATGCTCCCAGGACAGGAAGATAGCTGGTTTCCCGACACTTCTCCATTAAGCGAGGATTGCGGGGCTCACGATACTTGTGTTTCGCCCTCAGTTCCTCTCATGGAACAAAACTCCCAAAGTGGACTTCCTGGACTTCCTTAGACTTGCCTGGTGCGTGTAATTCGAAATCAGGGGTTCATAGGCGTAGATTGTACATATTGTATATCTGAAACGAAGGGCTGTCATATCACCGACAGTGTTTTCGCAGCCAACAGCATACACTAACTGGTCGTTAGGGGCCGCATCAGAATGAATCATACCTACTCATAATGCCACGATATCAAGCGGCGAGCCAAATGGGGCAATACTCGCCGTTCATTCAAACACCGCACGCTCGTACTTAAAGCTATAGTCTCCATGAAAAACCCCTGATAAAATTCATCATGCCGTTACTGATATGCGCATATTTCCTCGTCTTCAGGCGTTGAGTGTTTGCTGAACAGAGTAAGCCTAAAAGAAGTGCTTTCACGACATGGTTACGACCAACGATACTCCTCCTGTACGGGTCGCCAAACGAGTCTTCCCTACTGATCGGTCAAACAATATCACCACCACTCCATTATCGATTCCAGATGCAACAGTCGTGCGCTTCACTGACTGTGGCGCAATATGGTTTTACGACAAGACGGACGGGGTAAATGCGAATGATCCGGACACATTCGAGCGTCTTGAGTCAGGTTTGTCGCCCTACTAAAGACCCCACTAACGCCGCTGTAAGCCGACCACTAATTCAAAACGTAGCACTTTCGGAAACTCTGAGCGAGTACCCTCACTTCACCGGCCAGCTTCGATGGGCGACGAAAAAAGATGTCGAGGATTCTTGCAACCCCCGGCATTTTGGCCGGCCCGTAGTGATTTACAGGTCTGAGCATGACCCGGGCATGGAGTTGATTAGGGCGAAAGACGGTAGAGAACTCAGCGCCATCGTTCCTAGCATGTTAGAGCGCTCTACTTCGAAGAAGATATGGGATATTTCGAGCATTCGCCAAAGCGACTTTCTCCCAGACACTCGACTTGCATTCTCTAATATCACTGAATACGAAAATCTTCCAGTAGCAGCTGCCCAGCTTACCGCATTCAAAGTAAGTATTGAACATCTTCTTTCTCCCTCAAGAGGTGGTGCGTGCCTCTTCCTGCAGCGGTTTGACAGATCACTTCCTGGGGTATCATGACCTGACTAGTCGCAGTGCGGTGGCTTCGCCGTGGGCATCAGAATAACACATTGCCTTTCTGATGCAATATGTTTGCTCCATTTTATTCATACTTGGGCAGAGCGGTCGCGATGTCTCTATCATACCCAAACGATGGCGGAAACTTCCCCAGCGTTGAGTGCAGTATTTAATCCTGGATTGCTGGACGCGCATGCCAACCTCGACCCTCGAGCTACTGAGCCAGATACTGAGAGGCTGTCAAGAGCTTTAGGATTACCGATGCATCGCTTCGATTGGTGGGCGACTGACGCTCCGGGGTACCCATCTTGGGCCACGGCAACGACGAAGGCGACAATGCCTGCTGCAGCAGAACTAACACAGGTCCAGCTCAGCCCTTCGACCGTCCCTCCTTGGGCTACCTGGGATTCAAGTGCCGCTGTAGACAGTATGCAGATACGGTTCAGCAGAGCCGAGGTGGAAAGAATGAAACTCGCGGCGATGGAAAGCTTACCGAATGGTTTCAAGGGCCAAGCAGTTTCTCGACAGGACGCACTCCTCGCGCATCTATGGATCTTGGTGAATCGAGCCCGCCAACTGGAGAACCTGCCCGAGCAGGTCTATTTGGATATATCCTTGGGAATGCGTAATCGCGTTTCGCCGCCTTTGCCGGACACCTTCGTTGGCTCTCCCATTTTGCTAGCTTACACGAACAAGACAGGGGCCGAGACAGCTGCCTCAACCATTGGCGCCGCTGCCGCTGCTATTAGGCAGACCGTATCTCAGTTTACTTCTCAGGCAATCTCCGATCATTTATATGCCAGTGCCCACGAAATCAGCCCCCAGCGCCTCTGGCAAGCCTTCCTTGGCTCTCGACACATCCTGGTGACGTCTTGGGCGCGATCGCGCGCCTACGAAGTAAATTTCCACGGTACGGGAGTGGCACGCTATGTTCAAGCTCAGATGCCTTTCTCAGATGGGGTTATGTACGTACTTATCTCTCATTAACATATTTTATCAGCCACAATACATGGTGCCCGCCCTAAGCATCGGTTTTCCTCTCTGATGTGCCTCTCACTTATCGATTGCTAACTCTTTTCGCAAAGGCAACTCATGGATATTGCTGCCACAGGCGATTTTGATGTTAACATTTCCTTAGAGAAAGGTGCGATGGAACAACTGTTAAGCCATCCTATGCTGAGGGCATATGATGAGGCGTGAAGAACACCTCTTTCCTGCTTCTCTTATCAGTTGGTGGCAAGGATGCAATAGATGTTGAAAGTGCCAAATGAATTCAGACACAGATACTCAGGTTGAAGGAAATATGACCAATATACTGAATTTAGTTATTACAACAAGGAGGTGAAGGGGGGGATAGAATAATAAATGGCCTAATTAGTGATATTAGGGCCCGATAGAGCAAATAACATCGAGATCTTGGATCCGAATTACTCATGGCACGCTTGACCTTCTTCGATATTGGCTATCAAATATTTATGGTCGACATCGTTATCGCTTTCGCCCTAGTAACCGTGATCTATAAAACGAGCCTTCTCATGATCCAAAGCCCTATCTTTCGTACAAAATCGCTCAGGTGGACAAGCATTTGGCCCTATAATACAAACAATTCTTGTACCAGAGCACCATACGTCTTAGAAGTCTTAAGCTATAGACAACGAGTACCTGTTGGGTAATACGTATGAAAAGGGGTCTGGTCTTGTCTTTGGGAAGGAAAATAATAAGACGATGGGATTTTGTAGGGAGAGAGGAGAGATTGCTACCTTTCCGTTTGACTCCTTGTTGGTAGGTATCTAGAGCTAAGCTAGAACGAGTCAATAGAGAAGTAAACAGCAGAACTTTGGTTTTCGTGCGGACGTATCTCGGGGAGTCCGTTGTCTCGTAGCCGTAGTGGGACGAGCAGGAGCTATACAAGGTTACGTGCCTCCCTATCAAAACGTATCTCTCCCAGCTTGTCATAGCCTGACCTCTGTCTAAGCGGCGGCACTATTAGGTGCAATGGCTGCCTCATCTTGCTGACTGGTGTTCCTGTAAACCGAATTTAATATTGGGTCGGATGGCGAGGATCACCTGATTCATAGAGAGCATCGAAACTGAAGACGATTTGCAATGTGAAGTCACTTACCTAAAGACCATGCCAGGCCCGGTCGAGAAAAGGGCCAAACGGGATAGACTGCAATTCCAGGCGATGGGAAAGAAGAGAGAAAATTAAATATATCATATGAATAACTTCTACAATATAGAAATAATAAATGAGAAGTGGGAGATTCCACATCGCACCGCCTCTGCCAACAGTGACGTGCACCAGAGAGGTGTCAAAGTACATGACGAGTACGGAAGTACCATACCTAGGTCTTCACTCCACATTGACTAGGGAGCCTCAATCTACTAGCTTACCGGGGGGTTCAACTAAGAGAAGAATACCCTTGGTCCAAGTGAAGCTGGCTGAGACATGACATGAATACTCCTCAGGGATATTGCAGCTGGCGCCACATCTCAAGCATAACGACTAAGAATACGATATCTAGGCCGTACTTGCCTAGGCTCTGATCATGATACGCCAGGCATTGATTTCTAGATGACCTTATCTCCAAGTGCTAATATGCGAGAATGTTACGTTGGATTGATACAACATAATCCGCTTTGGTGGAAACCCGAAGTACAAGCTTGCCAATCACATCGGCTCAGCCCTAATGCCCTTGCGTTCGGGCTGAAACTCGGTATATTTGGTGTGAGGACTTTCCATTCAACAGTGAGACTGACCGACGCCCTTATTTTGGTGTGGCTTGATGCTACCCACACACAGTCTCTCTCAGCAATCGTACGTCAGCTCTAAAGGTCCACTATCGCCTTGGTGGGAGGCTACAACACAGAATCTCAAAAATCGGTCATCTAATCACTAGGTTAGTACTTAAGCTGCGGTATGAGTGAAATGCCAATCATGCCATTCTATAATGGCTCAAACGGAGACTTCCGATTACGTACGGCGCTTGCGGTCTGGAGCTGAGCAACAAGGCGTTATCTCAGTCAGAGCTAAGTAAAATGACTGGTAGACATCGTCTGCAAAAGCAATAGTCAGCTTTAGATGATATCATGGTACCATTAAATTACTCATGCAACAACGTAAGCTGATGGGCCAGCCGGCCAGCCCGAGGCTGGCGTTTCGAGTAACACAGAGACAGGAATGTGGTGTAAATGAAAGGTGGGCAAGGAGGAGGAGGATATATAGGAGCCCTAGCAGCCCGATAGAGGAATCTAAGGTCTTCAGAACTTAGAGACCAACATGGGCAGCATTCTATCAACATTACGACGGGCTCTTGGCCTACTGTCGCCTACAGCAGCAGCAAGTTCTTCAACGATAGCCACAATTGCTGGAGTCACAGGGACACAAACTCTCCCAGGCAGCCGGTCTTATGACGACAACAAATATCAATACGCGACTTCGACGTACGGTGTCGAGCGCGATCTAAACCCGGCACTCATCGTGAAGCCGACGACGAAGGAAGACATCATTCTTACGCTGAAGTATGCCAAAGAAAAGGGCGTAGCGGTCGCGATCAAGACTGGCGGCCATCAGTATTCCGGAGCGTCTTCAACCAGTGCTCCCAACATTCAGCTTGATCTCGAAGACACATTCAAGGGACCTGATGACCGTGCCGTCTTCCGCAAAGATGGCAAGGCTTATGTTCGGACGAGTGTGAGCTGGAGTCTCGGCGAATTCAATGAATGGGCGACGAAGAACAAAGTGTTTGTTCCTCATGGACAATGCACAGAAGTCCAGTGAGTTACTCCTTTTAAACATTTGTCTCATTTTGGAACAGCCTTGCTTCTCACAGATTGAAGTCAAAGCTAGCCCTGCATATATCCGAGACAAACCTGGCTGGGAAAAAGGAAAAAAAGTACTGATACAGTTTCATAGTCTCGGCGGCCATGTTCAATCCGGAGGTAAGGAGTCGCAGCTTATAGTGATTTCATGAATACCCCTCACACTCCTTGTTCTTCTCACTCAGAGGCTCTAAATTCACCATGACAGCTAAGCTAATGAATGGGTTAAGGTTTTGGGCAATTAGGCCGCAGCTTCGGGTTATTTGGAGACCACGTCCTATCCCTTGAGATCATTGATTCCGATGGGAACTCCAAGGAAATCACCAAGGCCGACAACCCAGACCTGTTCTGGGCGTTCCTGGGCGGTAGTCCTGGCAACTTTGGCGTGCTAACCCACTTCACGCTTCAAGTACACCAAGATGAGGACTATAATGGGTCGAGAGGGATGAAGGCCTTGTATTTCTACGATACCAAAACCTTGAAGCGTTTGGTAGACATTCTAGTCGAGATGTCCGACAATGAGGACTTCCCGCGCAACTACGACCTATGCATCAGTGTCCTAAGCTCAGCCTTCCCCCTCCTCGACCTATGGCCGGGATTAGACGAGGTAATGGCGCGTGAGCACCCCGAATTATACGGCAAAAACGGCGTCATCGCCTGGCCGCGCGCGATCATCGTGTACGCGCAATGGGTGCCGTTCGAGAAAGGCGACAAGTGCGACATGTCGTGGTTCGATCGGATCAAAGAGGGATCGGACTGGATCCTAGGGAAGAACGATGTTGAAGAAAAGCCGATGTCACAGCTCACGGGCGACTGGATCTTCCGCAACGTGCGGGAGTTCGAGAAGCCGTATGTCAAGCGCACCTATACGACCAACTCACACACGCTCGGCAAGGACGGTTGGGCCGACTGGGTCGTCAAACGCATTGATGCCATAGTCAAGCCCGAGCATAACCGCTGCTGGCTGTCTGCGCAGCTGCAATGCTACGGCGGCAAGAACTCCATGTTCACGCGCAATGCGGGCAATGGCACGGCCTACAGCTGGCGAGACACGACTATGTGCGCTACTATGGATTGCTTCCAGTAAGTCATACATACCCGCCGTCACCGCCTCATCTCTCTTGCCATCGTGTACGGTTTGGCACTCATTCCAAGCCAACGCTTATGTCTTGGTGTGCCAAAGCACCTCTATGAGACCTCCAACTGACACAAACATTCCAGTAACCCCGAGACCAAGACACGCGCAGAAGACTGGCAAAAGGTAAACGACGAGGAAGCCATCGGGCCCAATGGCGTCTTCTCAAAGCAGGACCGTCGCTGGCTCTGGGGCTCGTACGGGGATTGGAACCTGGACGCAGTGTGGAACACGTACCACGAGGACCAAGCCAAGTACGACAAGCTGCGGCGGATCCGGAAAGAAGCGGACCCGTACGGCATCTTCACGCCGAACCCCTTCTGCGTCAAGCGCGCCGATTGATCCGGGCATGGCTCAGTGTAGTTTCTTCTTTTTCCCTATAATCGTTAATCAAGGCAGTATATCCCTCAATTCTATTTTCCAATTTCAATTCCAGAAGTAGAATAAATGTGTCAAAATGAGTAGCACACTCTGATCGTAATCCTAATTTCACATAGCAGCGATCAGTCAGTCAGTCACCTGGGGCTTGTGACAGATTACTCAATGGACACCAGTAATAGTACATATGCTGTAGCAGCCGTTCCAAGTTATATCTCAACTATAGTGAATATGTACAATAAACCAAGACAGAGGAACAAAAAGAATCGTCCATCGACAGGATGGTAATCCGCATCAGGTGCCAGTAATAGATCAATAAGCAATAAGCCCTTCCGGTATCTAGGTATTTCTTCCCTTTTTCTTGCTGGCCGTCATCATAAGATAAGGTATCAAAATTTAATCATAAAACACCGGCTGCGCCCTCCAGTGTCGACGCTTCCAAAAAAAGAGATGGAAACATACACTTCGCTTCCCCCCACGCCCCAAAAAGTCAAGTCGAGCTTCGCCGGCCCTTACTTTCCGCTTTTTCCATTTAATATAGGTAATGTACAGCCGTTGATCATGTATCTGCGTTCATCGTGTTCTGGTCGAGCCTAGCGATTCGGTCGGGAGTAGTCTGCGGGGTTGTAGTTGTAACTGAATGCACGGTACCCGTTTGTCCGGCTCCCGAATTTGTCGGTACTGTGTTCCTCGGGTGTCTCGCGGTGTGTCGCCAGCTCGGCGGCGAAGGCATTGCGTTCGGGTCCGGGAGAGCCACGGTTCATGATGCCAGGGTCGGAGGCATACGAAGTAGGTCGCGAAGCTTTCGCCGACTGGTTCGGCTGGTGCGACCACCTCTGCCCAGTTGGGTCGGGCGAGTACGGAGGGTTCAAGTTAGGAGAGTTGCGCCCCATGGCCGGGTTGCTAGGGGATAGCTGCGGAGAGGACTGAGGATGGTAGAAGTCACCAGGCAGTTCCATCGGGAAGGCCTGGCTTCCTGGCGCAAAGTTCTGGCTGTGGGGTAGTCCTGCATGCAGATGCGGTGGCTTGTTTTCGTCTATCATCATTTGCTGCTGCTGCATTTGCCAGGACGGCGCATACCCGTTAGACCCAGAGGTTCCAGGGCGACTGCGCGGCTGGTATTGCGTAGAGACTGGTCGTGGGATCTGGTATGGAATGGTCGGCGACTGTGGCGAGTTTGGACCATAGGGTAATGAGGGCGAGAGCTGCGGTGATCTCGACTCCTCTAACCCGCCTGTGTAGTTCCGATTCTGAGGTTTGTACGTCTTCATTCTCCCGTTTTCTATCATGGCTTCCAATACGCCAGCATCCAACAACTCGGCTTTCTTGATGATACGCCCCACCATCTCCTTACTGGCCGCTTTCATTTGCGCCTTCACTGTGCTTACCATAGCGATGTTGCATCGAATTTCAATGTCCTCCCTCAAGTATAGCCCGTCCCTCGGGACCCCTAGCTCTGCCATCCCGATCTCAGCCGGCTCTGGAGGTTCGACACCTGGTTGGTTCCCGCCGATGCGATACTTGTTCCGCATATCGATATTCAAGGGAGCGTAGACATGGGTCTGGAGGCCCCACGGTAGGTCGTGGAAGCAGGCGTTGAACGAGATTTTGCTGGACCCGAACTTGCCCATTCCTGGCACCAATTGCACGCGCTCGGTGATCTCATACCAGGTAGAGTAGTACTCGTCGGTGGCGGCATCGCGAGGTGCTTTGATCAGCTTGTGGTCGAGGACGAGAGGATTGAGGTTTATGACCTCGCCATGGCTATGCAGGATGTCGATGGCCAGTTGGCGGGGTATAAAGCCGGGGATTGGCGTGATAATCGTGTACACTTCTTTCTTTCGAAGCACCATTGTGATGAAAGGTGTCGCAGCGAGCGACCCGAAGTCGGGATGAATGTTTGACTGAGGCCGCGGTCGTATACTAGTTATGAGTGTAGGAGGAGGCGAGAAAGATGATCAAACGGATTCTGAGCTTGATCTCTCTCTGTCTCTGTCGGGGCGCTCGCGTCAGCCACCAACAGTTACCATACCCCCCCGGTTCTGTGACTAGCCGGGGTCGGTATGATTGGGGGCCAGGCTTGTGCCAACCGATATTCAGCAGCAAATCATTCCTGTAGCGCTCGTTGCCAAGCACGGCTTCCGCACAAGGAAGAAGTAGAAAACTAACAGCACAGTCGCTCGCTCAGCCAGTCAGTGCTGAATGGGTAGGGGGCTTCGGCGAGTTGCGCAATAATAAGAGACCTAATATTAATATAGACACCAGCAAGACAGGCCTCCTACCCACATACTTAGTCGACGTACTTACTGAGTATGAAAGGGCGCCAAGTTGAGCAGCGGTGGCTCTTCGTCATGATGATCCCTCTGCTTCTTGCTAGTGTACCAGTAGATAGTCACCAAAACATGTACCATGGCACTGGATAGGACTGATTACGTAGGGAGCGGCCCATCTAGACCCCCGCAACAGCATACCTATTTCTGTGTTGATCGGGTCAATACCGCCTCTGTTATTAAGCTGAGGGAACGGAGCAACCATGTCATCATCGTTGATCTGAATTTCGACCAATACTCTCGAAGCTGACAACAAGGGACAGAAAGGGATTAATGCGGCAACAGGAAGCTAGTAAGGTACAGGTACACTAAACTCATTGAGATGGAGGGTCAGATAGATACTATGTAGGTAGTCTCTACGGTACTTCGTACACGACTGTACTATGGCCAACGGTAAGGCTTAGCTCTTACATAAGGCCACTCTCTCTGACCACCCCTACTTTTCCTCTGTGAGTTCATCACTTCAGAATAATAGGAATGTTACAAGACCATGTAAGCGGCCGCTGAAAAATACCGATCGTAGTGTACCGGCACATGTGTCATCTGAGACATGCAGTTATCTGTCCCGTGCTCTGCGACAAAGGACAGCTCACGGACTGAAGGTGACCGATGTATGTGTTAGCCAGGCATTTCGCTGCAGCGCATCTCCTAGGCTTGCTTCCTTGAGGACATGCAATTCCGCAATCCAGTCTTAGCAAGATATTCTAGCTAACAAGCTGGATGTAGTGTACCGTAGTAGGCTATCTATATTACTTTTGGGTGTAACCTGCTGAGAAGATAGAATCGCCTATGGAATCTATTTAAAGACAACGCCAAGCAGGGCACACTACATCCACTAGTCATGTTGTTGCTCTATCCCGGGAGTTCGGACGTCCGGTAGCCATTCAGCATGCTCCTCGTTGCCTTCTGAGGCAATAAACCCCACGAAAATACCCAGATGGGTGGACATGCAGTGTTACCGCTTATCTCTGGAGATGGTGACAGCGCCAGCAGGAAAATGATGATTGAGTGATTGAATACATTACTCAGGCAGCGTTGTAAAAGTGGTACTAGTTCCCTAGCTTATATATAGATATCTATGAAGGTTCAATACTAGTATTCACTTCAGCTAACTCTAGGTATCACATAGCCCACATAGCCGTGTTAGTTTCCACGCCGGAGAACACATTGTACATAGTAAGGTGATCTCCTGCAAGGACATCGTTGATATCAAGTGAGTATACGGCACAGTGATGTGTTGGCGATGAAAGTAATCCCTCGACATGTGAAATTCTTCCCTGTACTAGATATGGTTTCTCAAGTTCGGAGGCCCCAAAGCCTACACGTGGCACACGGGATTTCGTAGTGCAGCAGTCAGCAACTGCAGGATGATAGGTAGGGAGTGTACAGTAGTGCGGTGTAGCGTACCGTTCATTTGGGAGCTGTGGAGTGAGCACTAACTCGAGTTCATGTGGGCGAGAATCTCCTCAAACTTCTAGGTAGGTACCATAAGCTACGGTGTAATTGACTGTGTCTTTCTCAGGCGCTGACACTGATCTCAGTAGAGTCGGGTGGCCTCAAGAAATATCTCTACTAACAATGAGCTTGGAAATAATACGCGTACATGCATAACAGAGATGTTTTTTAGCAGGTCCTTCGCTGGGGGCCTCGGAACCTAAGACCCGAAACCCGTCATTGTCATTTGAATATCACGAATGCATCAAAGAGGCGCGAGCTGGTCCCAAGGCGCTTCGAATCCCAAAGGAACTGGTATTTCAGGGCAGCCTTCACCGCCCTGTCACAAATTCCTCTGTTCTACGCGATCGTATAGTTGAATGACCGGGACGATGGCGTTGATACTGCGGTGTCGGAAGTCATGAATCGCAAATCGAACAAGGGTTGTGAGCAGTGCAACAAAGCCAACGAGAGCGCTCAAGCACGTCTGCCTTGATCATGCCATCTTTGTTGACTTTCGGAAATGTATCATGAGCCGCGACGAACTTCTAACAGTTACATGCACATTCTGAAACCATTGTTCAATAAACACGGTCAGCTTTCCATAATGCTGTATTTGTTTCCGAATAGCTGTCTCGTATGATCACTTCCAGTGCGTTTCTATTACGCGAACAATGGCCTTATTTCAGAAACATGCTGAATGTCACCATGTCGAGAAGGGGTATAAACAAGGCCAGTCTGCCCAGCGTTTCCACCACATCATCAATCAACCAGCTCAATCTACCCATCATACACCTACACTAACTACTAACCTTTACAGCAATAGAATCTGCATCATCCCTTCACAATGTCATTCAGCATAATCTCTCCACTACTCCCTATCTTCAAGGCCAGCTCTAATGCGCCCCTTGTAGATGCGAGCAACTACCCTCCCAAAGCTCAACCTCCTAACGCTCATCCCCCCAACACTCACCCTCATACAAATTATAACCCTACAGGGCACGGATCTAAAGCAGCGGCAGCTACAGGCCTGAATCCGAACGCTTCGCCTTCCACCTCAGAGGATCCTAATTTATATTATTGTATGTAAGTACTTGTCAAACGAGCTGTGTGTGATTGTTTTTTCGGTTGCGCTAAGCCGGAACGCTGTAAGATACAGCTATGAAAGGAGTTGCTTCATAAAAATTTAGTCTTCGGACGTAAGTATGTATTATTGAATTGATTTTATATCCTCAATGAATTCTCCGTCTACATTTGTCGTAACATTAAACCCCGAATGTGAATTTAAGCTAGATACATAAACCCCTAGATAGTAACCTGTGAAAGCTGGGCCTCATACAACTGAGACACCTTCACGATTCAGGATCTCTGAGGTCGGTCAGTATTAGCCGTCTCGGGTGAGGAGGACTCGCTACATAGCGTCATTGATAGCCGCATTCCCGGTTGGCGACTTACTGTGAGAAGGTTAGTGCACTCAAGACCAGAACACAGCGAGAGGTCAGTTATTGCATGAATTTAGGTGCCACTAAGCGGTCGTGGAATTATTTAATATTGGGCGTACAGCCCTTGCTCCCTCTATTACTCTTTTATGACTGTCCCTGTTTCTTAGCGAAAGCGCCGATAAAGTCGGCGAGTTTCTTAGCACCACCGATGGAGATCGCGTTATAATTGCTCGCCCGAATCCCACCTAGACTGCGGTGACCTTTCAGCCCAGTCAAGCCCAGAGCAGTACCCTCCTTCAAGAAAGCTGCCTCTACGGCATCACCACCCTCAATCCTGAAGCAGATATTCATACGTGACCGCGCTGTCTTATCAGGGATAATCTTGTAGATGTTAGGGCAGGCCTCTAGAGCTCCGTAGATAATCTGAGCCTTTTCTTCAGACACCGCTTGTTGTCCTTCGACTTTGTTGGGATATTGTTGCAGCAGCCTGTTCAAAACCTGGCCCGCGACATATACACTAAACGCAGTTTGATTAGCAACATTGCAGTCTTATAGAAACGCTCCGCTTACTCGAAAATGCTCAATGTGTTGTACAAGCTGTTGTTCTTGGCAGCAGTCTCATACTCGAAAATGCGTGGCGGAATCGGTAAGCCGAGCTGTCTCATCAGAGTCGCAGAAGGCTGAGACGTGACAGGTGGTAAGAAGCTTTTCTTGATAACTACGACGGTGATGCCTGTCAAACCCAAGTTCTTCTGGGCGCCGAAGAAAATAGCCGAGAATTTTTTGATCGGCACCTTCCTTGAAAGGATATTGGAGCTCATGTCGGCTACGACAATTGGCTCATTGACACCCGTCGACTCGAGGGCCTTGGGGAACCCAGGCAGCTCGACGCCCTGTAACACTTCATGTTAGTCATCTACTGAATAGCATTGATAGCATAACACTTCTTGCTGCCATCTGGTTGTAATCTCAGCTGATGGCTACGGCGGTTGCTCCCGTGCTCATCATTATTCTCGAAGTGGTGGAGTGTGCAGAGTCGATCAACAACCCAAAGTTGCTGAAATGAAAAGAAAATGAAGGCGCGGACGATACTCACATCGACGGTCTCATTATCACAGTAATAGACAAATGCAGCGCCCTGAGAAAGGTTCCAAGTGCTCTCATCGGGTATAACTCCGAATTTACCATTATTGACCTTGCGACTGTCTGCCACAACGTTGACATGTTCCGCGCCGAATAATCGCTCAGCCTCAGCCGCAGCTTTCTGTGACCATCCGCCGGTGATTATGTAGTCCATTTTGAGGTCTTTCAGGGCCGATTGAAGCTGTGGTACTGCATTGTCGCCGGATCCGATCTCGGCCTGTTTGCGTGCAACCCAAGCACCGACAAAGTTGTAAGCCACGGCGGCGAACTCTCCCGAGCCACCGCCGGACATAAATAGGATCTCATAGTCATCTGGGATATCCAGATAGGAGGCGAGGTCAGCTTTGGTTTTATTGATGATGTTCTTAGCTATGTCGGAGCGATGTGAGTGCTCGGCGATGCCCAGACCGGTGTCGTTGTAGTTGATAAGCGCCTGGGCAGCATCCTCGATTACCTCGGTGGGAAGAGCCGACGGGCCGGCACCAAAATAGGTGATGTCTGCTCGGGAGGGCATGGCGGAGATGGAGCCGTATCGACCCAGGCCGTAGTGCAAGGGAGTGGGTATCAATTGATGTCGCAAAGGGGAGGAGGTTGATGCTATCTGATATTGAGGTATCTATTAGATAGCTGAGATAATGGACATGCAACTATCTTCGGCGAGGGGTAGCATGGAGGGGTAATAATATACTTAATTAACAAAGGGGCATCATTGCTTGTCTCGCACCGTCCTGTCCTACACTCGCACCAATGACTCAAACTTGGGCGCTGATTCGGAGCTTGGCGGAAAATCTTTTTGCTAAGAATTCATGGCAACGTGAATAATAATTCAGTCACTTGGTGGGTTATCCGTTTAAGCGTGCTTAAGTTCTGAGTCACAGACTTTTGCGCAGGTCACATCGTCGCAGCGATTTCGATTACACGTTAGGTAATGGCAATGCTTACATATTGCTGGCCGAGAACGGCGGGTAACAGTATGTGTAACATCCTGGCGCTGGTTACGGACACCTGGCAGCCGTCTGGCGTTGCAAGCTTAGCACTGACAACAGCACGATGCCTAATTATGTGACTTCAGGTGTACAAGATGAATTTTTTCAATGTTCCCTCTTGAACCTGTTTATTGATAGAAATTCGAATTTCATACTCGGAAGAAGTACTTGGCATTTTTATAATACACTCTTCTTGCGGCATTTTGTGCACCTATACTCGAGTTGTCACACATGTTTCAAGACTGTTGAGTTATTCTTCTACTTGGAATAGGTGGCCATTCATGTTTCCAGCCAAGTCTAATCATGTGCGATGCTGAGAAGTAGCAATTTATCGAGGCTCGGAATTCATATAACTAATCAGCCCATTTGATAGAGGGTAGATGGACGATTTGAAGGTTTCGAACATCTGGAAGGAGGACATGTCACATGGCTAGAAGATAGATATCTTTCGAATATTTTAAAGTAACAGATGCTGAGGACTGCTTTCAAAGAAAAATTGGCAATTTAATATTCATTTAACTCCATTTCGTAAAGCCCGCAAAGACTAACTGTCAAAACCAAGATTGCGTTAGAATAACACGCAAACTTTCGTCTTCACACCCTCTTTACATAAGAAACATGTATTTTCGTGAAGCAACCACAGCTGTCCGTCTTCACCAGAAATCATATAAAGAAAATTCCTCTATCAAGCCCCATCTTACCTACTGCGTGCGTGTCCCAACGTCTTTCAACACATATATCTGACCATAAAGCTCCGTAACATTGACGAAGAAACGCAAGTGACTCATCAAATTAGCATCTCCTAATTCCTCTTCCAGCAGATCCAGCGACATCTTCAATCCTTTCTCCTCGTATCTTGCAAGCCATAACAATTCATCTTTGGCTTTTGTGCGCAAATCAACACAGTCTCCTCCTAATGAGTGGTGGCTCTGGCGAGCAGAAAACTCGGGAAAGTTGGTCGAGTTCAAATTCCGCTCGTCCGCGTCTCGAGCCGTCGATCCTAGATCGTTATACATTCGGCACGTCGTGGCGAGATGGCGGCAAGCGTCTTCTGCCAAGTACGCCGTCCTTGCAGAAGCGAGGATACCGCCGCGGGCTTGCTTTGCTGGTGATGATGCCGCGTAGGTCAAACAATTGAAAAAGAAGAAGGAGAATGGGCATGACGTGTGGTCGGCCGAGGTGCTTCGAACCCATTGATAGAAGCTCTGCTTTGCGTCTTGGTATTCCACAAGGGAGCTGGGAACTACCGCTTGTGTTGGGTGATTCTCCTGCTGTTGAATGCTGTTCTCAATACAGGAATCGAGTTGTGCACGCAGCCGTCGATTGTCTTCCGCGTGTGAGAGATGCGCTAGTAAGAAAGTCTGCAAATCACGAGCCAATCGCCGCTGTAGAGCAGCTGGGCTCGACAAGACATCTTGGTGGTGAAGAATGTATGCTACATACTGACGCAGCACATTCCTGACTTCCGCAATGGAGGGACGGTTCTCCTTGGCCTCGACATTTTCTTCCGAGCTAATTGAGCTTGCTTTAAGTTCATTGCAGCCAGCTTCGTTCGCCTTTTCCCCATCCTTATCATTCTTTGTCGTGGATTCCAAAGATAATTCTTCGCAGAGATCCACGACGACATTACGAACAGCATCCAGATTGTCCATGAAATGTCGTTCTATAACCCCCTCAATGAACTCGTCCACGTGGAAGTTGAGAACAGACAAGACCATTACCTCATATATAGAGGAGAGACTGACAGTACAACCGTATAGCTCTGCGCAAGCTGTTAGAACCAAAGGTATAAAGAAGATATACTTGTCTTTCCCTTTGGCTGTTCTTGGGAAGATGGCTGGAGTCTGGCGGTCTAGTAGCTGCATGGCAAAGGCAGCCTTTAGCTCAGCCATGCGCAACGTGAACGCTTCGCTCTTCCGGAACATTGGTGTGCGCGCGAGGAGCTCCCCGGATTTCCTCATACTAATGATAACCTCCCACGGGACAAAGAATAACTGTCTCATAGGACCGCCAGCGTCAATGTGTTTATCTGAGTGCGTAGGAACAGCTGCTGCAGCCAGACAATAAGCTTCACTGAGCACAGGAGATTTATATGTAACTTTGCCGATCCAATGATAGCAACCCGTGCGCCATTCGCTCTTGTTTTGATGTAGATATGATTTCGCGGAGGCAATGGCCCCCGGAACTCTACTGTTATCCCCGAGCTGCTGGATGGAAGGTAGCTTGGAAAGTGAAGCTAAGGTTAAGACACCGTAGGACGTGATTTCACAGTTGTTGTCCCAGGATCCATCACTTTGCTGGGTCTGGAGAATTTTTGACAATATGTGCAGCGCGATCATCGGAATCTCGCATCGTAGATTGACATCGACATTAAATAATGCTGATGCTAGTTGATGATGAGAGAAAAGGAGCTCAAACGCTCTGGTAAGAAGCATCATCCAATAAAGCTCATTTAGGCTCTGGAGTGTGATGTAAGTAATAGATCCTGGTACAATGATATATTGGACAAGATAAAGGGGTTAAAAAACGAAAGGCGCCCGGCGTCAAGGATCTGAGGAGGAGCGATCACTGACCCGGTTATCTTGCACACATCCCTTGAAAACTATGTCCACCAAGTGTCGAAGGATCTTTGCAATTTGTGGAAGGTTTTGATGTCTGTTTTCACATTCGAGCAGTGATATCAAAGCGCTACAATTGGCGCTGAAACCAGGCGCGCGTTCATTGGAACATGTATCAAGGCACGTATTTCCTTCGTACGGCCGGGTGTTCACATCTGAGGGGCTGGTGTAGTCCATAGAATAAGGGGCTTCGCACTTGGTGGCGGTGTCGTGATTGAGCAGACTTCTCGGACCTTGGATGCGGGATCAATGTATGTCTTGCTATATGTTTTTACAAATGAGGCTCTTACTGGGGTCGGAGAGTTTCCGGTTTTCAAATGATTCTTCCATAACGTTGCTTAAGTCGAGCGCGTTCGCTCCTTTGACACAGAGTCCCGCAGAGGTTGAGGGAGCAGCCATCTAATGGGAGGGTTACGAGTCAGGATTAAAAGTCTCATAGGTTGTAGCCAGTGAACCTATGATATACGCACCCGGAATACTTCAGAGAAGTTTGTAGGCCAAGCACTAGGGACCCCAGCTTGGCCATAATATTCATGTGCAGCGACGACACTCTGTAGATATGCTTCGGCTTCATGGTCCCAATCCGAGCAATTCATTAAGTAGGCAGCAGTAGATCTAATCTGGTCAGTCCAATTCCATATTATAGAATGATGATACTTGCGCTGGAGATCCCATGATCGAGCCATTCCGGTCTCGACATAACCGGACCTCATCGAAATTAACGTGACCAACGAACCCCTCAAGCGAACCATGCAACTTCGATGTTGTCTGGTATATTGTCAATGGAGAATACCTGGCTAGTACCTCTCCACGAATGGCTCGTAATATTCCCTGGCCTGGAAATTCGATAGAGACCCCTTCGTTTTTCAACAGCTCTAAAAGAGATATGACAAGATATTCCGGTCCACCCTGATCGACTGGTTGTGCTATAACCCATTCAGATAACAGCTGCTTCAATGCCACCTCGGCCCTACTACTTCTCACCATCAACTCGTCGTGGTTTGGCCCATTCGATTGTGTTCTCACGCGTGTTCTCAGCGCCAACAACGCTGCTGAGGTGTTTAAAATCCCGTCCATAGGCGTAGCGTATGACTCCCAGGCGCCTGACGGAAGTTGTTGTTTTAAGATAAACTCAAAGCACTCTGGAAAGAGCCAGTTACTGGCTCCGCCACTACTGCTTGGCTTCTTCACCATGGACAGCCAGGCTGTGTCGTACACTGACGCCGACATAGAGCTAAGCCCGGGCCATGACTGCTCTGGTAAATTGATGAGGTGTGTATAGGGTTGATCTTGCATCGAATCTTCTAGTGTTTCTAGTATTGCCAGAGACATCTTGAGATCATCAGAGATAGTTCTTGCGTCGGTCAAGAGATATGCAGTTCACGTTATCATAACAAGTGAGTTCGGAGAGCAAGGTTTTATATTATATTCTTTCTATAGGACTTCAGTAGTTGCCTACTAGACCACAGATTCAGTGCCAGCGGGATGGAGAGACAAGCACCGATGCCTTATCCTCATATACTTGATCTTTCGGCAAGGGCACAGAAAGATCTTCACTACCGAAGCCTATCACTGTTCCTATTCTCCTCATATATCGCCCTCCTCTTTGCCCCTCTTCACAGAGTATATCTCTTGCCCCATATGGTCCGTGATTCATAAAGTGGGATGCGGCTCCTCATACAGTCTTGTTCGTCCTACCCCTCCTTATTCCACAATGCCCCCTCGCCCCTTACTTCCAAGACATAATTTTCCCTACTCGGATGATCCTTACCTATGACGAAATATCCCCGGTCAAAGGTCTCCATCTACTATCGGACTCACCGGCATTTAAACCCTAGAATTATGTGCAAGGGAGCAAAGGGCAAGAGGAGGATCCTGAAGGATCCTCTCGCTATCTTGGACTAGCCAGTGACTTACTTATGGGGCGAACTAATGCGTGGGACATGGTGGGAAACAACAAGGAAGTATATGCCGCCACTTCGTGGTCGTGAACGTGGCTCTAACACCCTACAGAGGCGGAAGGCCAAGCGGTCGGGAATAATGTGTAGATACTTGGCATGGGAGCAAAGACAGTACGGTGCGAAGCTTTTCAACAAGCATTTGCCCCGAGCGCATGTCCGGCTACTGTAGCATCTACTGCATGTATGTATGTAGGTCAAGCCTCAACACGTCACAAGTTCCGTACAGCCTTACTGTTATGTTACGTAGTCTGAAGTAGGTACTTAGCTAATGCAATGCAGCCCGGAATCCTTGACCAACACACGGCCTCGCATACACCGTACCTCATTTGGAAATCCAGGCTTACACAGTAGATAGGTAAAGTTACTCAGAAGGGTAGGTCTGGCGGGTCGTAAGTAGCAATTACCAGGTTGTCCTACATCCTCGGTATCGTAAATGGGGAATTGGCTGATAGGACAAGGAGATAACCGCCAAATGTCTGCTCTCCACACGCACTCCTGTACAACAATACCGCTGGGACATTGCCGGTGATCATTACAAGATACAAGCCCCCCGAGTGACCTTTTCAACTTAGTCTTGATGCCCAGGCGGCGAAGTTCCATGCAGCTTTTGGGAGAATACCTAGTAAGCAGCCAAACGCAACGTCAAGGCAAGAGCGGGGTTAGTTCTCTTCTTGATTTCCTGCAATTCAAGGTGTATTTCATGCCGAAACGGTATGCTCTTCCTCCTCATCTAGTCTGCACGATTCATTGGATAGGTGCGGCCAACTAGTTCGTAGCGTAGCACTATTCACTCTTTTATGAGACTAAACTACCTAGGTGATAAATGGGCACAGTAGGTGTCCACCTTCGCGCGGCACTTGTTAGTCCGATAGAAATAAGTAACTCTCTATGTAGCTTATGGCCTCACCCTCGGTGTCATTAAAGCTGTCGAGATAGGCAAATGATGAGAGAGGACATGGTCTATAGTTAATTCATTAGGAAAACAAAAATTAGACTGTTGCTCGCTATACTATATGTCAAACGATTGCTCTAGCAGTGTCGCCATGAGCTCATATGCTTCCTCACGGCGCTCCCAGGCCACCGTGCCTTCTTCGGTACCCTTGTCAAATGCATGAGGAACACCTTCGAATATCCTGTTGATAACTTTTACGGGCGCACCCGAGCTCTCTAGGTTCTTAGCCAGTGCATTGGCCTCGGGCCATAATGTGTCACCCTCCGCGCTGAGTAGGGCGACGGTTGGCGGGAAGTCTTCTGGTTGAGCGAAACCAGGTGACACTGCTGGATCAGTCCGGGACTCCACGTCCGGAGCATAGCAGTCGTTAAACAGATGGAGGGCCCAGATGGGGTGGGCGTTGATAGGACGCGGTACCTTCTTGGACGCGGGGTCTGCCGCCAGGTCCAAAAGCCCATAGTTGACTAGAGCGATGCGAATATCTACGAGACCTTGTAGATTCTTGCGAAGCGACGTTGCAGCTGTTAGGGCGAGATTCGCACCAGCGCTGAAACCACAAACGCCTACGCGGGCCGTGTCAAAGCGATAGGATTGTGTGCCGACCCACCGAAGCGCATCCTCGGCATCATTCAAAGGGCCGGGGAAGGGTGTCTCAGGTCCTTTGCGGTAGTCAGCGTCGACCACCACGGTTCCAGTCTCCCGAGCCATGCGAGAACTGAATAGCGCATCTGTTCCTAGCAAAGGGAAGATGAAGCCGCTGCCATGCCAGTTGACAAGAACGGGAGGCAGTTGCTTAGGCGAGGAAGAGGTGGATGAGGAAAACCCGGGAGGGTAATAGATATCCGCGAGGATGTAGCGGCCGGATTCACGCGAAGGGATCTTGACACGCTCATGCTTGACGTCGCGCGGCACAAGCGCTTGGTCGCGGCGAATCTTATCACCGCTGGAGAACCGAAGCCATGTCCGCAATAAAACGACGATCGCCTTCAGGCGAAGATATTGGAAGAACCCGTATTTTTGGGCCATGCCAGGAATAGGAAGCCGACGTTGCCAGCGAGTGTTGATGCCAAGCAGACTACGGTAGCTACTCTCGAAGTTGAGGCGCCTATGTAGGCCTAGACAATTGCGGGAAATAATGCGAATACTCGTGTAGTACAGAAACGAATGAATTCAAAGAAGGATACAATCTCTAGCAGACGTGGTGGGCGTCCGAGCAAAAATGCCTGACGCAAGAACCAACTGCAGAAGGGGAGCCAGTCACTCAAGGGCCCCCTAGTTACTTGGGTACTTGAGAGAGCCTTATATTTATAATACTTTGGTTAAAGCTGCGGAGTTAAGCCCCTGAGTTCTCCATGAGAATCTGAGATAAGCCTAATAATAAACCCGAGAGACAAACATGAAACGTTAAATCCAGAAGAAACTCTGAGGTCAACATTGATATAGTAACCGTTTATTTAACCAATTTCATTTACAAACAAATGTCGCTAGTGAGCTTATATCTTTCATAAGAGGTAAGGAAGAGTCTAGCTGGTGCTCTAATAATACGCTTAAGTAGAAACGGCCCCAGTGTGGCATCCACTAAAGGCGGCGCCCGTGCTCCAAGAACCCTTGCTCCCTCTCACATTTCGTACACATTACCACACTTTTACACTCCAATCTCATCCTCCGCCCTGCGTCTCTGAACCAACACGCGCGCGGACGGATCAGGGTACAGATTCTCGTCAGCGTTGAGGTTCTGTGGTCGTCCCTGCCCCCCCGGATACTGGAAGTCGTAGCGCAGCAACAGATGCCCGAGGATCATCTTGATCTCATTACTAGCGAAGAAGCGCCCGGGACAGGCAAACTTGCCGTGGCCGAAATGTAAGCTGCTATCTTCCGTCATCGCGAATTGATATTTGTTGGCATTCTCTGCACTCTCACGAAGCCGCGCGTATCGGAACCCGTCGAACTTTTCGGGGTCGCCACCACCCGGCAGGTACTCGGAATCATGAAGGACTGCGTCTGAGGCAATGCTGAAGTGTGTCCCCACAGGGAGCTTGGTGCCGTCTGAGAGTTCCAGAGGCTCTTTGACGATCCGATTGAATGCCACTATTGTCCCAGAATTACGGCGTAAGCAGATGATCTTTGATCTGGGCGCTGAAGAGTACGTGTTTCATAGCGCGAAAGCTTAGGAGTAAAAGTGTGCTCACTTACACTGGCTTGGCGGGTTCATCCGTTGAGATTCTTTGACAAAGCTGTCGAGCTTCTTCAGCTTACTGAGCGTTGTTTTCCCCCATCCCTGGTCTTCCCGCGTGACCGATTCCAATTCGGCCCGTAGTGGTTCAAAATATTCGGGATGGGCGCATATGTCATATATTGCATGCGCTATCGCCATCGTCGTCGTGTGAATAGAAGCAAGGCTTAGAAGCAACTGGATATGGGCCAGCGAGTCCGGATTGCTCTCGAAATCGTTCTGTGCGGAGTCCATCATCCACTGAAGGAGATCTTCAGGCTTTTTATACGCATTGCCCTCTCTTGCTTGCGCTTCTCTGCGTTCGCGTATGATGGGGCTGATGAGGCGCTTTGCGGTCGCGAGATTGGAGCGCAGGCGCCACCATGAGGGTAGGCAACGCGAAACAGGGCCGTGCAAAAAGGCAGGCAGCATTCGCAGTGTCATGACTGTCATGAAAACATTTTCTGTGTAGTGAATGCTTGTTGATAGCCACTCCTCATTGCGGCATCCGTCCTTACCAAGAAAGATGCGGGCGGATATGCGTGCGACGACGCGCAGGATGAGATCATTTATAGAAACAGATGTCCATTCGTCTGCAAATATTGGTAAGAGCCCACACAGACTGAGATCAAGTGACTGAATCATAGCACTTACTCTGACACTCGGCAAACTCGACCTCCAGTGCGTGATCAAGCTCCTCCTTCACGCGAGCTACGGTGGACGCCAGGTTGGGCGTTAGTTTTGACTGAAGCGTTCGAGTGTGGATGTTCGTTTTAAGCAGTATGTCGGTCGTTGAGTGATAGCCGAGGAGATTCTTGATATGAGCTTGAATTGGGCTAAGTTTCTCTTCCGACATGTTGCGTAAGTTATTCACGTTTCGGTGAGAAATTACGAGGATGTCTGCATCGTTTCGACGGATCTTGAACATGGAGTTTTTGAACTGAATTATCGCCCATGGGTCAGCACTCTTACACTTCACACAGAATTGGCAATCGATATTTTCCACAATACGAGCATAGTATTGAATGAATAGATACCTTAGAATACCCCTCGCGGATAATAGGCCGACTGCCTCGAATAAACCTCAGTCGAACAAGCCATCCTGGTTCGAGCCATGACCTATATCCCACGATTGGAGCTTTCACACCTGAAAAGCTCGATTTGATCACGCTGGTCAAATAAAGAGAGAGAATTCCAACGACGACGAGGGCAAAAGTACGCTCGTTATACCCCTGGACCTTGGAGATATCCAAGAAGACAGCGTCCGCCGTGCCATTGTTAATAGGGTGCATCTTGGTGTCGTGTCAAATGCCAATATTGAGAGGGCATTTGCCTGGTTCGTAGGATAGGATGAAAATCGATATAGAAGTTCGTTGCAATGGGCGAACAGGCCATACCAAACCAAGCTAAATCACCCCTCCCCCTCCAGATCCCCCCATTTTCTCCCAAAGGTTCACAGACCAGACGAAATGCCTAGATGCTGCAAAGGAATATCTCATTCTAACGATGTATTGTTGTACCAACTAGCCAGCTCATCCGCGGTGATCACCCCATTGACCGCGAAAAGTCCTGGTTCGATTCGGGTCCTACGCCATCCTGCCGAGCCCAATGCCGGCATATCTTGCCTGGCTGCGATCAAGCAATGCCGATTAGCTTAGACGTTACATTAGCGGGTGATAGAATAAGGTTAATACCACGCAGATGCAGTCAGAAGTGGGTATGCATTTAGTACATTCCTTCTCATGCAGGGTGTGTTTACCGATGCTACCGTACCCAGCGAGCCCCAGATAGTTGTGCAGGGTGACATTTTATGCAGACAGAGTGTTGTATCATCACAGTGTAAAGCCAGCCCTGCGAGAGGGGAGACTTGACGATCTTTTCTCCAGCCGAAGACATCTTCTGTGGGTTTCCAAATCACATGCAGGACTTGATGTGGGTATCGAGGGTATCTATGCTAGCTCTACTATTCACACAGTACACTACATGAATGCATCCCGCATCGGGCGCGAATCAGCAGACAAGGCATGTAAATTGTAGACAGGAGGAGAGACGTAAGTGAGGAAAGCACCTTGCGAATCACGCAGAACCGCCCTGCTGCCCGATCTTACGAAGTAGGAAGCCATCTGCTTGCAGGTTTTGGAAGAACTGGGAACTGTCGTATTCATGAGAAATCCTGATCAGCTCAGCCACACTTTCTTCCCCGTAGCTGGAGAGAGGGTCCTGGTCCCAGGTAGCGTCGTTCATGAAGATGAAGTCGAGAAGCAGACCCTTCCGCTGGGCAGCGCTACGCATCCCTTCGCCGCTTGCCTTGATCGCCTCATGTGCTATGTCGTCGTAGTTGTCATCTTGCCATTGAATTACTGATGTATACCCTGGAGCGAGAAGATAGGGTCAGTTAATAAATCATAATGATCGTAGTATCTCGTGGAACTGCCCGCCTCGGATAACATACATTGTTGACTTTCTGGTACAAATGTCAGAGGGTTGCCTCTCGCCATGCTCTTCTTGACAGCGCTCGACGTGACGGGCTGGATGCCAAAAGTCATCATACAGTCAAATCTGGCCATCGCGTCACTCGATATCTCGAGCCAACGATCATATGCTTCTTCGTAGAGCTTGAGATCAGGCAGAGTAGAAACGGCGACTATGTCGCGTCTGTAGCAAGTTGTTGATATCAAACACAAACAACGGAAGAATCAGTGTTCTCACGCGCTAAACTTACTTATAGGCAGGCCGTTCGCCCAAGACCTTTTCAAACGCCGCCGCTAGGGTGTATGGAGTGCCCAGCGTCGGCTTGATGAAATGCCGCTCGTATGGAATGTCGTAAAACATGGAAAACACATCCGGATACTCTACGGGCTCAGAATAAATGAATGCTACAATCGTGTGATTGCTCGACAAGCTAAAGGCAAATGAAGCCCGGGGATCTTCCTCGGCGTGTTCTTGATACTCGCGGACGGCAGTCAGGAGATTCCGGCTCTCTCCTGGTCCGTAGATGCGCGATTCGTACCAGATCTTGTCTACGGGGACAGTTTCCAGTTCGAATTCAGTAACAATGCCTGCGAATGCGAGTTGATCAATGAAAGCACTCTTTACCTAGGCCTGCACACATTCTCGAGTGACTCCTTACCGAAGTTTGCTCCCCCTCCTTTCAGTGCCCAGAATAGGTCTCGGTTCGTGTCACGGTCGGCGAGAGCGATTGTTCCGTTACCCAGAACCACCTTGTACCTTTGCACGTAGTCGCATGCTAGGCCGTACTCGCTTGAGAAGCTCGGGATGCCGCCGCCAAGTAGCAATCCGCCAACACCAACATCCGGGGTGCGGCCACCGAGAACTGTCCGCCCGGTTCCTTCTAGTGCTTTGTAGACATCAATCCATCTCCTTCCGGGCCCCAGAGCCAGTGTCTGCGCATCACCAGACACTTGGATTTTATCTAGGCGCGATAGATCCACGAGTACTCCGTCTTCTCCAATGCTACCCCATCCAGGATTGGGGTTATGGCCACCGCTACGGATCGCGAACTTGGTAGAGGTGCGGCTGATAATCTTCACTATCCTACTGACATCTTCCGTGCTAGACGGCCGCAAAATACAGCGGGGTGCTTTCCAACAATCCTTCGACCTAAAGCATGGTAAGCTAGTAGAATATTATTCATATTCAATCCATCTTACCAGTTTACCTGCGCCAGTGCAGTGTGCTCCGGACTACCTGTAGATCCCCATACGACCTGGTCTGGGCCGACGAGAAAGCTTGCTAAAGCACAGGCTCGAAGCGCATTGCTTTCTAACCCTTGATCCTCCGTGTCTTGTTTACTCGCAAATCGGCAGGATGCATCTTCGGAACAGATGTCATAGCAAACACTTGCGTATTCCGCTGCTGTGTTGCAGTTGACGCTGTCTGTTCCAGTTCCGCCGAAAGATGTTATAGCCTCAGTCGATACTGTGCAACCCAGATCGAAAGTGTCGACCCTAGGATCTATATCCCTTGCTATAGGCGATTGGTCATTGTCTGTATAACCAGAGATGCGATTTCGACACCATGAGTTGAAATCCGACGGGCCGTCCGAAGCATAAGTCAATGGTATCAATATGACAAAGAGAACATTAAGTCTAATCATATAGTGCCACCTCGAGGACTGCATCTTTTGAATATTTATTTCATTCCGCCCGACCGGTTCGCTCCAAGAAAATGGGAAATAAGAAAGGGAGGAGGTGGGGTTAGGGAAAATGCTGGTGTTAGTCGAAGTGGCGGCGGTGTAAGAGTGCAGACTCCTGCTCAGCGGGGCTTGTCCGAACGCAATAATAGGTGTGACATGACCGTCAGAATAATCACTGTTGGATCGAAGACTTGGGACAAAGTTTGAGCTAGAAGTCTCTGATGTTATAATTGTATTCCATACTCTAGGAGTTCATTATTTTAGATCGTCATGCAGTTAAGCACGAGTAGGTAATATTGGAGGATTCCGGTAAAGTGTATTTTGCAAGAAAAGCCGCTGTCGCTATCAAGCGGATAGAAATGTATTAAACAGCCAGATATCACCAAGGGTGGAATAATCAGTACCATCAAAAGTCTAGAAAGAGATATTTAGGCCGTCTCTCTACTGAGAAGCCATCCTCCATTCTGTAGCCGCTGAAATACTTGATGGGGATCATACTTCCGACTGATGTCTCTCAACTTCTGTACGTTCTCGACACCATAGCTCGACAAAACAGGCTGCCCGTCGTACGCATCATTCATGAACAAATATCTTATCTTAGTATCATGACGAGCAGCAGCGCTACCAAAGCCTTGCCCCATGCGCACCAGTAGGCCCATCGCGTCTGAGTCGTCATCTGGCGACTCCCAGCCGAGCGTAGCATAAGCCCCTATAACATGCATGTTAGCGGATTCATCAAGAACAAGTAAACGGTGTGGCAACATATTGTATGGCCCTTTCGAGATTGGGAAGAAAAGGTGAACCTACAGTCCTGTTCTACGACCTCTAGTCCAAGTGGCATATTGGAAGCGGCCCGGGCCGCATTGGCGGAAATTGGCTGAGAGCCGAATGCAAACACCCAACCGCGATCTGAGGCTTCCTCTGCCAAAGAGGTGAATGTGGTGTACGTCTCATTATACGTCGCTTTGTCTACTTTATGAGGCATTGTAACAGCATAGTGACTACGCGTGTCAACTGTTAGCTTAGTCACAATGCATTGCCTGCAGTAGATGATAGCAAAACCCAAGCCTCCACCAGTCATATTGATACCAAAGGAATACTTACGACGACGGAACTGTACCCGGCTCGGGATACTGAGGACTGTGAGTACCGGCTGTCAGGTCTGCCAGAGTACCAAGCCTGGGGGTGATACCTCCCGGCGCCGCTGTGAGGTTGTAAAACGGGCTAAACACGCTCGGGTATTCTATAGCATCCGCGTAAAAGAAGCCGACAAATGACGCGGGAACACTGGTATCCGTTGATAAGCCAAATACGATACTAGCTTTGCTGTCCTTGGCGGCTAACTGACGATATTCTACGAGCGCATCTAGGAGTTCTCGATTCCTTTCGGCCGGAAATTGAACTGTTCCATACCAGACCTTGTCCACAGGGAGAGTCTTATACGTGAACGAGATTACGATGCCGTAGTTGGGACCGCCTCCTCTGAGCGCCCATAGAAGGTCTGCTGCATTCTGCTCTGTAGCGTGGATTATTGACGCGTTGGCCAGAACTACGTCAGCAGCAATGACTGAAGCTGCGGTTGGGCCGGCGATATTGTTCAACCATCCGCTGCCACCCGATATTGTTTGTCCTCCGATCGCCGGATCTGGACTTCGAGCACCGTTGACGGATACCCCTGTGCCATTTACTATACAGATATATGTGAGTAGTGGTGCCTTGCACAGGATGGGAACGTTATGGGCAAGAGACTCAATAAGTCTCAATCCCCTGAAGCTGGATTGAAAAACATGACATATGTTATGAAGACACCAAAACCCGGATAGGTAGGTAGTTCGGGTAGGTACTCACGAGCTTGGTAAACAGCACCCCAGCGAGTACCCACGCCAACCGTGATACTTGACTTGTCCACGCTGAGAGTGATGTCGTTGAAATTGACCATATCTATAATAACGCCATTTTCAACTGTGCTATGGTTCTTGTTGAAGTCGTGTCCACCGCTTCGAATGGAGAACGGGGATTGTGTAGACGTAATGATGCCGATGACTCGCGCGACGTCTTGTACATCTTGGGGGGACACAATACAGGATGCATTTTGCCAGTTGTTGCTCGACCTGTAAGTTGTTAGTATCAGGGCTCTATTTCGACATAAAGAGAGCGAAAACCTACCAGTTGACCTGCGTGCGGTTGACATAAGAATTGGACTGAGCATCAATGTACTCTGGTGTTGCAGACCCGTTAGCGCTGGCCTTAAACGCGGTCTTGGCTAAAGAGCACGCTTGATGCGCTGGGGATGGTGTCTGAGATCTGATAACGGGAAGCGGGTCGGCCGTTAAGCTCTGGGAAAGACCAGAAAAAACGAGTATCTGAATAGGAAGTCTCCATGCCGAGCACAATGTGTTTGGAGTTTTTGGCCACATCGTGGATACGTGCTGCCGTGATGCAATGACGGGAACAAGTTAGCGAGACTAGAGACGCGCCAAAGAAGTGCCGCGCATTGTGGAATTATAACAGGGCAATTTAAGAGCCATGGCAAATGGCAAATGACAAATATCCATGCTTTCATGTAAACAGCGGTGGCAGACAAGGGCTGGTCCTAAGTATGAGCCCTGCGAGCCCTCCGAGCCCTGTGAGATATGGGTATGGACTCGAACTAGAGCGATGGCGATGCAAGATAGGCGGATTTGTTCACCTAGGCAGTGGGTCGGTCAATCGAGCGTTATGTCGACCGACCGCAGCATGATTACGTCGCCCTAACAGTACCGGTATATAGTGACGATGACCCTACACTCGAGTATAGTGTCATATCAGGCATACATATGCCATTAGACTGGAGACCTGGGTACGGTCTAACCTTACTGGGGATAATACCGTCTGCTTGGATCCTCAGAATCCCACAACTACCGGAATTCCTAACCCCCGACCTTCAGTTCATTAAGGCTGAGACAGGCACCATCACTTTGAAATACAGTAAGGTGCTGACGTCTTGACACCATCCTCGGTATTGAACATGGATGTCGCATTTGGGAGACTGGAGGATGTTCCTGTTCGGATCCTAACGGGAACCTTTGTCATCTTGCTCCTGGTATCATGGCTTGCACGATCGTTACATCGTGGCATTGCCATTCGGCGAAGAATACGACAACTATCGTCACACAGCATAGTTAGTATACAGCCACCCAGAAAAGAACGGAGAACGAAGATTCAAAGAGGAAGAATAATGAACCTGAGCATGAGAATGCCCTGAGATTCGCTATGGCTTGTGGCAACATATGAGCTGACAGAAGACAGCCGGTGATGCAACCGCATTCTTTTATCTTAGGCCATCTCCCAATTCTCAAAGCTTTAGGCAGTGGTCTTCCTAAAGACGCTCATCCCGGATATATAAGCGAAAGATTGATCGCAGAATGGAAAACATATTTCCCCAAGGAAGATACTTGTCCACCTGTGATATACCTCGACCTCTGGCCATTCTTTCCGCAGCCCATTATCTATGTCACCTCTGCGGAAGCATGTTATCAACTAACCCAAGGGAACCCTCAGCCGAGGCACCCTATGTTTCGTTGGGCGTTGACGCCGGCCACGGAAGGAAAAGACTTGATTAGCATGGCTTGCACTAGCATGTCAACACATAAGCTTTGGCGCTCCCTGCTCAATCCGGGGTTCTCATCAAGGAACTTGATCGCAAGCATGCCAGTACTCTTAGAGGAGGTTCTTATTTTCACGAATATGCTCAAAGACGCGGCAGGCAGCGATGGCAATTGGGGTACTATGTTCACAGTTTATGACAAAACAATACGTCTCACATTTGATGTCATCGCACGAGTTGCACTGTAAGCATGCATTCTGAAGTGAATTTCCTCTGGGCTTTACTAATCGTGGAAAGGGGCCTCCGTTTGCACGAGCAAACCTCTGGACCGGGACCGTTATTCCAAGCACTCAGCAATGTGATTCCTCTCGTCAAGATGGACACGCTTTGGAATAGAGCTGAAAGGCTGCTGCCAAAGTACCGCAAGATTACATCAGTCAACGGGAAGATAATGCGTGATGCGCTTCTTCCGCAAATTGAGCGATCAGCTCAATCCCATGGAGATGATGCGGGTACAATCGTCGATCTTGCTCTCAAAGACTTACAAGTTAAGTCTAATGGCGGCAAGACGACACAGTTAACCCCGGATTTGGTCGATACCATCATATCACAGATCAAATTCTTTCTCTTTGCTGGGCATAACACTACAGCTCAGACCATGTTAGTATACTCTCATCAACTCAATACCCCTGAGAGAAGACCGTCGAAAATAGATCGGCTAATGGGCCTAGCTGCTGGACTCTGTATGAAGTTAACAAGTACGATAATGTTAAAGAAGCATTACGTGCAGAGCATAATGAAGTCCTAGGAGCCGACCCTTGTAGGGCAGCAGACACGCTACGCAGTCAACCATACAAAATCAAAGAGCTCCGGTACACAACCGCAGTGGTGAAGGAAACGCTTCGCCTACATGCCCTGAGCGAAACGTTTCGACAAGGGACACCGGGCTTTCATTTCAAGATCGACGGCAAAAGTTTCCCAACAGAGGGTTGTAGTAAGTAAATATGCTAAGAAATCTAACCTAGATGTACTTAACAGTCGAATCTGACAGTTCTCCCAGTGATTCAAACAAACCCCGTGATAATACACCTGCGTGAAGACCTGTGGCCGCGCCCGAAGGAGTTTTTGCCGGAGCGCTTCATGGTACCTGAGGGCCATGCTCTGCATCCCGCCAAGAACGCATGGCGACCCTTCGAGATGGGGAGTATGCGTTGCATTGGCGAAGAACTAGCCATGATGGAAATCGTCCTCTGTCTTGTTTTCACAGTGCGTGAACTTGAGTTCGATTTTGATTGGGTAGGGTGGGATAAGCTCCAGTATGTGCACACTTCACCTCCGTACCCCTCCGGTTTTCAATATGCCGCCTCTTGAAGGATTTCGTGCAGACCTGCCGTGCGGTACTTGCATCTGTACTGGACCAGGCACCCCTACATTACTTAAGTAGATATACGATACTTGCGGACAAGGTTAGGCTGACTGACAATTTGCGTACAGCGATCGTTCGGAGCCACCAGAGTATGTGAATGGCCAGAGGGGCTACCGTTGTGGCGACGGCGTTGGGCATATCAAGGATAACCTGCCATGCCGCGTTAAGGAACGGATGTTACCTGCCTAATATTTTAAGCTTACTTACGCCACATATGCTATGAGGGAGCGAAGGATTCTGTCCCGTCTTGGCGCGGGTAGTTGAATGGCGAGCTATTAACAACGTACGTAACTCCTTGTAAGCCCTAGTCTAGCATACTGCAGTTCCACAAGGGCTTTGTTCCTCAGACAGACTCGGAGCAAATCTGAATTCATCAAATACCCTGGATAGGACCGCGACTAGGACTACCAAGGCGGTGACTCTACTACTAAGTAGGTATGTGTGTAGATGCTTTTACGGAAAGAAAACAGCGGAAGACGCCGAGTGGCTGGGAAGTACTGTGCGTCCATACTTGTAGGAGTAGAAATAGGGGACATAAGTGTCCTTAGGGCAGAAGCTAGAAACTACCCTACAGTAGACAATACACAGGTTTCCGCCCAGGGTCCAATGCACAATCGTGGAACGAACCGCACAGATACAGTTCCGTCATTCTACCTTACTACACAACCATGAAAGCAGAAGACAACATTTAGAGTACTTTGCTCGGTCAGCGACTACTAGGGAGTTGTTCACTGTGTTAATATTTCTCTATTACTGTATAACGGCGATCGGGAACGAAGAATTACATGCATAGTGGCTTATGAGTCTAGCGAGTTTTAGCGGCGCAGATCTTTGTAGAGCACCGAGGCTGCCGAAACAACTCGGAACGGTCTCTGAAGCGTGGGAGCACTTCACATTTCGATAGAGCAGCGACGCAAAACAATTTTGACAATGTAACTACGAAAGGAATAGAGAACAGAAACCCAATCTAGATCTATAGAGTCTCATGTTCATGTGGTCTCTAGCGTAAGTTGTTTAATTTACCACAACGAGCATATTGCGATTAGATTTAGGTGCTGAATTCATGTAGACAGACGCCTTCAATTTGTACATGACAAAAACTGCTTCAATCCGTCTAATTTCGTGCAACAGCCGACAGAAACAAATCCCCACGTGGTGCTATTATCTTGTGACTTGGTTCCGAGTATAAACTTCGTACGATTGGAATATAGGATACAATATATACAAGAAGGTTATAAAGTCGTCATTACATAGCTCGTCCAACATGCGTTTGATAATGGCCGTCGTTGCCAGGTTCCAGATCGAACATCTCTGTACTCTCGGCGGAGTGGCTGCTCTTCTTTAAACTACCTTCCACTGTGCGATCACGCGAATCGCCCTCGTCTGTCTTTGACCAGCCTGACCCTTGAGATCTGCCGCGCGTGGATGGCCAGTACTTCGTGAGTGATAATAGCCGCCGCGACGTGGTCGATGAGTGCATCCAGGCTTTAATCAAACCAGGCAGCATCGGTAGCGATCCACACAACACTACGGACGCGGGTTCTACAACGGTAAACAGAATCGTGTAGGTGGAATAATCTTGTGAATGGGACAGAAAATATCAGCTCGGTTCAATTGACTAGTGAAAGGGACCGGTCCACTTACAGGTTGAATCATACGGATGCTCTGATCCGGGAGAGGTGTTGAAAAACACCAAACGCGTAAGTGTAACGGCCGTGGCGCTAGGCCGTGTTAGTTGATGCACGAACATGCTCATCATGGGCGACATGGGACTCAGAACATACAATATACCTAATAGAAACAAAACACTTATGGCGAGCCGATCGCGCGACGAGCGGTTCAGCTTCCAGATGACGCGTTGGGGTAAGACCAGGACGACAACGTCCGTAGCAAAATTAACGGAGGCAAAAACGATACTAGAAGACTTTGCGGGGAGACAATTCTCGGTCCAAATCGTGTGAAGAGGTCGGCATTCCAACAAAACGCCCAATGTTCCGCTTGTGAACCATAGAATTGTGATGAGGCCCGTCCCAAGCACGCCCCATTTCATCCACTTGCTCGCAAAAGTGAAGACACGGTGGTAGAGCGCAAGCACAGACAGTTTCCCGAAAAGCATGGAGAAATTATAACCAAGTGAGATACCCAATTGAACCTTTCACGAGATTCGATTAGCGTAAGTCTATGGGTTTGTGAAGAGGCACAAGAGTCTTTACCTTTCCAATCTTAACGATATTCTCGGGGTCCTGTAATACCCACAGAAGATGCCTTCCCAAACCCCATCGTACCGCTACACAAGTTAGCGAAACCGACTTGAAAAAACCCCCGTGATGAATGATGCCTTCACTACATACAGAGATCCGACGTAATGTTCAACACAAGCAAAGGTATCTTGAATCGCAGTCAGTAGGGCAGCCCGCGGGAAGAATTGTTTGAGTCCGGGCTCGTGGTGAACTTACCACCGTGCCGATTGCAAGATAATCGTCGGAGGCTAACTTCACTCCTTTCACCCTCCGTGCGACGACGCGCAATGCGACGGAGACTATAGCGAGCGCAACGAACACGCTGCCGACGACAGCAATAGCCGTGCCATTGTCTTCATTGAAGTGGGCGGTCTGGTATTCGATCTCTGACTGAGGAAAACTATCCATGGCGGCCGTGTGGAGGGGTTTGGTCCGTGAGCGAGAGTGGGTGATGGACGCAGTTTGAAGGTGGCGTGAGATCCGGTCTAGTTGTCATTAAGGGTAAACACCATAACCAATCTGCATAAGTCGGTCGATTATCGCTTGGACTCCCACAACGATTTGTTAAAAGAGCGACGACGTGGCCCAACCAACAACCGGTAGGTAGGGACTGTGTTGCGGACGTTAAATGCGATTTTTAGTTGATGAAAGGATATTCATTTGATTGTATTGTAGCTGGATGATTCTGACACGGATTGCTCTCCCATTGCAATTCCTCTGCCGCGATGTCACACAGGGGAAGCATAGCACTTGACATGTGTGTTGCAGTGAAGGATTGATCTTCACGCCGAGGGATTACTATAAAAAGCCACTATGCACTATTATGTTTGACGGGTTCGTGTATAACCAGCCACTGGATGGTACTGTACCATTATCCCGCTTTCCCTAGCACGTAGCCCCATGTGGTGTGAGCAGTGTATCAGGTCAAAATACGATCGTAGTAGCATTAGAAATGTCACTCTCTAATTCGTGCCGTACACATGCATAATGACTCTTGCCATTAAGGGTAATCCTTGTGGCCCCTAACCTCACGATCAGGACCCTCCTCCACTTATAAGCATAAGTAGGCAGTAAGTAGGGATCGTAATATGCCTATCGTTTCCCAATCTGGCTATACCCCCGCGAAAGTAGAATATGTCATGGTGATTTGAAATCAAACTAAGTGCCTAATCCTCGCTGATTCTTCACGGTTCGTGCCGCCACTCTTCGCCAGGAGGTAATTTGTCTCTAATCAATGCCTGTGTTTCAGTGCAAAATTCAAGAGTGACATCACCAGATTCACAAGGTCGATGTTCTGTTCACCAGTGTTGCCTAAAAGCACGCTAGAGCATAGGACTTTCTTAGCCAGAAATTATCCCAGTAAGTATCGGCCGTTGCAGTTTTCTTAGTACACCCCAGAGTAAATACATGCTATTCTACGTAGTACTATGGTAGGTTAAGATTACTGTGATATGCCGAGGATCTCCTTCTGCTTAGCGGATGAGGCACTAAACAGTAAATTCACAGAATAGCTCCGCGTGTCTCTTTCACCGCATCCCATAGCTCATCTACAAAAGGAAGCACAGCATCTGGTAACGGTCCTTTGCGAATTATACCGACGGTATCAACAATCTGGTCACTCTTGCTGGCCCCTAAGAGGACCCCGTCGTCGTCGCCCAGGGCTGAGTGATGCGTGATCCACCGTGCTGCGACTTCCAGGGGGGTAAGACCGAGAGCTTTCACATCTTTATCGAACTTTTTCATTGCTGCAAGCAGGTCTTCCCCTCCAAACATCTTGCGTGCGATCGCGCCGAGGGGGTGATCATCGCCGAAGCGAGTCCCAGCGTGCTGGTCGTTGACTAACTTGCCTGTCAAGAACCCCGCTGCCAGTGACCTAGAATGAAATAGTAAGTACTGGCTGACTGCTGGATTCATCATTATTAGGTCTCGGCGCTCAAAGCTTACTGGAATGCGTTAAAGGCGATACCATGAGCTCGTAGCAGTGGCAGCAGCTCTTTCTCCATACCGCGCGTTACTAGGTTGTATGGGCCCTGGTAGCAGCTTGGCTTTTCCCAACCATTCTGCTCACATAGTTGAAGCATTTTCTCTAGCGTTGGTATGGGGACATTCGAGACGCCCCACTAGATCCGAAAGAAAGGTTATCAGTCTCCTCGAATATAATCCCCTTGTCGAAGTGATACTCACTTTCTTGCAATGGCCCTGGGAAATTTGCTCGTGGAATCCTCGAAGTTGCTCTTCCAGAGGTGTGGAAGGGTCAGCACGATGAATATGAAGTATATTCACCTATCATGCACAATGCGTGTTAGTTTTAATGTTCGTCAGTTGTCTGTGGCCATGGCTGCTTACACCCTCAGGGCGCTTTAGGCGCTGTAGACTTTGGGAGGTAGAGGATGCGATGGCCTCTACAGTCAAGTCCCCACTGCCATCGGTTTTAGTGTCGGTATAGACCTTGGTGTCAACGATGAAGTCTTTGCTGAGATCACTCGCTTCTCCAATAAGTTCCTCTGCCCGGCCAGGTTTAGGGGGAGGGTATCGAGCGCCAGAATCTAAGCGATTAATGCCAAGGTCACGGAGCGTCTTAAGGAGTTCCTTTACACTTTCCACATCCTCAAACTTGGTCATGGGCATGCCAAAAGAGGCTGTGCCGAAAAGAAGCTGCGGCATTGTGCGTAGTCGTAATCTTTCTTTTTTTTTCTTTGTGACTTGATCTTGAACTTGGTAGCAAATGAACGCTAGTGAGACTTGAACAATACAAGTCTGATATTGAGAAAGAGAGCCTTAGGAGAAGGGGGGGAATGGAATGGCACAGTTGTCGTAGGTCGTAGAGTAACTAAACGCCATCTTCATTAGGCAGACAGTGACCCAATAATGGCGCCGCCTTAGGCCTGCAGTAGCACCGGTAGTTATTAATTAGTCGGATGGTCGGAAGGTCGGTGCGGAGAAGTATATGTGGGTGGCGTTGCAATGGACCTGAGCGGATAGTCGGCGGACGGTAGCAAACTACTGCATGGCATTGGGAAGCCAACAGGTGTGTATGATTTATGCAGCGTGTCGATTATCTAGACTCACACATGGTAAACGTGCTGCGGGCTGCTCTGAAACATTGTCACACTGCTAAGTGCTCATTAATATTTTCTACATACCGAACCCAGCCGTGTAACGTTAGTAATTATGCGCGGAAGCAAGACTTACTTTTGCAGTCCATTGGACAGCATCTGGCCGCCGGTTATTCAGACATGGATTTTGGGGTTTCCATGCGATTCTAATAAGAAGGTTGCCGTTTTCAATGCTCTCCGAGCTGGTCTCGCAAAAACTATCGAGCAGAAACCGTTTCTCGCGGGCAAGCTAGATGTGTTAAATGCAAAACTACAGCTCACTTACCGTCGGCTGGATAAGACACCGGTACCTCTCAGTCTCAATGACTTGACTGATCAGCCGAGTGTTTGGCGTCCTTCGTTCGAGCAGTTACGGCGGGAAGGGATGCCAGTCCGCTACTTATCCCCGCGCATTCTTGAGCCGGCGAGCTACGAGACATTAGCGTCTACGCCTGTCATGGCCCAGGCCAACTTCATACCCGGCGGTTGTCTTTTAACAATATGCTATAATCACGGCTTTGGCGACGGTCCGCCACAAGTGAGCTTAATTCAATCATGGGCTCAGAATTGTAAAGACATGGGCGATCAGGGAGTGGACATATTGGAGACGAGCCCGGCGCCTATGATCTCTAAAAATCCCGACGGAATTAGCTCTGATGCGCTGAGTCTCCCGAGTGCGCTTTCTGAAGATGCAATTTCCTCTGATCAGATAAAGGAGGAAACCATCAAGAACGATGCGATGCTGTGGGAAATGCTTGGACTGCAGAAACCAGTTCCCGGCGTCACACAAATCCGCCCAATGAGACCTCCTCTACATAATAGGGTGACGGCCGTTTTTGCAGCGTCAGACGAGGCAATAGCGCACCTAAAAATCTCATCCCAGCTCTCAGGGGCAAGCGGTTCAGACTCGGAAATATCTTCATTCGACGCGGAAGCTGCATTGCTCTGGCGCTGTATAATGAGAGCTAGGTATGATGATCTCAAGCTAGCGGGCTGTGTGCGATCCCGCCTTCGCATCCCTGTCGGACTGCGCAAGTCACTAGGCATCTCTAGAGATTTCCCTGGGAACGTGTTTATGAACAGTGTCACCGAATTGCCGCTCGAAGCTCTAGTCGCGGACACAGATGGGCAACATATTGCGCCCTTGATACGGAAGGCTATCTACGGAGCACGAAATGCCGAGAGGGCGCGGGACGCCATACAGCTTGCCCGTCGGCTTCCTGAACCCAGCTTACGCCGGCCGTACTTCTCCAGCACCACGGGCGCGGATTTGGTTTTGACAACGTGGCGGGAATTCCCGTTCTACAAACACAACTGGGGACGGGTATTGGGTTCTACGGAACACATGCAGTACGTGCGATTTCCCGAGGGCCATCGCCCCGGTATGTGTGCTATGTTGCCGCGAAGAGGCGATGGTGAAGTAGAAGTACTCGTTGATATGGAAAAGGGTCAATTGAGTAAGCTAGCTGATGACATAGAATTCAAGCAGTACTTCACTCTCAGAGCTGCTTAACACTAAGTTCATCTACATGCTTTAGCATCAAAATATATTGCTCTTTAGCCAGTACCTTGAAACATTCCCAGTCTTTAGAGAATGCCGATAGTACTTGTCCAAAGCTAATTTGACCAGTGCAACTGTGTTTACTTGTCATTGTATCCTAATAGATGACCTACACTAACCCCAAGGCCGGGGGGCTTGGCACTCTTTACGCACGAGCAGGGCAGCATTGCCTCAGGTCTGTGTACGCCGTCGAAATCGAACCTGCTGCCTTGGATCAGGAAGAACCCGCTCGTCTATAAACAGATTTTCGGGCCTTTTGGTCTGCCCTAGTGGCCATGAGACGTCGAAGTTCCAGAGTATCCAAGCAATGATTAGCTTGACCTCAACTGCAGCCATGAATCGCCCCGGACATGCATTCCGACCATATCCCCAATGCAAGTTATGTGGGCTTGGAGTGCTGGCTAAATATGGTATCTCGCTGAGACCCCTTTGTTCAGCTTCTTCCCGGAGGTCGAACCATCTCCACGGCTCGAAGCCATCTCCTGTTGGCGGAAAGGCACTAGGATCTCTAGCGGCCCAGTAAGCCGGTGTTGAAATGAAAGTTCCTGCTGGTATGTTTGTGCCGCTTGAAAGAGTGATGGGCTGTTTCACTTTGCGGTTGAATGAGACTGTGAAGTTTAGTCGAGAGCCTGAGTGTATGCTATCATGTGAACTTACGAAGAAGGTGATGATGCAGTCTCTGAGACTCTTTTATGAAGCTGTCTAGTCGCTTCATCCCCTGAACAGCCTCAAGGCACCAGCTCCCATGGGCGGCGAGTGCAGTTCGGATTTCTGATCGAAGTGTATCTTGATGCTCTGGATGCGCTACAAGATCGAATAACGTATTGACTATGGAACTCGCAGTTGACCGCGTCGCTGCGATAGCTATAAAGAGGGTTTGGTTTGTCAAGAACGAGAGTCCAGCTTCATCGTATGTTCCGTCGTGACGATCGATAAGCCATTGCAAGATGTCGACGTTCCCGTCGCCACGCTTTCGACTTTTGATAGCCTCAGTTAAAAGTTCCTGCGATGCAGTAAAATCGCGATCAAGGCTCCTCCGTGCATTCAGGAGGTGGCACACAACAGGTCGAAGTAGATCAGGCCATGGCTGTAGGTCTCGGCACAGTTTACCAGTGTTCACCGTAGTGTCCAAACATAGCTGTAGCCACCGATCGTTATCGCACAGGCCCTCTCCTACAAGAGCCTTTGCGACGCTTCTGTTTACGACGTTTAAGAAGGTCTCGGCCGCATTGAAAGAGTGAAAATCTAGCGTAACATCACAACGAAATCAACATCCAATACCTCAAAAATCCGTATCATTGAGGGGAACAACCAACCTCCATCCTTGTAGCAAGCTCCCATCTCACAGCGGAAGACTGCATCAAGCGTGCTTGTCTGACCAGCTGTAATCTCACCGAGATTCTGAACGAGTTGAGTACGGCAGACATCGACATGGGCGGTACTCTTCAATATAATGTCAACGCGGTTATACCAGCCCAGGTTCCTCTCAACCACGGCCATTCGACTGTCAATATGCGATTCAGGAAGTTTCCGAAGTTCCTCGATGTGAATACTCGGGAGCACCAGGCGCTCCATGTCACCCGTCTGCACCCAGTACATAGAGTGTCTATCACGGCCATATGCTTCCTGGGTCAACCTCTTCCCATTCACCACAAAGTGTTTCCGCGCACCCCATAGCCCAAATATCCAGGGATCTCTGCCAACTCTGGGCGCCTTGACCTTTGTAAGTCGATGATGAAGCCAACCTGCGATATTAGCAGCAATCCAAGCAAAGAATATGCCCTGAACCAGAATCCAAGCACGAGCTGCCCAAGAGGCAAAAGCCTCTGTAGAGAACGGTATTAGGTCCATTTTACCTTTAGTGTGCTGAGTTTGGGTTGGGGGTCAAGTTTTCCACAGAAGCAAGCACAACGCTATGATCCACAACCACTGGGCCGCACAAGTAAATTTGCCAACCACTCAGACAACATCTACATTTCCCTACACACGTAGATCCGAGGTGTTTCTGGGTACCTGGCTTCCTATCTAGATCCCTAATTGTATACCTATGGCTACTTACTGCATAACGTCAGCGGAACACCGAACGCGGCCAAAAGGCACATATTGTAGTGATGAATCCCTCGAATCAAATTCACGGTTTACCCGCTGAGTAATGATATGATGCACGTTCCACCCTTAGGTCTAAAGTCTCGTCCCCTCTAATCGAATCCCGAGAAACGGTGCCGTTGACATTCTCAAGACCTTACTGTAGACACGAAGGTGCTTGCTTAATTAGCCTCACCGAAGCCAGATAGATCTTCAATGAGCCAAGAGTCGCCGTGCTAATTCACAGTGTTTAAAACACCGTACAGCTCATAATACTGGCAGAGCTACGGGATAGGATGTGCATGCAGCCATGCATGCAATTGCGATTAGCACATAAGTCCTATGCGCAGTTCCAGTTGCTAAACTGTACACGCCGCTTCTCTGCATCGTTTGTGTGGCCCTTTAGGAAGTGATCACCGCTATGACCATTGAAATACTGTGTACACTGTATCGCTGCTTATTTAGAACTCTGGACTCGGCCCTTTTCACAATCAACGCGGGGCACGACCCGGGTACATAGCGTTGGAAGACAGACTGCAAATGTCGTATGTTGACGCTTATGCATGCTCTATGGGGTCTGCAGGCGTTGTGAAAATGCGACATGTCTCCGGACAGTCCGGCTAAGACTGTGCAACTCGAGAATCCTACTGGAAGCTTATGCAGGAGTTAGTAATGCGCAGCGAGTTCATAGCAAGAGACCACGCAAAGCCCGCTGAGAATCGTTACTGGACTTGATCATCTCTGGAGACAGTTATCGCATTAATGACTCGGAAAATCCTTGGCTTATATGGAATAGCCGATATTGTACCGGAGTTTCGCGTGATTGAGGGGGAGTTACCGCCGGCATACTGATGCGTGTTAAACGAAGTGATCTGACTAAACCACCAAACTCTTCTCATCCGACTCTGAGGTTCGTGGCTCCTTGGAAGATATATGCTCTTCTAAAAGACCATGTCGACAATGCAACTCCTCGCATTAGGCCAGTTGGCCATGGGCTCTCCCATCACACTGGCGTTCTGCGTTGTTCTGGTGGTGGTAGCAGTGCTGGCAGCTTTAAAAAGAACTAGATCTTCAAGGCAGATTCCAAGAGTAGGCAAGGCTCCTGGCTGGTTTGGCCTGGCGGAGGCAAAAAGAGACTTCATAGCCAACGGCAGGTTACTTATTGACGAAGGCTATCGCAAGGTAAAGCTACTGCTGCCGAATTAGACACTGAATGATAGGAATATGCTCATAATGGTGTCTTATTTTAGTATAAGAATTCGATGTTCTTGGTGCAGACTGCAGACATGGAGCGTATTGTCTTGAGCCCACAATATGTAGACGAGCTCAGAGCCGCCCCTGAATCGGTGCTCAGTCTTAGAGAAGGGATGAGTCAGGTTGGTCTTCAGTAAAAGCCCCTGGAGAGAGGGAAATTTTTATTAACCACTTTCAAGAGACACTTGGGTCAATTCACAACCCTCGATGTAATACTCACTAGTCATTTGCAAAATGATGTTTGCAAAACTCAGTTAACCCAGAATTTAAGTAAGCAGATGCACTGATAAGAATTCTGTGTCCTCTGTCTAATATAGAATCCGCAAGGCGACTTTGTACCTACAATGAATGAAGAGGCCAGCTTCTGGCTCGCGGAGCAGATCTCTAGCACGAGCACGCATGCTGAGCTCACAGGCTATGAGGCTATGCTCAAGATAGTGACGGGCATGTCTTCTAGAATATTCGTCGGCCAAAGTCTAAGCAAAGACGAGAGATGGCTTCGAATGATAGTCGAATACACCATCGATGTCTTCCTAATCTCGACTGCCCTACGTCCATATCCCGCCATGATCCGTCCCTTGATTGCACCTGTAAGTATCTATTGTCTTTGCATGAGCTTTTCTTCTGCTTCCAATTTCCTATCAGTCGTGTACCTTTGGTCTCTCAAAGGGCCCCATATCTGACAGAATATCATAGTGGTTATCATCCGTCAAGCGGATGCAGAGACATTTGAGCATAGCACAAGAACTCTTTGCGCCAGTCTTTGCAAGCTCCATGTCCAAAGAGTCTAAGTCCAGCAGAGATTATAGTGTACTAGAATGGATGGCTAGGTCTGCACAAGGCGGGGACAGAGATCCGCGTATTTTAGTCAAGAAGTTGCTATTCCTAACACTGGCGGCTATCCATACCAGCACTATGAGTATAACACATGCACTATTTGACCTTTGCGAGCACACCGAGTGTATTGAGCCCCTGCGAGAAGAGATAAAGGCGGCTGTTAGAACTCATGGGTGGACTCTCCCAGCTGTAAACAGTATGAAACTGTTGGATAGCTTTCTCAAAGAATCACAGAGGATTAATCACCCAGGTCTATGTGAGTGACTAAGCTCATTCTGCTTGATCTAACACATATATAAACAAACTTAATCGTCTTCTCTTTATTTATTTTTCTTTAAAAAAAGAGCGAGACACCTCTGACAACTTATCTAACTGAATCGACAGTGTCTTTCAATCGTTGGGTGAGGAGCCCGTTACATCTATCAGACGGTACAGTGTTGCCAGCAAACACGTTTATCTCGATGCCAACGAACTCAATCGCACACGATCCAGAGCTTTACAAGAACCCGGAATGTTTCGACGTATTCAGATTTCTAAACAAGAGATTGGCGTCACAGGCAGATGCACAGCGACACCAGTTCGTCAGCACTAGTTCAGACAGTCTTCCCTTTGGACATGGCAAATTCGCTTGCCCGGGTCGATTCTTTGCCGCAGCGCAGATCAAAATAGTGCTGGCTAATATTATCATGAAGTACGATGTCTCATTCCCTGACTCACAAACACGGAGACCGGACAATGTGTTTACAGGAGAAGGGATTGCACCGGATCGCAAGCAGAAAGTGGTGTTTAAGCAGCGGGGAAAAAGATAAACTGGTATTAGGTAGTAAGCCATATCATTATCTGCTAAGACTCTCATATACGAGCAACAGCTTCGAACTGGTGGCGATGTTTGGGCCTAGCAAAATTGGGTTACGAAAATCAAAATACAGATCAAAGCTGAAAACGTCTCGTTCTACATATATCGTTTTGACTGTTAAGAAAACCTTAAAGGTTATTTTAGGCACAGAAAACTCCTCATCTCTTCATGTTTACTACTTTTACTATTACCGACCAAAGGGCAACGTATTCTGTGCTATATGTAGGTAGTAATATATCCATAAGAAACACATGACTTGGCTTGAGGTCCTTGATTCGTGTTAATAGACGTGAGACCAAGCCGCGCGGTTAAAGCACACTATAGCATTGGGAATCCAAACGTTAATACTCCCTGAGAGATACGCGGCATAACTATAATGTCTACGACTATATATACTTCATACGGTATACTCTATATAATCTACTTCATACAATACCTTCGACGTTCATTGCCTTTGGCGACCGGGATAGTAGCATTCATAACGCAATCTCGTCTATTCATGTAAATTGCAAGTCACCATGATTGAAAACAATGCATTATGTATAAATATCAGTTAGGATGAGTGAAGACTGAGTGTTTAGATCTTTGAACTCCCGGTCTCAATCATTCACAATTTAGTTCCCAATGCTCGGTAGAATATAACTATGTGTTGCTATTACGATAGCTTAGACTCAGTTAGCAGCTTACAACAACAGTGTAGTAAGGGTTTTAAACATGGATTGGAAGTTGCAATGTAATAATCTGCTAGGCCTATGTGAGAACTGCAACCTCAGGGTTACTTTATGACAATTGTTCACGCACGAGCTTCTTTGTCTGTAGTCTTAAATTCGTGGTAGTCTGCTAAGGTCTTTAGCTACCAGGTGCATTCTTCGCCTTGGTGGCTGACTTTAACACTCGGACTAAAGATACGCACTGCGCAATCATATTTTACAACCTTAGTAGCTCTGGTGAATCTTGTGGTGGCACCCAAGAAATCCTCATGCATCCTTCAATAGTTGGAAAATTTAACATTATACACTAGCTCTTAAATATCTACAAGGAAACTTATTTATCAGGTGGTTGTTATTACATTAGACTATGACATGCAAGACAGTAAGAAGCTAAGACCGCCTCAGCCTTCAGCCATCTTATCTTCCCACTAGGACAGGATTGCTCTCCCTAATCTCATCTTCATAGTTCCTTTTAATACCCTTAACGCGTAGCTTCAACTGGTATTTACCCTTCTTCGTACCTGAAGCGTACTTGACTTTCTCACCCTGTTTCACTGTAAAAGCCGCGCCACTCGGGTGTCCGTTGACAATCCACTGTGCCTTGAGGATGACGCCGGGATCCCATCGTCCAGCGGTTGCGGTAATGGTGGGTCCGCACTTGACTTTCTCCTTATAATGAAGGACGGGGTTTGCCTGACGCTTCAACGCAGCTCCGTGTCCACCAACGCGAATGACATCTTCGAACTTGTTTCCCCGGCTCGAAGACTTAGTGACCTTCTTCAGCAGAGGAGTCTTGCCTTCGGGGCTATGGTCCTGGATCCAGCTCGCGACGAGCTCGAGATAATCCCACGTCGCACGACGTTGATAGTTCCCGCCGTGGTTCTGACCCGGGGCTATAGTGACGTTGGCCCAGTTGGGCCCTCCAAGGCCATTGACGTTCTTCTCGAACTCGGACACACCTCCGTTTAGGAAGTAGTTGTCATGAGTACCAACGTAGACGTAAATACGCCCGCGCAGCACCTCTCCGAGATTCTTTTTGTTGTCCCAGTTGCTGGCGATGTAGTTCGAGAGGTCCATTTCTTTCCAATATTCAACCGACTCGGGGTATATCTCGCCGGTAACCTTGTCCCAGGGCTCTAGGGGATAGCCGTTCAGCCCTTGGACGCCAAATACAGCATTCCAAACATCCCACTGCAATGAAGAGCGAGAAGAAGTTCCAAAGACAAGCTCCCAGTGGTTTTCCTGTGCAGTGCTCGCCAGAATGATCTCGGTATCGTTATCAAAGGTGCGGATCGAATTGACTGTATCGCCGTTGGCGTTTTCGTAGGCGTTCTTATTACTGTACAGTGCGATAGCTTGATGCATATGGAAGTCCAAGGAGTCTGGATAAGAGGAGAAGCAGGCGCCGAAGAGGTCTGGTCTGAAGATGACGCTGGCGGCAGATATCCACCCTCCAGTTGAACCACCGTCCTGAATTCGAGCATATGGCTCAGCGATGGTGTTGAATATCATATCGAGGTATGGGATTAGTTCATCATTGATGGCGTCACCATAAGGCCCCAAGTTGGCTGTGTTCACTCCATAAGAATCATCATAATATGGAGCTTCATGACGGAAGGCAACAATGATCAATTTCGGTGCTGGTCGGTCAGCGGCACCGTCTGTCCCAGGTATGATACCTTTATCCCATGCCGCTGAGAAGGCGGCATTGGTAGAGTAGCCGTAAGGACCGTTGCCACCGGTCCAATGGTTCTGGTTGTAGAGCACGGGATACCGAGTCTTCTTGTCCGTAGCGTCATATCCCGAGGGAAGCAAGACATTCGCACCAACATACATATCGCGACCCCAGAATTGGCTCAGCTTCTTACTCTTGATTTTCACGTACTTCAACCGTTCCGTGTCGGCGTAGTTACCTTGAGAACATCCTCCGATTTCCTTGCCTGCGAATGCGTCAACAGGCACTACACTATCAAATGCGAGTTTGATTGTCTGAGAGCCACCGTGTATCTCAAGATCAATTGCTGGCGTAGTAAGACTTCCAACACCTGCGACATTGGGTGCACCATCGCCACAGGGAAATTTGAGATATACCTCAGAACCATCGGCGCGCTTGACTTGATCATACGGGTTCAAAAAGGCTTGAACTCGGTAGGCGCCAGCTGCTACTTCGTCTAAGGAGGGTTTGAATTAGCATTGGAAAATTGCACCTAAGTGTCCATCAAAGAGATGAGGATAGAGCAACATAAAGTATAGGCTCCCAGTCCATGTCTACTCACCCATGCTAACCAGTGGCCAACCATAAACACCAGTCGCAGTGTTGTTCGAGTCACCACCAGACAATGTGACAACGTCTTGGGCACCAAAGTCGAAGACGTTCATGCCAAACATCTTGTTCGGCGAGGACGTGACATCCGTGTCGTCAAGGGGATCGGTGCCATTGGGTGCGAACATAAGCACCACGCGACCATTGATGCTGCCTTTGAGTATGTCATCAGCCACAGAAATCTGCACACGAAGATTGGCAGTGGCTAGCGTAGCACATGGGAGCACGCTGGCTACGATGAGAGACACCCATCGGGCCCCTTTGAAGGAAACCATACTGGCGGAGCGGTGAAGATAGTCGGATGAGAGTTGAACGAGCACGCGACGAGCATCTAGGCATGTCGATCTATTCATATGCTGCCGTGGCGTGTGTGGGGTTTGCTTCTAGCGCTCCCCAGCATTCTGGTAAACGCATGGCACCCTTGGTGCCGAGGGTGCGTACCTACAGTAGCTTGTGTGAATCATCATCATCAATCCTTATCACAATATATTTTTACTAGCATTAGTCGGCGGGATCGCAAATGCGGTTCGTATTTGTCTTCGTTTCTCCCCGGACACTTCCCTGTTCACCAATCAAGGTTTTATCGCGTACACTAAACACAAGATAACGGACAGTAGTGGCGTACCGTAGAACCTATAACGGAAAAGGCTTCAGATAAGGGAGATTAGCTGGATAATGTAACGGCATCTAGTTCACGACTTGCCTCTTTTGCCAAGAAACCCGTCCAACGCTACGGTGTTGTCGACCTGCCTTTTCGGGTATCAACAACAGTTCAAACAATTCTAGGCTCAGTCAGCATCTTCAGCTCGTCTTTGACACTGCTTGCACTTGCACGCAGAGTAGGCACCTGTAATGTCCAGATTTAAGTGATCCATGGATTGCTTGAGCTGAAATGGTCTTCTGAATTAAATGGTACCCTGAAAAAAAGAAAACATGACAGCTACTAATAGCGGATGAGGTGATACCGACATTGAGAAGACGAGTTAAGTAGAACGGGTATCTTTTTCCTCAGCTCACAAAATGTTAGGTCTGGGGATTCTTTGAAACTAATCCTGCTGTGAGCTCATAGTTATAACTATTCAAGTTCGGGTAGACAGTAGAACCCATTCAGTTAACTCCGCGGTCTGACGTCATCTTGGGTTCTGAGCATGCATGATGAATTTGTTGCCATATATCTCAACGTAATCGACAGATTGATCTAAAGAGGAAACAAATGGTGTAGTGACTCCTAAGCAAACGCTAACCCGACATTTTAACTCCTTTTGCGAAAAGATTCGTTATGCTTCAAGTACAGTTTAGCAGATATGGATGGCATCACCAGAGGCATTAACGCAGTCTTGACATAAGCGACTCGGCCACACGAAGATCTGTCCCTGCAGCTTCTTACTATGTTGGCATAGAACCGATACCAACGCCAGTCTCGCAAGCCAATTATCCGTGGCCTTGACGACAACAGAGCCGTCTGGTACGTCGAGCACTTGGTCCCAGGTCTCAATCGCTAGCATTTCACTGCTTATTTCTTGAGCGCGGTTGCCATGCACGCAGGAGCTCTTCAGAACGAGCTTGAGGGAGGCTGTTTTCAACGCTGCGGATATGTCTACGTCCGCAACCCACTTCCCAGAGTATCGAACGGATAGTACGGCCTCGATCAAGTTCACATTAGATTCCCTTTGTCCGATGCCTTGGACTTGGACGACAGGTGCGTGCCATTCGGTAAAACTCAAGTGGAGCGAGGTACTTTTGAAGCAATCCACATAGGTATTGTCGAATGCCGTGGGCTCAATCCGCCATGCGGCAGGGTCCACCTCGCGTGCTCTCAAGTTTGCTGGGATGGTAAAGATCGAGAAGCCAGGGTGTCCAGTGTTTCCCAGTATCCTTGTAAAGCTGTGGTCGGAGCAATTTGTTACGGGGTCATTGACCAGCTGCTCAAGAGTAAAGCTATTATTAGCGATTCTCTTCTTTCGATTTCATAGGCTTGGTGACTTCGGAGGTAATACTTACCTTGCTTAGAATGAAAATTGAATCGCCTCCGCTGAGACCCAATATCCTGGAGTCGTCTTTTAAGCCATCGGCGATATTGCTAGCAGTTTCAAAGTACCCAATGAGACATAACACTGAGTGGCGATTGATTCTCAAGCGATTATCCACGTCTAGCCAAGGATCGGTACCTGAGATATCTAGAATCTGTGGCTGGAACGGATGGTCGACTATTGCTGAGCTGATTGTTGCACCGCACGAAGCTAGATTTTCATATGTCTCGTATATAACTGATAAACACTTTAAGAACCCAAAGGCTGGTTCTAGCTTAAGAGAACTTATTAGACGTCTAGAGGAAATTAGCCCGGATTCAAAACACCATAGGACGTCCTCAAAAGTCAGTTCCGGAATAGAGTAATCTCGAGGAGAATCTTCCGATATGCCGTAGCCTCGGCAATATAGTGATGCATGCTCACATCTAGGATGATGGTCTGACAATTCGCAGTCATCCCTCTGGCCGATCAAATATCCGTATGATCCCTGGGTATAATTAAGAGTAACAGTTCCGGTTAGAGTATCATGGAACCAAGGTCTCGTGTCACCCTTGAAGTTACCACCGCCGAGATATTCTATTTTCTCGTGAGGATGTTCACGCTGGAGGCGGTCAAGATTCGAGCTACAAAACTCGTCAAACGATGGAACCTCTTCAGATGCGTGAATATTACCAGCGATGTTTTCTTTATTTATATCTCTGTCCTGGGCATACCTTCGGGGGCGTTCAATCCACCGATGATGTCGCGGGCCACGGTTTTTGGCAGCTGCACCATATCGGTCTTCTGGTGGTTGGGCGCAAGCGCTAGCATACACAATGTCTTCCTTCTCACGTTCTAAGCTGAAACATAGAATAATACTATTCTCAGCATTTAGCCCGGTTACTCTAGATGCTAGGCGTCGTAATAGGCTGATTTTGTGTTCTGAGCTGCGAAGGAGATATAGTAAGCTAGGTAAATGAGTGAGTTTGAAGAAGGGACGTCGTGCTCGCATTATTTCAACCGGAACGAAGTTTGGGCGCCGGCGACCAAGGTGTGTCGCGAGGACAGCTTGGGGATCTCGGTCTTGGTAGGCTTTGAAAAGGCGACTCAGACTGCGCGTCGATATTCCTGGGCTGTCTCTTAGATTATCAATGGCTTCTATAATAGGAGCTGACGTCAGGTCTGTTATGGCCTTAATAATTTTGAAGACAATACTAGTGGCCTGAATGGGAGTTCTCCAAGTGCTTAGAAGACTCCCCATACACACAAGTATGAACTCATTCAGAGTCAATCGTGAACCGTCTGAGTCCAGTCGCCGTGTCCGCAAAGTTGGGTTACCATAGAAAGTATGGTGTGCGAGTGATAGTGACCAATAGACGCCCAAGGGCTCGTGCGGCCCCGTGTCAGAGAATCCCAAAGATAAAATTCCACCCTCTTTAACGAGGGAGTCCTTCATCTGGATTCTCGTGCCTCCTGATTGGCCATTAAATACGATCATATCAGGGAATATGTGCCAGGCCGATAGACCAAGCAGAACTGGAGCGTCCCGGGAAGCATGTGGACGGCCCAAGATAAGGCCCTCCATTGCTGACAATGCCGTCTTCCAAACATGAATGGCATTCGAGTATAGATTTTGACCCTCGTTGTGGATAGCAATATTGATATTTTGAGCGATGAGGAGGAATTGCTTATACTGTTTTTGGCGTGCGCTATCGGCAGACTGTAGCCAGGCTCTGGTGCTGGAATCCCATTTGGCTAGTTGTTCCCGAGTAATCTCCTGTTGCACGGCCGATAAGACTCCCGGGTGAAATAAGTCACCTTGTTCTATGTCGGTGAGAAGCTCGCGCTTCCTGTTTTCTATGAGTTCGACCCAGATGGAGGTGGCCTCGGCAGGTGAAAACATCCGCGCAATTATGCATGCAAGAAGGTGTACGGGCAATGCTTCCTTACTAGAGGTTGCAGCAGCCCATATCGACCTTGCATCAATGCCGCCATATTCCATGCGTAACCAGTTGTCATCTGCCGCTCGTTTTTCTTTTTCCGCCTCGGCAACTTCTCGGGATATCTCGGACGCGCGCAGTCCATAAGCCTTGATGAGATTTGGTGTTTTGGGACAGAATCCTTCAAATAAAGCACCCAATCTCCTTGCAGTCCAATGCAAAGAGCCCGTCTCAGCTTCGTGTACTCGTGCCGGCGAGAGTACTGTCGCTATGTCACGATATTCTGGAGGAGCCTCGACTTTAACTAGCGTAAAATCGAAATTGATGTTGGCGGCTGCAACGGTAAATTCTTGAGTAACCTGCGCTAAGCTGGCCTGCAGTCTGCCTAGGGCTGTATTGCTAGGCATTTTGACTAAAATTATGAGAGGAGCAATGAAAACGTTGAGCGTATGAAGAATATTTTTGATCAGATTTTATGCTCTTCGTGCAACTTAGATGAATGAAATCAGCCCCTAATGAGATTCATCCTTTGACTATGAGCGGGTTTAATTGACAGGAGGCCTTTTTACTTGTAGTAGAGTGAGTGTGCAGAGTAGAACCCCTATGCAGTATAGATATATGAGCGAGTGTCGGTTTCAGCTCCTGATGTTGAACCAATCGGCGTTCTAGGTGCTAAATCCCCTCACACGAAGTTCCTACAAGCAAAGGGTTGCTTAATACTAGGCAGAACATCGAGTTCAAGGCTGACTGGAGATCAGCGGTCAAGATGGTGCTCATGACGCCGACTGGTGCGCGCTCCACCATCTCTTCATATGCATCAAGTCCGAGAAGCCACTGAGCATACTACTATACGGTAATGCATCAACGTCTGAACAGGCTACAGTGATAGGCTAGTCTTTGCCGACTACGCCACCTCGCAGCCTACCTAGGTACATTCCATCGTCGTGTTAATGGCATACATCAGTGCCATATTCATTGCTCTCATACCAGCACCGCCATCACTTGACACGCCGCCTCTAGAGGGATCCATATGGTATTGCACTTCAATAGGCGCAGGAGAATGTCGCAATGAAAAGCAAAGGCACTGAATTTCAAATACACCGTAGAATATATCATCCTCCAAAACTCGAGACGACTCATAGCAAGAACCAAAGGCGGAAAGGGGAAGATCATTGAAGGTCACTGTCGGCTCAATGAGCAGCATCCCAGTGAACTATATGTCTCTCAACATGCGTCGTATAATTACAACTCGATTTAACAACATAATTATAGACTTCACGTGTCTAACAGAGATGTGGATTCAGAGATTATAAAGTGCAAATATCATCGAGCTAGACTCATTACTCCCCAAAATACAAACACCAGACATCGTTCCCAGCCCAGGTAAGCAATTTTCCCTTCACCCTCACGACCAGCACTCATACTTCACCCCCTACACATTCTTCGCGGCCTCAGCACCCGCAATCCGACCAAAAATAGCACATTCCAAAAGCGACGAGCCACCAAGGCGATTATCCCCATGGATACCCCCCGTGATCTCGCCCGCGGCCCATACACCCTCAACAGGCACCCCTTTCTGCCCCAGGACCTGCGCCTTCGTATTAAACGCGACCCCGCCCATCGTGAAATGCGTCACGGGCGTGACGGTGCCAACAGCAACTTCTTCTTCACGGTTCGCTTCGCCGGCGGGTAAGCGCCAGTGTCCGAAGGTCTCTCGTCCGAAGTCCTGGTCTTTACCCGCCGCCACGGCCGCGGCGTACCGATCTACGGCCTCGATGACGGCCGGCGGCAAGTCCTTCACTTTCGTCTTCTGCATCAGGCCCTTGAAGAGGTAGAATCCGAGATGCGAGCCCGCGGCCTCGGCGGCGCCTGGGTCGAGTAGTAGCGTCACGTCCCACTGTCGGACGCCCTCGTCTTGCGAGCGCGGCAGCGCCATGATGGCATCGCTCGTGACGTCCCGACGCTCCATCTCGTTGACGAATCTGCGGCCGTCCGCGGAGAGCAAGATCCCGCCCTCGCCGCGCAGCGCCTCGGCCGCGAGGAACTTGTACGTCGCTGTGCGATCTTTCGGGTCCACGAAACCTGTAGGGTGAATCTGCACGCTGTCCATATCGACGAATTCCGCGCCTAGGTCCGCGAGGAGTCCGTGCGAGGCTGGGCGCGCGTCGTTCGTGGACGGCATGCCCGCTAGATCGGGCCGGTGTTTCGCCATGAGGCCGTGGGCGTCGCCGGCAAAGCCGCCTGCTGCGAAGACCACGGGTCCTTGCAATTCATGCGTCTCCCCACTAGCAGTATATCGCACGCCAGTCACTTTTCCGTCTTCGGACACCATTAGTGCCTCGACTTCAGCAGACGACGTGAGCGTGAAATCCGGGTTCGCGCCAAGCTTTTTCAACAGCGCGCCGACGATGGCTGCGCCAGGCGGTGGTCCCGTGGTCCCGCGGTGTGTGCGCGCGAGGGAATGGCCGCCGAGCTGTGCCACAGTGGTGAGATCGACGCCGATCTCGTCCGTGAGCCAGTTCACAGCATCGGCAGATTGTGACGTCAACATCTCGATGAGCTCCTTCCTCTCAGCCTCCCCCAATGCGCCGCTCTGCGATGACATTCTCGCGCCCGCGGACCGCGCCGAGTCAGCGTAGAACTTGGCACTATCATCAGACGTGATATTCTTGTCTTTCTGGAAGCGCGTGCCCGCGCCGTTGATGCCAGAGGACGCTTTGATGCTGTTTCCGCCGGGCTTTGCCGCGCGGTCTAGCATGTGCACCTTGGCGCCTGCTTTGAGCGCCTCGTATGCCGCTGACAGACCCGCGAGGCCGGAGCCTACGGTGATGACGGGCTTAGCCATGGCGTTTGCGCTCGGGACTCCAACTGTAGTCTTGTAAGTCAAGTCAGTAAATGTGAGGCGGAGGTAGATCATGCATGAGATCGCCGCCGCGACCCCGAGGACAAAGTAGATTAGCGAAGAGCGGCTGCAATGTAGCATCGAACTGGGGGAAATACTAATTGGAGTTCATTATTTCTCTTACATTTCGCTCTTTTATTGGGCTTTGATATATGTTTGGGATGTGCTGAGTTGTAGGGCGAGATGATCGTATGACGGAGTCGGATCGTACGATGTAAGCCCTCCGCAGCTGCCGCTGACCAGGCAATTACTGTCTGCCTTGAAAACACACAGCAATGTCGCCGATTCTAACTTTGCCTGACCCCGACTTACCTTGCACATGCCTAAATCTTCAAAAGGTAGTACATACTACAAACTTCGCCTGCAAAAGTCTTTGATTGGGTTGTTGAGCTTCTTCGCCAATTGACCGACGATAGGGACCTAGACAGAAGGGCGCAGCATAAAAAATCGATTTAGAAGTAATGCTTGTCTATTACTATTCTGATTATAACAGTCTTAGGTTTTGGTTAGGAAGGAAAACGCTCATCATCATTTTGTGAGGCGGCTAGAGCGCCTATGAATTGTGAAATAGAGAACCTGCATTTGGCATGCCCTTCTATGTCTTGACGTCGGGCTCATCACGTCCAACGTACTCCTTAAACTTCAGCAAATCGGTTGCGAACTGAATCTCATCTTTCAAGAAGTCCTGTGCATCTTGTTCGTAGGTCGAAGGGTCTTTACTGTATTGTTCGATGTACAGTCGAATAGTAGCTCCGGATGAGCCGGTACCGGACAATCGAACGACTATACGACTACCGCTTGAGAAGCGGGCATACAAACCTTGGTTAGAGGCAACCGAACCGTCGAGATCGGTGTACGAGAAGTTTCCAGCGTCGGTGACGGTGCGTTCTGTGGGATTGAGTTAGTATAGAAATACAGCGAAAAACACAAATCTTTCGGTAGTGCAATTGGGTATCGTACCTCCAATCTTGCTGCCAATGAAGTCCGGTTTGGCAACCAGATCTTTCAGTGTGCCGACGACCTTGTTGGCTCCGTCCGAGTCAACGTTTTCATAGTCGTAGCGAGTGAAGAAAACCCGACCGTACGTGCTCCAGAACTCCTTCTGGATCTCTTTAATGCTTGGAGTGACTCCAGGGTTCGCCTCGCCAATGCCAGCAATAATGTTAAGCCAGGCGACAACAGCCCAGAGACCGTCCTTCTCGCGTACATGGTTGCTGCCAGTGCCGAAGCTCTCCTCACCACAGATGCTGAGCTTGTTGGCATCGAACAGGGCACAGAAGAATTTCCATCCCGTGGGGACTTCGTAGCAATCCAGGCCCTGAGCCTTAGCAACCAGATCAACAGCACCAGATGTTGGCATACTTCGAGCCAGACCATATACACCCTGGTTCTTGAAGTAGGGAATGAGCTTGGCGTGGTGGGCAATGATGGCCAAGCTGTCGCCAGGAGACACAAAGGCACCCGCGCCATAGATCATGTTTCGGTCGCCATCGCCATCAGAAGCGGCACCGAAAGGAATCGAGTTCTTGTCAACAACTGAGACAAGCGAGTGGGCATATGTTAGGTTAGGGTCCGGGTGTCCGCCGTTGAAGTCAGGGGCAGGAACACAGTTTTGGGTAGAGTTCTTCAGACCAAGTTCCTCCTCGAAGATGGCTTTTCCGTAGGGGCCTGTGACACCATGGAGACCGTCGAACAGAACTTTGAAGTCAGGGTTGTTGCTGAAGAACTTCTTGATTAAGGGGAAATCGAAAATGTCTTTCAGCATCTGCATGTAGTCGGCGGTGCTGTCGATGATTTCGACTTCGAGATTTCCGTACGTCTTAGTTCCGACGGTGGAGATGTCGATGTCGGGGAGATCCGAGATCTTGTAAGATGTGAGGGTCTTGGAGGCTTCGTAAATCTTGTTTGTCACACTCTCAGGGGCGGGGCCACCGTTCGACAGATTGTACTTGATACCGAAATCCTCGTTAGGTCCTGTAATGCGGCCAATTAGCGCCCATTTTCGGTATTGCTCTCAAGGTCTCTGAGCTTACCGCCGGGGTTGTGGCTAGCGGTCAACAGAATTCCGCCGGTTGCTTTGCGCTTTCGAATGACGTGACTGGCAGCCGGGGTGGATAAGATGCCATCTTGTCCGATCAACAGCTTCTTCACGCCGTAGGCAGCGCCAATCTTGGCAATTAGTTGGATTACCTCGGGGTTCCAGAATCGGCCATCACCACCAATGACCAAGAACGATCCTGTATGTCTGGTGAGCGAGGCCTGGCCGAGTATGGGAGCTACACGGAGCTACTTTGCACGGACCTTCAACACCCTCTGGGATGGACAATAGAATGCTGGTAACGAAGGATTCGCTGTAGTGAGGCTGCTGAAAAACCTTGACCTTCTTGCGAAGACCAGAACTACGGATCTGTCAGTGATTTATGCGGAACTCAATGTTCATGCAGCGAGGTCTGTGTGATTGGGCGGCAATGATGCTCTTGTTTTGCTCCAGTTTTGATTGATGGCGGGGTAGGTCAAGGAAGCAGCAACCTACGTTCCGGGCTTTTGGTCCGTAAAGGACTTGAATTCAACTGTCTTGACGCTCATGGTTTATGGTCTTCACAGCGTGTACGCAATTGAGGAGATCTAGGAGTATTGTAGACTGAAGGCGGAATCTTGGTGGGAAAAGTGGGAGAGTAAATAGGAACCTCTGATCGAAAAGGGGAGGGATGAGCTGGGAGCTTGTGAAATGCATCAACTACGTAAAGACTGGGATAATGGCGGGGTTAGTTGCACTGACAAGCTTGCTTAGGTTCTGCCAGGTCATAGCTAGCGCAAGCGATAAGGCAAGCGATAGGTAGGTAGGCGATAGGTGACCTCATATCTCAGGTGGGGGAAATTATACAGTAATCAAAGCTACTTGATATACTGTAGTGAATGCACAAAGCATCGCTAAGCATACAGTGTCAATACAGTAACAACCAACCCCCCATCTTCAGCTCCTACAGAGGAAGCCAGCCACAGAACAGGCTACTTCCAATATATTGCCCCTCACTTTTACCCCTGGCCGCATCTAGACTCTCGAGACTCTGTCTAGAGGTGAGTAGAATAATTATCCAGGGCCAACCGAGCTGCCACGCGCTCGCAGCTCTTAACAAAATCAATAATACCTATTCTGTTAGTATTTAGCATGGCCGTCCAGCTGTGAATCAAATTTTCTTGACCCGAGGACTTCATTGGTCACAAGAAAAGTGAACGTGGGAGAAGATATGGTATGGCTTCAGTATAGGTAGGTATGTTCGGGAACTGTTGAACATGGGATGACAGGCATGTTGTGGCCCTTTCAGCTTTGATCAGTACGCTATCGAATCATATCCATCGTACGAAAAGTAAAGTTTTAGGTAAGGTACATGCAAACACTCAAGGCTCGCTGCTCTTTTTATCAAAGAGAGCTTCCTTGAAGTACCGCGCCTCCGCAATACTCTCGAGAATGTCCTCCTTGGCCTGGTGAAGGCCCCGTTTCCTTGGCGCTTTCCGAATGACCTCGCGGGGAGCCCATCGACGCGCCGCCTCCTTGATAGTACTGACGTCCAAGATCCGATAGTGTAGATGTTCAACTACCTTCTTGTACGGCTCCTTGGACAAGAACGAGCGGTCTGCATGCACGCTATTCCCTGCCAGCAGCGCAGTCCTCTTCTCCGGCACGTACTTCTTGATGTAAGACAATAAGTCCTCAGCTGCTTGCTCAGCCGTCACCTGGGAGGCGATCACCTCGGCGGTCAGCCCGGACTGCGCGTGCGTCCTTGTGCACCATTCATCCATCATGTCCATCCTCTCTTTCGACTGGTGTATCACGGCGCGCCAGCCTTCCTCGTCGATGACTTCCAGTGTGCCCGTGGTGATGATGCAGAATATCTCGATGATTTCTTCGCGATCTGGGTCTAAGCCCGTCATCTGTAGTGGAATCAGGCGTCAAAAATTCGTTGCTACTCCGAGCACACATGAGGCTTCTGATTAGGTGCTCACCTCGCAGTCAATCCATACAAGGGCTTCTTTGCCAGCCATGATGTTTGATTCTGGCCCTGCCAAGAGGTGGGGTGATGTTGCGTCAATGGAAAATAGCGTTGCACACATAGCGAATCTGCCTGCTTCTGGAATTAGTTACTTGTTGCAAGCGCTTAGAATAGACCTACTAGCCCAGTAATTAGTTTTTGGCGGCTGGCAGAGTAGTGTCGCAGTGTGATTACGCAAAGTTGTAAGGCTGGTGTTCCACTTTCTATGTGGTGCAGCTGTTGATGTCTTGTATTCTTCTTATGCAATGGCTCCGAGCCTGATATGATGCTTACTGGCTGAGTGAGTAGACGCCTTTTGGCAACTTCGAATTTAAAAAAGGTTATAATCTGCGAAAGAAATCATATGCACATCTCATTCTTCCACTAACTGAACTGATGAAACGAAGTATACTTCTGAGTCGAATGTGCGATCGCTTGCGCATGGAAGTATTCATTAAACCTCAACTCAATATAATACGCTACGCTATTGCTTGGTGCGCGACATTTGAATCTTGTCACTACTAGGAAATTCGTGACAATACTACGATGTCCCGGACTTATTGCCATTCCCTTACTAGAGCTGGTGAGCACGTTGTCGCGGAGGCTTCATCTTTGGATCTACAGCTTTAGACGATTCTTACCGCTGACCTGTGTCGGGGTTGCGCCGACCGCCAAAGCCCCACATTGTGCTCTATAATACCGTCGTATTGCAAGCTTTAGCTCAAGTTATATATATATATATATATATATGCATATTCTGTGCAGGCCTGGCCAGCTATAACCCCTATCCTAATAATAGCCAGCTGCCGATACCAGGGCAAGGGATATTAATCTATCGCCAAGTCTTGAGCACACGAGTATAATCTAAGATTCTGTGAAACGAATGTAGTGGACTTACCACTCTGCCTTCCGCTTACATAGCTGACCTAGGGAATATGTATATAGACTTGGAGCTTTCAAGCGGACTGATTACGAAGTTCGACCCCTATTTCATCATATTTCCTGGCTCCAGAATGCAGCCACACGCAGCCCCCAAAACCTGAGTATAAGATATGATGACAGTTGGGGGCGCTAAAATTTGAGATGAACAAAAATATGACTCAAATAGGGCGAATGGCGTTGTGTTACCGCGCGGAAGGAAGATGTCTCGCTGGTGAGAGGGGCCTTGGGGGCTGTATGTTGTATCAACTGAAAGCTCATTTACTTTCTTGGGGTGATGGGGATGAGAGTAATAATAATCATCACCATTCATAAATCTCTTGTGGCTTGACTGAGAGGGTCAGTGCTATAGGTCCTAGATTACCTTCGAGATTCTGATTAATGATAGCGCCTGCTGTGAGCATTGCTTCGGGGTGCTCAATCTTGCCTTCAGCCTGTGATAGCAAACTCGATCAGCTTAAATACTTATTCTTCGCGTCTCTACCCAGGGTCGAGAGGCAAGAGAAGTCGTCACTGCATTGCATTATTCCTTACCACCGAGCTGAACAACGATATGACTTCCGAAGGAGACGCCAAAGCCACTATGGATCAGGGCTACCCTGTACATATTGGCGCGTGGACGAACTGGTCCCGTGGGTCAATCATGGGCGCAACTGTGACATTGACACGACAGGATGCTGCCTTGGTCATCGCGTTTACCAGCACCTTTCTTGCCTTTATTGCAACCAGAGTTTGGAGACTATTCTGCTTCGCCCTGCACAGATACTATTCTGCTATGGGTCCCCAGGATGCTACATATCACCAAATGCAAGCAATCTTACGCAACGCTGCAGCACCTGAGGATGGCATACGGCTCTTCTTAAAATTGTTATCGATGAAACACCGGCGAACAAAACGTTATCACCAGTTACTCTTCTCCGTTACTTCTGGTATAATTCTCCTGATATCGTTCACTGTACTGGGTGGCTTTTCTTCCAGCATCGCCACATCTGACAACGAGGTTCTTATTCAGAGTGCTGGATGTGGATACTTATATTCAGACAATAATTATTTCTTCGAACGCAGAAGTTACAGCGGCAAGAAGATCAATAATGCGGCAAACTACGCTCTGCAATGTTACTCGAACCAGGACAGTCAATTTGACTGTGACCGTTTTGTTATGGACCGGATTACCGGCAACGTCGATCTGAACGCCACTTGCCCTTTCGATAATACGATATGTCTGAACCAAAGGGGGAATATACACATTGATAGCGGATTCATCAACAGCCATCTACATCTCGGTTTCAACGCTCCCACGAAAGAGAGAATCTTGTGGAGAAACGTTCTCCATTGCGCACCATTAACCACCGCAGGCTTCACAAGCGTCGATACTAAAACCCAACCAAACGAGGCTGTCTTTCACTACGGCAACATAACAACACACACTGGGAAGGCGGACTACATATTCCGGATCCCTGACTTGGACTCCCAATACAGAAATTCCTTATCCGATGCTGTACTGTTGACCGATGTAAACTACAAAGTGAAGTGAGTTGCTTGTGCCTTCCTAGCAAGTGTTCGGTTAGAGACCTATATCTGATAACCACTCTTGTCCTAGTTCTCTCGTTGCCGAGGTCAAAAATAGAAGTATTTACGAAATCAACTCGGATTACATGCCAATTGACGCACTCATACGGGCGGATGCAGATATTCATCTCGTATTCCTGGCAGGAAATGGAGTCGTCTTTAGTGAGCATACAGACGACGCGTGGTATAATGTGTCGGCAACAACCACAGAGGTACCAATTGTTCTAGCAGGTGAACCCGATACTGAACAGGTATACTTCCCAAACGCACCAGCTTCCCCTCTCGGATGTGCCAGCCAACACCAATTCTGTATAACCGATCATCCCGATAGCTGCGGCCCCTTGGCTAGTCTGAGAGACGCAATCGCTGGTGCTGCGCCCCTTTTCGACACTACATATGCCGAGATTGCCAATAATACCGCCACATCGGAAAAAGCTGCTCGATTTACGTACTTCGCGAATCCTTTCTTTGCCGTCGACCGGGACGTAAGCGGTATATTGGGTCAACTAGGATCCAGAGCTCTTCTTTCGCAGCAAAACATGTTTGCTGGTTTTCAAGGTCCATTGGCGTCAAATCAATGGCAGCTGGACGTGAGCCACTGGTGGGATATATCCATGGCCGTTGCCCAATCTATCTACATTGACAGCGCCTACGGCCTAAGCGATCCGGTCCTAGAGCAGTCGCGCAAGAATTACACGGAATCGTATTTCAACAATGTGTGCCATAACCAGGTATGAATCTAAAGCTGTATATGCGGGAAGGTTAAACGAAAACTGACAAATACAACAGAAGATTAAAAGCACTGCATACACCTCCTTGAGCATCTTTGGTCTCGTTTTCACATATCTCGTAGGCTTTCTCCTGGCGTTGGTATCTTATCTAGTCGAGCCAGTATCTGCTTGGCTTCATAAACGGCGATCGTACGGGCAGTACAAACATCTTGAATGGACCACCAACGCAACCTTACAGCTTCAACGCCTAGCTCACGAAGGCATTGGACAGGGTACTTGGTCTAAAGGTGCGGAAACTGTCCCAGTAACCAAAGAAGGCGAATCTCTAGCGTTGCTGGACATTTCCAATCAGGAACATCCTGTGTTGCGGCCCTTGATCGTAGGCAACCAACAAGATAGTCCAAGTTATAACTCGTGCTCGAAAGATGGAATGGGCGCGAGAAGTGAAAGAAGTAGTCGATAGCCATGCGGCTAACTATGTTTCATGATGGTACCGCGACCTATGGCAATGTGGTAGATAAGAAATCACTATGGAATTAGCAAAGCCCCTGAGACCGTGCGGTGTGTTGACAAACCCTAACTGAAGACCCTAATTTATGTTGCGGCTTTGGGTCAGTTGCGCGTTCAGGGCACAACGAGGACGTGGCGGGAATATTTCGGAGCGCGATGAGTAAATAAATATACACTATTTCACCAAAACATCATTCGGTGGTGTAGCTGGGGACATTGGTGTAGATATCATGTGCAAGCGGTAGGATAGTGCTTAGACTGTTCCGCTGCGCGAGTGGATTGGGAGACTTGGAGAGTTTGAGGATCCGCCGAGGCGAGTGCAGAGACAAGGGGCAGGATAGGTATGTTTCGAGGGAAAAAGAATGGATGGCGTGGCTCCTATGTAATTTAACGTTCCAAATTCAAGACAGGGCTATATACCCGGGTTCCGAGCTAGCAATATACAAGAAATAAATAAAACAATAGGTACTGGCGACCGAGAGCGTTTGAGGATCCGTTTGTGGACAATTTACCAGTGTCTATGGTGCTGGATTTCTCCGAATAGTTGATAGAGGGCGCAGTGAACTAGATGGATGATACTCAATGTAATGACGTTACTCTGAGTCTGATGTTGACGGCGACTGAGAGGGGATTTGTTGAAGGCTAGTTGCGAGGCGGAATTAAGTAATCGGCGTCGTGTTCAGCTGTCTAGGAGACTTGACTCTCCATTTCATGCGAGCAATTCTCGATACCTGTCCAAGCTTATTCCCATCATGTTGATCAGTGGCGACTGAGTGTTTCTTCGGAAGAAGTGCGCCCAGATTTTAAGCACGGCTAGACTGAGGTAAAGAGCATTGCTACGAAACTCTGGCTGATCACTATTAAAGTTAACAGTGGCATAGGTTTCCTCAATGATACAGCGCACCCAGTGTAATATCCTCTCTTCGCTTCCTGAATAGACCAGGTAGCTGTTGATAAATAACAGGCGCAGAGAGACAGAATTAGTATTACCACTCAGGGGTGCTGCGGAGCTATTCACCTCCCGTAACCATTTTCTAAGAAGCACGGCGCACTCAAGTGCAGAGGGCGAATGCCGCACGCTCCAGAAGAACGGGGGACTGCGCGTTACGCAGTCGATGCCCAGTCTCACCTGGATACTCAGGGCGTGTTTCGCATATAACAGGGCCGATATGACACCATCGCTACGTTTGACGGGTGGTGATCTAGCGAGGGCACTTGTACTTAGTGTCGACTCGTGAGTGTCAAGTTGCCCAAGTTCTGAGTGCACGCCTGGGATGTTTTCTTTAGTTAGAGGAATTCTATCTTAGGAATCTTCTCAGTCAGAGTGAAGGAAGACAAAGGGAGCTTACTTAAGCTTACATACTTCTTCTCCCGGGAGTATAGTGAGCCGGTACGGTTTCCTGAGCTACCAAAGAGTGTTGTTGATCAACTCGTGATTGAACATGGCCTAGGCTAGGGAATCACTAGCCTCGACAATCTGCGCTACCTTCATTTGCCATTCCCTTATCCCTAAGACCAAAATCTATGCTATCTTCAAGTTAGCGAGAGACAATAGTTATCAGCTTCAAGACGCCTCGGAAAAGCTGGCATTCAGGGACATATGCAACCTAATCTTCTGTGCCACGAGCCTTACCTCATCCAAATGCAAGCTGCTCCAAGAGATTTCGAGATAAGCTTATAATACCCCTGTCACATGGTTTACCCCAGCTACTACTCTAACCGAGAGCTAGCATCGATACCCCGACTCCCGGCAAGCGCTAACCGGCTACCCCAACGAGTATCCGAGTCATGCAGGATTATCGTGTTGTTGCATCAGAGATAGTAACTGAAGGCGGAGACAATTCATGTGATAGATATCTTGGGATGAGTCTGAAGCATACTTCATTGATAACCCTCGACGGCCAATCTCGAACGCTGGAAGACTTAGCATTCTTGTCACCCAGAGTTCTTCACGAAATCAATCAAGATGGGTCAAAAGAGAGTGCTCATCAGCTATGGCGTTGATGTTGATGCGGTTGCTGGCTGGCTAGGATCCTACGGAGGCGAGGATTCGACGAGCGACATCAGTAGAGGTTCGATTACCTGTATAATTGGTGGGAACTACATGTCTGATAAAGTCTCTGCAGGATTGTTTGCCGGTACTATAGGTGTTCGAAGGCTGCTCAAGCTATTCAAGAAATACGAGATGAAGACAACTTGGTTTATACCTGGTCACAGCCTGGAAACGTTCCCCGATGACATGGCTGCTGTTCGAGATGCTGGTCACGAAATTGGGCTTCATGGCTATTCTCATGAGAACCCATCTGATATGACTATTGATCAGCAGAGGGATGTGCTCGACAAAACGTACAGGATGCTCACAGAGTTCTCTGGGAAACCTCCGCGTGGGAGTGTTGCCCCTTGGTGGGAGTGCAGTAAGGAAGGCGGCCAACTGTTGCTTGATTACGGTATAGAATACGACCATTCTATGAGCCATCATGACTGCCAGCCGTATTACCTCCGGACTGGAGACAAATGGACCAACATAGACTATACGCAAAAGGCAGAAACTTGGATGAAGCCCTTGCAAAAGGGTCAAGAGACTGGCCTTGTGGAAATCCCGGCAAGCTGGTACCTGGATGACCTGCCTCCGATGATGTTCATCAAATCTGCGCCAAACAGCCACGGTTTTGTGAACCCCAGGGATATCGAGGATCTTTGGAGAGACCAGTTTGATTACTTCTATCGGGAGTACGACGAGTTCATTTTCCCCATAACAATTCATCCTGATGTCTCGGGTCGACCTCAGGTTCTCCTAATGCATGAAAGGTATGTAAGGCGTAATTCAAAGACCTGAAATGATACTGACATCAACGCTAGGCTTATTGAATATTTCAAGAAGCACGAGGGCGTAGAATTTGTTACTATGGAGCAAATCTGTGATGATTTCAAGAGAAATAATAAGCCACCACCTGGTGCGGTGTTGCCAGCAGAAGTTGGTGCGAAGCTATGAATAGTTTTGGGCCACAACTGATATTTCTCACAATACCCATTTTCCAGGCTTCCTTGATATTAATATTAACATTCAATTGTTAAATATTGTCGCTCAATTGTTTGTCATCTTAAAGATTATGGTAGTACCGGGACAAATTGTCACGGAACGACATAAGGAGTGCAGTACCTATGCCATTGCGCTACCAAAAGGTAACGACGAGTTATCAAGTCGAGGGCTTGACGTCTCTGCACTCACTATATAGTACTGTACTGTGACACAAATATCCCACTAGCTTCTGCCATATCACGCCACTCCCGATCAAATCCGTGCACGCAATCTGATCGTAACACCACCGCTAGAGGTACCACCTGATGAATAGCTGTCATATCAGAGATGGAAAGACCGAGAGACTATAATAAAGCCGTCTGCCTCTGTATGGGAATCGTAACAGCTAGTTACCTCTCCTTTAGTCTCGTTGTGTACCGGTGGTGCGGTCAATGGGTCGCCTCACCGGGTCTGCTGGTGATGTCGTGAAGAAAGTTGCCTACGGTATCGGTATCACGGGGCTACTTGTCAGTGGTTGTCTCTATATACACGTGGCGGCGAAGCATCTCTTTGTGCGCATCCTGCGTAACTTCAAGCACCTACAACAAGATACCGTCGTTCACTGGACTGTCTGGTTACTCTGTACCTTCACCACGTCGGTCATCAGCTTCCTTATTGCTTGGGGTATTCCCATTTTCAACTATCTACTCGCTCTCACAGGTAGCCTTACATTCGCCCCGTTAGCTCTAGGCGTGCCTGGCTACCTCTGGGTATACGACTATCAGCACTATCGCAAAGGAAGCTTCTGGCAGCAGACTGCCTATTATCTCAACCGGGTGATGATTGCGTTAGCAGTTTTCTTGACAGTTGGGGGTATCTAAGGTGTTATCCAGCAGATTATAGATGCATACGCTAGTAGAGAGATTGCGGGTGCACTTTTGTGTGCCGATAACAGCAACTCATCTTAGATCGATGTACAGCTGTACTTTGACAACCTGGCTACGCTTTAACTTCCCGTGTAGACCTCAATAATTAGATACTCAGTTCTTGATTTAAATATCTTATCAGTCCGATGTCAGCCTATTTGACCCTCTATATTATCTTTAGTACCTCCAATCATAAGCAGCTCCCTTCTCAGCCCACGAGACTTAGCATGCGAATTCACATGAACCAGTATCTATGGCCTTCAGGGTCCACCTATATAGTTAGCAATTCTGAGACTGTCTTGCTGGGGCTACCGGGATCTGAGAGTCAGACACGTGCAGCATGGTATCATCATACCAGTAATATAGTTTCCTCTGGAATCTGATCCAACTATTTATTTGCTTACACATCTACGTTTGTACCCTCCCACCACCATGCCCCCTTTGTCTCCTGCCCCTGTAGATATCACGTGATTATGGGATTGTGAGCTGCAGGTCACTGCACGCGACCTAACAATAACAGGACCGATGATCATATTTAAGTCCAAGTGTAGCAGAAAATCACTTAGTTCACCTGTTACCTCCCACTTTTTACTATCTGTTCAGATAGTAGTATTTCATGATTTGAATCACGGCAACATCATCAATCATAACTGAACTTTGTCTCTGACATGGCTAGACTGAAAACCGTCCTCATCACAGGCTGCAGTGATGGTGGCATAGGATCTGCTTTGGCCCAAACTTACGAATAACATGGCTTCCATGTGTTCGCTACAGCACGCGATACTACCAAAATGAGTGCTCTCGAAAATCTACCTAACGTGGAGTGTCTAAAGCTTGATGTTGTCAATCATGGTGATATCAAGGATACAGCTAAGGCAGTTAGAAACTAAGCAAAAACCCTGCCTCACGATCACCCCCCCTGCCTATTAATTACCCAACTTTTAAAACGATTTTCTTAACAAATACGTTATTTGCGATACTTTTTTTAGTATTTTTAATTAGATCTATTATTTCTAACCTTAATAACCTTTTTTATATTAGTATCCTTATATTTTAAAACGTATTAATTAATAACTTTATTAATATATATTAAATAATTATATAATTTATATTTTACCTTTTATATATATATTATATAGATAAAGTTATTATTAAAACTTATTTTAATTACTTTTTATTTAACCTTAATATTTTTTTAAAGTTTAACTTTTAATGCTTTAATTTTTATTTATAAAAATATAATAATTTTAACCTTTTTATTAAAGGCCTTATTAACCTTTATAAAAAATAACCTTTATAATAAATTATTAAATAAAAGGAAAGTTTAAGTTAATTTTTATATATTAATTTATAATTATTAACTTTTAAAAGATATTTTAATTATAATTTTTAAAGCTATTTTTAATAAATTAAATATAATAGGTTATTCTTTAATTATAAATATTAATATTATTATTTTTATAATACCCTTCTTTTTAAATATTATATATTTTAAAAATAATAATATTTATTAATTTTTTAAATATATTTTAATTATTTTTTATATTTTTTTTAATATATTTAGCTTTATTATATTTTTATATATAGCTTTATATATTATTAATATATTTCTTTTTAAAAGCTTTATTTTTAAATAGCTTATAGGTATTTTTTAACTTTTTTTTTAATAAATTAAAAACTTTAATATTTAATAGCTATAATATATAATTATAATAAGGTTTATAAAATAAAAGTTAAATTTTATTTAAAAAATAAATTTAAAAAAATTTATTATTAATATATAATTTATAACTATTATATATTATTATAATAACTTTAAATATAAAATATAAAAAGGTTTTATAATTATTTTAATATTATAAAATTATTAATTTACTTATTAAATAAATATTTAAAATATTAACGCATCTCCCACTTAACTTGGCCACCCAATTGACCTGGCCACCCCAATAACTTATATAAAACCTCATTATTTTAATCTTTAATAACTTTACGAATACTGACCGTACGATTTAATAATTAGTACCTTTGAATCCGTTATTTAAAGAGAAATCCAACGGTATTTTTTACTATTTTTTATAAAATTTATTAAGCGAGATATTGAGCAATACGCTAAAGGAACGTTAAGCAAGGATTATTTTAACGCTTACTTTAACGTATTGCTTAATAGCTCCGCGAATAAAAATCGTACAAATTGGTAAGGAGTACCGCTGAATAGCTCTTCTTATTACGAATCTAATGGTATATTTTATTATTTTATACGACTAATATTCGTAAAGTTATTAAATTATCACGTGATTAACGCACCGACGTTTTTTGTATGGGCTGGTGGGGTGGCCAGGTCAAGTGGGAGATGCGTTAATCTTTTAATAAACTTTAATTTTAATTTAAAAATTATTAACTTTATATTTATATATCCTTTTAAATTATTAATAATAATAAAATATTATTAATAATATTAATAACTTTAAAAATAATAATTTATTTACCTTTTTTAATAACGTTTTTAAAAGTTTAATATAAAATAAAATTAATAACTATTTAATAATTATTATTAATATTTTAACTTATACCTATTTTATTAATATTATAAAAATAATTAAAAGGAATATTTATAATTTTTAAAGCTTTAAAATAATTAAAAAAAAGGTTAATATTAATTATTATTATATTATTAATATATATATAATTAATAAATTATAATTTAATTAATTTAACTTTATTATTTTAAATTAAAAAATATATATATTACTTTTTTTTAAAGCTTTTATTATTATTTAAAATAATTAATATATATTTAATTATAAATTTAAATTTAAAAAATAAAGGTATAAAGTTTAATTTAACTTATTTTATTATTTAATTTATTAATTAATATTTATAATAGGTTAATAAAGTTTAAAAGTTAATATAGGTTTATTTTTTAATAAAAATATTTTAAAGCTAATAATATAAATATAATCTATTAATATTTTAAATATATATTATTATTTAAATTAAAATTTTAAATTAAACTATATAAATAATAGCTATAACGCATCTCCCACTTGACCTGGCCACCCAATTGAGCTGGCCACCCCCCTAGCCCATACAAAAAACGTCGGTGCACTAATCACGTGATAATTCAACAACTCTACGAATATTAGTTGTATAAAATAATAAAATATACCATTAGATTCGTAATAAAAAGAGCTATTTAACGGTACCCTCCATTAATTTATACGAGTTATATTCGTGGAGTTATTAAGCAATACGCTAAAGTAAGCGTTAAAATAATCCTTACCTAGCGCCCTTTTAACATATTGCTTAATATCTTGCCTAATAAATTTTATAAAAAATAGTAAAAAATACCGTTGGATTCCTTATTAAATGATGGATCTAATAGTACTAATTATAAAATTGTAGGACTAATACTGGTTAAGTTATTCCAAATTGAAACATTGGACTTTTATATAGGTTAAAGGGGTGGCCAGGTCAAGTGGGAGATGCGTTAGCATAATAATTTTTAAAATTAAAAGATATAATAATAAAAAGGAATTAATTCTAAATAAAATAAGGGTAAAAAGTTATTGTAAAACTTAAACGCGGTTGCGTTATTAAATAGTGTTTAATTAGGTAGTTAGGAATTAAAGCGCATTTTAGGGTACCTAGGGCCCTGGTCGTGACGGGGGGTGGTCGTGAGGCAGGGTTTTTGCTTATACCGGCGGCGATGGCACACTTGACATCTTGCTCAGCAATGCAGCGCATAATCACTTCATGCCGATATTAGACGAAAACCTTAATACGATCAGGAGTCTCTTCGAGATTAACTTCCTAGGTCCAATTGCTTTGACTCAGGAGTTTGCCCCGTTTCTTATCAGAGCTCAAGGCATGATCGGGTACATTACCTCGACTTCAGGATATCTGAATATCCCGTACATGGGTATGTCGCTAACTCTCAAGCCTAGGGACATATTCAGCATGAAAAAGGTCGATGGAGATTGTGGGAGAAACTTTGCGCTTGGAATTGGCCCCATTCGGCGTTGGTGTTGTTGAAGTTGTCACGGGCGCCGTCAAGTCTAAGGGCCAAACATAATTTGGTGATTTCAAACTACCCCACGAATCGGTACGGATGTCCTTATCCCTGAAACTACCTCAATTCATATGGTCGCGTGATTAGTGACTTTGACTAACCAACTTGTAGTCAGCCTACCTAAGCCCCCTTCACGAGAGATCATAGACACGGTACATGCCAGATACGATCTAGACATGCTGACTGGCCGCAGACTATACAAAGGCATCGAGGAAACAATTGCTAGCAGGGCACAAGGGAATGACGGCCTGCCCCGAATGGACACAATGGAGCATGCTAACGCCGTTGCCGATGATATCGAAGCGCGAAAAACGGGTCGGGTCTGGCATAGTGGGTTTGCCGAGGGAGTTAAAATGAGTACAACCGCAAAAGACGTACCACAGTCCGCTATGGTAAGTCGAATTGCAATTCATTTTTTCGATCACACATTCTCACAAAGATTAGGACGCGGGAGCTGTAGTGGGAACTGATCTTAATAAGATCGGCAAGCAGTAGGCTTGTAAAGCGAGTCTACCACATCTAGTGTTTATATTTGGAGTAATTAAGGATACTATTCTAATGTTCTTTCCAGCGAATCACAAGATAGTTGCCAGTAAAGGGGGGAAGGAAAATGGGTAAAGATGGCTCCGCGAAAGAAGGGGTAGACTGTTCTTAGTGTGTTGCTATAGTGTCACGGAATGACATAAGGAGTGCAGTACTATGCCACTACGCCACCAAAAGGTAACGACGAATTATTAAGTCGAAGGCTTAACGTCTCTACACTCACTATATAATACTGTACTGTAACAATACCCCTTACTTTAAATGCAATCGACCCGATTGTATATAAAGAAGTGCATATTTAAAGGTAATGTATATAGTTAATACCTGAAAACCCCCGCAGTGGTTTTCCAATTACGTAAACGAGCTAAGCTCTCCACCTTTGAAGACTGCGCCAAGGGTTGTTTATGCGAGGGGTTACCAATCCCTCCATGAATAGAATATGGCTGCCCAGTCGTGGAATCGAACACGTAACCGTATGACTTGATAAACTATTACGGAATGACATAAGAAGTGCAGTACTATGCCACTACGCTACTAAAAGGTAACGATAAGTTATTAAGTCGAAGGCTTGACGTCTCTGCACTCACTATATAGTACTGTACTGTGACATATAGGCTGGGGATGTTTCTCTTCTCTTGGGTCCGGCAAACCTTTCGGCCTACTCTGTCCACAATTTATCACTTTCGTGCCCTCCAATCGGGAGATACTCTGAGTGTTTTGCAAACAGGGCTTTCATGCATGAGAACCACAAGTCACCCGATAGGCTCTCTGGGGTCTTGGCATGCTTTACCTACATAGGGATGCATCTAACCGGCGACCTTCGTGTGGTAGCTGATGGCAATTATCATTGGTTAAAGCACCTATAAGTATTAATTAACGGCTTCCAGAATTAACTGCAGATGACACTGTCATAAGTGGTGACAAGACTATAATGTCACTGTAGTGAGCTCGATTTCAGATCATTTATGACTTGCTTCCCTTGAAGGCGTTACACAAACCAGACCTATCCACAACATTCTGTTGGCTGACCACATATCAACCAAAATAATGTGGTAGCGTGGAGATATAAAGTCCAGCAAGAGGACAACATGCATGACACACATCAAAAGAACATGATTGGCTGCCAATTTTTCAAGGCATCGGAAAATTACAAACTTGGCACATTTTAGCGAGACGTGAACCTCGGGATATATTATGCAGTGTGAAAGTCTGCAAACTAATGTTACAACATATATCTATACCTTACTCCCCAAACATCTTTCCAAGTCATGCCGACAACTCACACAACAATCCAAGTGACCGACGCTAAGAATTGTCCAAGTACTAAACAGCTTTGGAACAGCGTCTGCCTTAATATTGGGCCTTGTTGTCAGTAATGGAAATCAAAGACGAGTCCCTTGCTAGACATGAACAATTTCTTTTGGCCACTATCTTGTGCAGCGTATTGGCATATGCCTACTTTGAAATCAAGACATGGCATGTGAGTATTTACGTTGATGCGTCAAAACGAAGACTAATCCTGATTTAGATTATCTTTTTCCCTGTGTATTTAAGGATTACCCGTCAAATTTCCTACAAGATAAATAGCTACGTCAGACTTCTCTATCAAGACATTCTTCTCCTTACATGATAGACATTGACATATATTCAGCGAGATGCGTTTCGCTTCAGGTCTTGGAGAAAAAGTTCACCAATTGTGATATTATCCACACAAAAGCAAATTACAGAGTTGAGTGAAGCACTTTGCTTTACGCAGCAAAATGTATACGCCGATGTAAGATAAATTGCTCATCGTGTCTCCATTTAGACTAATCACGGCTAGATGCTTGGGTTTCAACTGGAAATGGATAATATTGAAAACAGTCTTGGCGACTACAAGCTCATGAGAAAACAAATCCACTGTTGCGTCCTTCAAGCTACAGGCCACAACCAGCTGAGATCACTTTACCCATGTTTATACCACCGCTTGAACAACACTTTGGAGTGCATATTTAGTCAAGATTTGGCTTCAAATGGTCACAATAGCCCGGTCAAATAATCGTGATATGACTTTAACACGTGATAGGTGATACTTCTGTCGCATTACCACGGACAGCCCGCCGACTGGCTTTGGCCCTTACGAGCCCCATATTCTTTGGAGAAACTCTTTGTAAGAATCATGCATAACTCATACTGACGGTGACTGACTATATCGCCAGCCTCAGACGGAGAATTCTGTAACGCGCTTCTGCAATGTTCTATAGGCATAGTGAAGTACACGACTATGCTTCAGGCCCGATCTTCCCTTTGGTCATCGTAAGTTCAGGTTGACGACCCAGCCCTTATGATAAACCACATGTTCACAGAGCTTGACAGTTTAGTACGTGCGATCATTGCTAAGCGTGCACGAGCCATGCGCTTCGTTCGAAACCGACTATTGAAATACCTTAACGAACACTCCGTATGTGAGGAGCCAGGCCGTATAAAACAGGTAAGTTGCATCTTGAGCTCAATGATATTAGGATGCCTAAACTTCCCGTACTCAAATGCGTTGTAAAATAGACATTGCTTTCCAATATGATCAATGTGATGAAAGCCAGCAAGCTCTGGGTCCCATCTCTACTTGCGGGGCAGCTCTTAAGAACATGGCTCGCTATTTCTCACCAAACGTGGACGAATTTAGATGTTATCATTCTAGAGGCAAGCGCGAGGAAGAAATGGCAGCATGCGCTTCGTGAGGAGCTCGAAGAATCTACGCCGCTGGACTACGAACGGCTTGACCAGCTTCCGCTTATGGATAGCTTCATCAAAGAGACTGTCAGGCTCAATCCACCAGATAAATGTATGGATTTCTGTTATGCTGCTTCTGCAATACTATGACGTGCTTTCTCTAACTAGCCTTTACAGTTACAATGCGTAGAAAAGCATTAAAGCCGTACACATTTTCCGATAACTCTGTTTCGGTACCTGTTGGCGCAACGGTCTGCGTCTCAGCATACGATCAAATGCATGATCCACAAACTTACCCCAATCCAGACTCTTTCAGCCCTTCACGATACCTTGGTGACAAGTACAAAACCCAATCGAAGTTCACGGACGTTTCAGAGTCTTTTCTGGTCTGGGGTTATGGTTCTCTCGCTTGGTAAAAATATCCAGTTTGTGTTACTGGTATCGATTGCTGCTAAAGCTTTTATCCAGTCCCGGCAGACGATATGCGTCTTTAGTTATTAAGATGGTGCTGTCCGAGCTATTACAGAAGTATGAGCTCAGTCTGGAAAGTGAAGAGACGGAGACGATGTCATCATGGGAGGCATTTACCATGCCTTATGAGTCCACCCGAATTGTTCTGAGAACAAGGGCTCAGTTAGACAACAATTGAACGGCACCGGAGCCGTCACAGATAATTTCGAATTACCCGGCGATTTTAACGGCATCCACGAAAACTGAAACGTCTACAAAAAAAGAAGGTAATAGAACAGCAACTGTAGGAGGCGTGTTGCCAGAAGTTGCGTGGCAGTTAAAGGGAAATTTAGCTGTATGTAGATCCTTTTAGTTTTCTTACACCAGTATAGTCATGGGAAAGAAGGCGATCACGGCGATCACACTAACTGTTACACGCATACAAATTGAACATGCAGTTCGCCTTGCATCTCGGCCGTACGAAAGGCCATTGCAGGCTGTTCATGATCTTCAGAGACATGCAGGCAATATTGGGCAATATTATTGGAAAGTGAGGTTATACAGACTTCGCTTCTTGAAACAGACCCTAGAGGCCTAGGTGGTCTGAGTTGTATATAGAATTGAGTCAAGCCACTAGTATAACTAGGGTAGTAGATACTGGGCTTGGAACGGAGAATTCAGATTACAATGATCAACTAGGGCTGCATAAGTCCTTGACCAACCAACTCCTTCTCGGCTGTTGGTGGCTTAACTTAACTCTATATACAATTGGTCTGCCAGCCCAGACCGCCTAGGTCTCTAGGGTGTGTTTCATGAAGTGAAGTCTGTATAACCTCACTTTCCAATAATATTGCCAAATATTGCCTGCATGTCTCTGAAGATCATGAACAGCCTGCAATGGTCCTTCGTACGGCCGAGATGCAAGGCGAACTGCATATTCAGCTGGCACAGAGGTTGGACGTGTAACAACCAGGCCCAAGAAGGAATTGGTTGGTCGAGGATTCATGCGGCCTTAGTTGATCATTATATTGTGAATGGCATCAAGTTTCAAGCCCAGGTCTCTGTCCTTTTTATATTATATGATCATTAAAAAAAACAATTAAGGGTATGCAAAGAATCATCTAGCAGATCATAGAACCACAATAGTAGAGTAATTCAGGGTGTGTTAAGAGCTAACAAAAAAATAAACTGAAAGTAGTTAACTAGTCTAAATGAATCCGAATACTTTGACTATAGTCGCATTCAAGAGCACTCTACCTCAGCAGGTATATGAAAAACCAAATTGTTGAACACACTTATGAGTCATTGTATCTAGATTGGCATAATATTACACAACGAAGATCCTAAAGTAGGTAAGCTACCTGGTATTTAGGTATGTGAGTATAGGCCATTTGATTCTGGAATCCCTAAATTTGGGGTTTCCATCCTCTCTGATCGAACGCAAGGTCGTGTCCGTTCACTCGGACAGAGGGCTCGGAAGGGCAGGCCCGAAGCACGTCACGATATTCTGAGAGGACGCTCTTCATCTGCGGGTGGGACGGGCGGATGATTCGAAAATTGGTGCTCTCACTTGTGTCTCTACAGACAATAACGTTGTGGTCGGAATAGCTCATGGCGAAGTCTCCAGAAGCAACGATCTGTAAGGACGGAAGCCCACTCGGCCCAAATGCCCACTCAAGAAAATGGCGAAACCGCTTTTCAAGTCCCCCTAAAGCCTTAGTTTTGTCCCACTTGTGTCTATTTAATTTGGATTCCAGGCTTTTCATTACCCCTTTTTTTAAGAATCTCATTTCCAAACCTAAACTAAAGAACGCAACCATCATTGGTAAGAACGCTAAACGCTAAACGCTAAACGCAAGGTGTAGTCAGAGCTCCCCGCCAAAACAGCTTAAGACCAGTAGTCCCGTTGTTCCAGATTCGCAAGCAAAGCGATCGACCACAACGAGCGACATGAACACCTTGGGACATTATTGGGCAGTCGAATCCATCAAGTTCCGATTCCAGCAACTTTGATACATTGTGGCTCGTTTCTTTCAAGGTGGCAGCTCTCTATCGAACTTCAACTGCGGGGCGCAGAGGTCTACCTGCGTGGTTTTTCACTAAGTGCTTCTCCATGATACCTAAACTGCTGAAAGCTTGTCTGCAATAAGGGCAGGGATACACCCTCGACTATTCCGATGGGCATCGAGAGTAGCCCTATCGTAATATTTCTCCGTCGGGGCCTGGCTGTCTTCATGGGACGGTTGCCTGCCTGGCTGATGAGGCACGTTTCTCCCTATATGCGTGGTCTTGACAGATGATGTCGGCATAGATATTGGTGAGCCGCGATATTCAGAGCCACCGGGTTGATCAGGCCTATATCCCGGGGCATGGGTAGTGGGCTTGTAGGCGTTGAGCCGTGGGCTCCCCGGCGCCACGTTGTGGCCAACAGGTGAAGATCCTAATCCACCCGTCTGAGAGCCCGAGGACAAGCGGGGAAGTCCCGCGTGGGTTCCCATATATGGTTGAATAACTGGTCCGAGGGTGTGTGGCTGTTGGGCCCCGCCGAGGATCCAAGGAGTTCCTGTTATGTACTGTATGCTAGCAGGTAATGGTGCAGCCTGCATGGGAGGCAATGGTGTCTTGGGTAAATGCTCTTTTGAGCCGTACTGTATGGCTTGGTTGACATCAGCATCGCTAGAAGCACTGTTCCCCTGGGCCGTTTTGCCTGTAACATCTTGTATGCCCTTCGTTGCCGACGCTGTCTCTATTGATGTAGTCCGTGCTATCTGCATTCCACCATACGATGAGTGTGGTCGAGCACTATTTAGCTCTGATGCTGTGGCCTCGGGAGACAAGAGACCAAGAGCGCCAACAGCCGTCTGAGTCAGTGCCGAGTGAGCAGGTATTGTGGGACATGAGCTCGGTTGCTCCTCTCTGACTAGCAAAGCTGGTGCAATCGGGACTCTAGCTACAGTCCTGTCACTATTATCGTCCTGAGCCCGTTGTTGTTGTGTTTTAGGGAAGCTTGTATTAACAGAGTCCCCGGAACCAGTACCGCTCCCGTTCTCAGCTAGACTTCCTCGCTGTTCCAATTCGAGGGGGGGCGTTTTCGTAGAATGCAGAGGTCTAATGCTGTCACCGTTCCCTATCACCTCCTCTGGCCGCTCTGTAGGAGAGAGGACTGGACTAGCGAAAAGCCTATTATCAAAATTGGTATCGTTATCAATCATCTGTTCTTCACACTCTGCTATAGAAGAGTTGAAATCAATAGGAGACATTTCCTCGGTGCTGTCGCTGCCTTCAGTCGGATCTTCCCGCTGGCCCCCTTCAGAGGTATTCGGTTCACTATCGAGTCTGGATTTAGTGCTGCTATTATTTCTACCTAAGTCCCCCTGTTGCCCTTCTGCTGCGGCAGTAGTTGGAACAAATGTAATACTTAGATTTTCCTCGGCAGTTGGGTGCTCAGTGAGACCCTTAGGGCTCGAGGCACTAATTGGTGCTGGATTTGGAGCCTGTTCGTGATCCAAGTCATTCTCATTCTCTAGAATGTCTAGATGGCAATCTTGGCTGTTTTCGTCATCATGCATAGTTAGGGGAGCATCTTCTGGTTCAACAACATCTTGAGCCTCAGAGCCATCACTCATATCCTCCTCGTCATCGGATTCCGAATCTGAAACGGTAATAGAAGACATGCACGCCTCAGATGGGGTACTAGCATGACTTTCTGTATGGATCCTCTTCGACGTGTTTTCCAATTGCTGTCGCGCCTGATTCCCTGAAAATGAAGAGGCCAAGGCGTCAGCATAGTGTTCCATAACTTATGGTATACTAAGGGGCGTACCGTTGCTCGCAGTTGACGTCTCTTTCTCTTGTTGAGTCTCGAGATTCTTGGCTCCACCATGGAGCTCATAGAAATCTAGTGCTGACCGGGAATTAGAGATGAGAGGAACACTGGAATCCTGAGGATCGAATTCCTTGAGGTCCTTAGCAGCCATCCAGCCAACTGGACCTCGTTTTGGGGATTTCTGGTCGTCAAAAAACATGACAGGAAATTGTCGCTTGAGAACCAATGGTCCTTTATCCTCGAAGTCATGTTGCCACCCGTAGATCTTTTTGGTATGTTTGTTATATCTGTAGCATGGCGGGATCTCGTTCAAAAGACCAGTGTCCTTGATTGCGCCTTCTAAACCGATGTCGGTAAAGTCGCCCAAGGGGAGGAGAAGGACGGCCAACCAGCTCCTCGACTTAGGCCAGTAGCCCAGGTAGATGTCGCCGGGGGTTGGGTCAGTGATTGCTTCAATGCCCTTGCGCTTTCGCCGGCTTCCAATACCAACAGCCGATTCTCCTTCTGTCTGATCTATGTCGCGCCGCTGCCGCCTCTGTGGCGGTATTTCACATTCGGGGGATGCGGGCCTCCCACGCTTTCGCCCGGGTCGAAAGACTGGAGTAGGACTTGTCGCCTTTCGCCTCTTCTGTTAGCAAACGTAGGACTCATTGCGCGGGCGTCACTCACAACGCTGCCTGGATTAGGTTCGAGAGCGCTACTAGAATCCGCCCGTGTAGATCGCAAGACATCCTCTACTAAACTTATACCTAGTGTGTCTACCATTTCTTTGGCTAGGCTTCTCAGATGTGTCTGTAAGCTTTGCTGGTAGCTTTCTTCCTTCTGGGTGGCAGTTGCTTCATGATTGATTTGTAGCTCCTTCAATTGCCCACTGCATCGTACGGCTCTGTCAAATGCACTACTCAGCTGCTCATGATCGGCGCTGGAATGCATGAGATCCCGGTCTTTTTGAATGCTGTTCTCGAGGAAATGTGCCTCTTCCTCAAACACTTCTTGGGGAGACCGGATATGATCGCCATCCTGAATCCACCGTAGGATGCATTCCTTAGTTGCTGTGACTCTGGACAATATTGTTGGATACTGGTCAGCCATCTCGCCACGGTGCAGACATTGAGATAAAAAGTGAAGGGGAAGAAGAATAGCATTCAACCTAGCCACAAGAACGGGGTTAAGTAATTGGTGGCGTTACATCCAGGCCATTCTGTTGGCTGGTCGCATTCGCTCGGTTTACATGCCATGTTTAGCTACCTGCAGGCCCCCGACAGTCTGGTTCACAGGATCCTTGTAGCTTCACACGGCAGCATCAGTTGGGCGTGTCAGCCACCTCGTCCAGACTCGTCCTTTCAAATGTCTCGTTTTCAACTATTATCTCGCCTAAATATGGCGTTTGCGCTCTTCTTAAACAAATTCTTGTGATTTTGTGACTTCACGTCTACCACGAGTACATACATCCTTGAGGTTGTACAGTTATGCTGACTTGTCATTTCTCACAGTGGTCACACATAGGTATGACCTGTCGAATCCCTCCCCGCCCTCCAAAATTGAACATCCTTGTCACATCCTGGATAGGCTAACCCGCCAACCAACTGCATATTCGCTTAAGACAGTTCAGTCTCGTGATGGAAAACTTACGAACTATCCCCTGTCATATGTTGGCTGGTTTTCGGAGTGAATTGAGTACCCAGGTAGCTTTTGAATGACGATGCCGTGTTAGCATGATTGAATGAAGCCGCAGCTGGAACCAAGTTTTTTCACATGACTTGTTGAAGAGCTGCAGTCCTGAACAGGGGCAATTGCCTGGTAATCTTATAAGAATTCAACTAGGTAAAGTGAAGATCTCGATTGCAATTCTGGGGTATGGTTCAGACTCTTTGCCGGATGATGATTTAGCTGAAGAACTGGCAAGCAGACAATATCAGGCGGATAGACGCCAGTAGAGATTCATCGCAACCATTTGGTCATGTTAGATTCTAATTAATGGGTAGAATGGTCATATCCCTTTCAAGGAAGCTGGTAATACCTTGAAGTAGATCAGCTGCCAGGTGCATGAAGCAGAACGTAGAAGGGGGCAATCTTAGGATGAATAGCTAGATAAAACTAGTCGAGACGACGAGATTTAAATATAATATAAGCAGTCCATGCTAATTTATATGGCTTCGGTTGGTGTGGATGGCTGCGGGTCCTAAACAACTAAGTCAACTAAACTGGGACTCCTCTTGTTCAGTTGCTGTTTAGAAAGCTCACCATTTAGACACGTTCTTTGGGTACATAACTTGGTAGAGTTGATATTGAATTTCGTATGGTGAGATCGGATCGAATCACAACTGTAGGTATATCTAAGTTGCCCCGGACCTGCTTTGCCCTTGCCTATTCTCTCTTCCTGAAACTAGTAATTCACCTACCTCCACGACTCCCAGTCTATACTTGCGCTATGAAGTTAATGAAGATAAATAAGGTTGGAAATCAGAGTTCCCATTCCACCCATACCACTCTCTTGCTTTCAAACTTTCTCGGGGCTGACATATGTGAAAAGTAGGCAAGTAATTAGTCATTAGATAGAATTATACGGGTAAAGATAAAAAAAAAATCAATCTTCGACGTTCTGCTAACAAGGGATTTTCACCCCTAATGGCACCTGATAATCCTAATGTCAACAACCTTCTCCTCCCTGTTTGGGTTTAAAACGTTCAAGTATTGCTAAGTATCACTAGGTTTCTTATCAGCATATGCCTTTACCGCCCCCCTCTCCTTGCCAATGACCTTTATATTTGCATTCCCCATCACAAACTACAGGTGCTTGATGATGTACTTGCTCGATGCCGTACCTTTCCACAGATACCCGAGCGGGCACATCATAAGGTAAGGCAAACTTCACGCAGTTGATACCTGGGTAGGTTGGTGCATGCATCCTCATTCGCTTCAACGCACGGAGGTAATCCCTAACGCTCTCTGAGAAATATTCCTCGTTAGCGTTTGTTTACCTCTGTAGGGCTGGGCCGGGCAGGATTTGTTCATGTCAGAACAATATACTTAGTCTATCTTGGGTCCTTGATACCCATAAGCTGACCACACCCCCTACGAACCACCCCCCTCGCGAACCACCTATACTGTACGGTATTTACATATAAAACTGTAAAATAGATAATTAAAAATAACTAATTGAAAAAAGCATCTATAACTACTAAACTTTAAAATTAGCTATATAATATAATTCTATATATATAATTAAATTATAAAAAATATCGACCTATTATAGGAAGTGTATTTAATTGTTAAAGTTATAGTGGTTTTTTTAAGGTATAATTTATATGGGAATTTGTACAGTGCCATATAAAATTTTTCAAACCTACTAACCTTAACCTGGAATATTTATACGGAAAGAAATCGTAAAAATAAATGTAATATATTAGAAAATGCTAAATTGGTTAATGAATTTAATCTTTGAAACCGTTTATTTTTACTATTTTTATTCGATTTATTATACGTTATTAAAGATAGAAATGTTACCTTTTAAAGATAATAATTTAGGTGAAAAAATGTACAGTATTTTAGTGCGACGCCGTACTGTATATTTTTTACCTAAATTAGTACCTTAAAAAGGTAATATTTTTACCTTCAATAATGTATAATAAATCGAATAAAAATAGTAAAAGTAAACGGTTAAAAGAATTAAGTTTATTAAGTAATTTAGCACTTATTAATATATTATATTTATTTTTACGAATTTTCTCCATATAAATATTCTTGGTTAAAGTTATTAAGTTTGAAAATTTTTATATGGCACTGTATAAATTCCCATATAAATTACACCTTAAAAAAACCACTATAACTTTAACAATTAAATACACTTCCTATAATAGGTCGATATTTTTTATAATTTAATTATATATATAGAATTATATTATATAGCTAATTTTAGAGTTTAGTAGTTATAGATGCTTTTTTCAATTAGTTATTTTTAATTATCTATTTTACAGTTTTATATGTAAATACCGTACAGTATAGGTGGTTCGTAGGGGGTGTGGTCAGCTTATCCCCTATCCCTCTAATATTTTCCTCACATTTTCCCTTGCCTTCATCATATTTTCTGCCCCAAGCCATTCCAATCTTGTTATCTTCGCCGCCGGCGTTGTTGCCGTAGCATACTTTCTCGCTCGCAAAACGGTTGCCCAAGACAGTCGCGAGCCACCGCTGGCTCCCCAATCAGTTCCCCTCGTTGGGCACATGATTGGGATATCGCGCAGCAAGTTTAACTACTATGTTTGCCTCAGGTATCGACATAGCATAGGCTACTTTGTATTTTCTTTGTTTTGGTGAGGCGGACTAATTCTTCCCGAAGCAAGCAGGTTGCGGCTCCCATTTTCACCATGGCCCTCCTCAGCCAGAAGATGTACGTGGTGACCAGCCCAGCCCTCGTTCAATTGGTGCAAAAGCAGCACAAGACCCTTGCCTTCCCGCCCATTGAAGCCAAGTTTGCATCTACCGTTTGTGGCACCAGTAAAGAGGCGCAGTCTATACTAGCCAAGACCGTCAACGGCGACGATGGCGATTTTGGTTTATCAATGGAGTCATACGAGGCGATGCGGTCCTCTCGGACGTAGGTGGGCCATAAGGCCCCTAGAATACGTTCGAAGGATCAATTCAAAGTAATATTAAATGCTCTAGCTAGCCAAGTTCTATCTAAAAGGCAATTAAGCGGTATACTAAATATATATATAATCTCGGGACCCTTGTTAACCCGCTCCTTAACTCCACCAACGTCTGACAGGTCCGCCCTCAAGCCTGGCTCAGACCTTAATGACATGAACCGATCTATGATCCGAGAAGTTGTGAAACTGTTTGACTAGCTACAGCCCAATAAGGGAGAAACCAAAGCTCTGAGCATGTACTCCTGGTTGAGAGATGCCATCACGACGGCAACTACCCCGTCCGTATATGGTCCCATGAACCCATATGACGATCCCGGGATTATTGATGCTCTTTGGTAAGTAGAGTGGCTGTCATCAGTCCTTTCCAGCGCCATGCAGAGTGGCGGGATCTAACTTACTCTGCGTTTAGGGAGTTCGAATGCGGACTTATGTCAATCCTCATCGGCATCCTTCCTTCACTAACCGCTCGGAAGCCCATAGCGGCTCGAAACAAGGTTGCGAAAGCCTTTGAGAAATGCTACAAAGCAGGGGGTTTCAAGCATGCGTCAGCTCTTGCCAAAAAGCGTTACCAAGCAGAGGTAGACAACAACGTGTCCATAGAAGATATCGCCCGCTATGAAGTTGGGGGTTTAATCGCCATCTTGGTGAATACAGCCCCTGCAGCTTTTTGGACTCTGCTTCTGCTTCACTCTCACCCAGACCTCCCTAGTGACATCCACAAAGAAGTCGATGCCTGTACTAGGACATCAACTGAAAATGGTAATAAGGCCAAAGCCCTTGATATCACTACCGTTAAGAAGAGCTGCTCTCTACTCCTCTCATCCTACCAAGAAGTCCTTCGCTATCGATCTATGGGTGCATCTGTACGCGAGGTCATGGAGGGCACCTACCTCGACCAATGGCTACTGAAGAAGGGCGCCATGTTACAAGTGCCTAGTGGTGTCATTCATCAAGATAGCAGCCTCTGGGGAGACGATGTGGATGAGTATAACCCGCGCCGATTCCTCCCGGAGCAGAGGAAGAACCGTCCGCGAGACGTTTGCTTCCGCCCCTTTGGTGGTGGTAAAACTCTATGCCCTGGTCGCCACTTCGCTACGAATGAGATCCTAGCCGTTGTTGCTACCTTCATTGCGAGATTCGACATGAAACTTGTAGAAGGCGAGTGGAAGATTCCGACCACCACGAGCACTAATATTTCCGCTGTTGTGATGCAGCCAGACCATAATGTTGAGGTTGAAATCCAGACGCGTCAAGGGTTTGAAGATATTAACCGGGTTATTAATCTGCAGACATCAGAGAACATATTTGCTTTAGTGACAGAGGACAAAGGTGAAATTGCTTAAGGCTACGTAGTTTATAATCGAGCAAGACGTTGTTTTCTATACCACTAAGTAAATCCAAGGACAGAGCGCTTTGTAATAACTATTACTAATTGGTAAGTATTAAAACTCTACTACTTATCTTTATAGAGTGTTATAGTTATTAAGCTTTTACTTTTATGAAGGAGATCAACAACTGTACACTACACCTAACAATGATGCCTCCCCTCATTCTGAATTTAGTCATGATCCGGCGCATCACCAACAAAATCATCCCAACAGAACTGCTGTCGCCACTGATCCTCAGACTAGAATTGATCCGACACACGCGAAGACTAGTCCAGGCGACCTTAGCTCAGCTTCTGAAAGGAATGACATAGAAACTGGAATAAGTCCGACTGAGAAAGCTCGGCGCGCATGGTTTCCTCGATTGCGCGAGTTTCCACGGCGGGGCGTAAAGGGCGAATCAGCCGACCACAGGGGGGTGGGGAAAGCATGAGATAGTATATCTAGCGATGGCGAGCGCCGTCGGGCACCTTCGGTATAGAAATTGAAGAGTTTATCGATGATGCTAGGACCTGACTATCGGCTATACGAGCTAGTTCTCGTATATCAAACACACATCACTCGGGCTATTATGAATGAAAGAATATGTCTACAATGTTATGTGATTATAATGTCTTCTCATCCACCTCTCCTTAAGCACGCAATTACTAGTAACCATATCTAGCAGAGCATCTCAGCCCACTCGTCTTCTAGCATACTCCTTGCGCCCCCAATACAGCACACCACCAATGATCCACAACACGATCAGAACAGCCGCCAGAACCGGTGCAAATATAGCGCCCCTTACGACCACAAAGCCGCTCACAACAGCAAAGACGGCCGGGATAAGTACAAGAGGCTTATACGGTCTGTGAAGACCAGGTTCGCGAACTCGCAAGACGATGGCCCCGAGAACAGTGAGGAAGAAAAAGGAATACTCGCCGAGGCCGTTGAACGTGAGCAGAGCGCGGAAATTGCCGAGGAGGATGTATAAAGCGGAGAGCGCGGTGGACAAGATGATAGCGTTGATCGGGGCATCTGACGCGGTTGTGCCTGCGGAACTATCTGCCGACTCTGACTCTTGCTCGGGTCTCTTTCTGATGCCGACTCGGCCTAACTGTGAAAAGAGACGTGGCAGCCATTCTTGGTTCGCAGCTGCCACGGCCATGCGGCCGGCTACGAAGGAGTTGCCCAGCAGAGAGCCTGCGACGACTAGACAGATGACTATGGCGGCGACGATGCCGAAGCCTTGGCCGAGAAGGCGCGTTATGGCAGTCTGAGGTCCTTATGTCAGCTTTCAGGTATCTACCGCGGGGAAGTTAAAGGCGTAGACATACCACAGCCACGCTATCTGTTGTGGATACCACGTTCCATGGCAATAAGATATAGTAAGCTGTGTTAGCCGTAATAAAACAAAAGACTATTGTAGGAATAGCGCTATTGATGGCGAGGGGAAGCTGTTTCGCCGGCGACGAAAGCTCAGCGGAGATGTAGATAGCCTGCTCGGCGTTAATATTCGGTGATCAGGTCGAGCTATAAGCTACTTACCTTGTCCCAGCCAGAATATGCCCATAGTGCTCCGTATAGAGCAGTTGAGTAGTGTCCCAGAAGCTCCCATTCGCTCAAATGGCCCCAATCGGTTCTACTTCCATCTGGGTTCACTGTTGGTCGGTTTCCAAACCACTTCGGCACCGTCTATCAGCAACATTTCTTATAGGGAGAAAGGAAGATTAAAAGTAGATGAGGTCGAAATACTTACCGGCTTCGTGAACCAGTCACGGCCACCGACATCGTCTCTGTTCGGATGGGTCGCCTGTATGATAACGACGACAAGCCCAGCGACAACAACAGCAGCGATAGTGGTAAACTTCGTTACTACGAAGAAGCCGTTCAGCCGCGTGCTCGTTTTCGTGCTGATTGAATTCGCTACGCCGATGACCACCAAGATGAGGATGGAGAGGAGCTTGTGCTCAATCCTGTCCGCCTGGTCGGTGATGCCGGCGGCCGAGTATATGCTCTCGACGAAGACGATGCTGAGGATGGCCAAGGTCGCGGGCATCACAGCGACAATCCACGTCCAAGCAGCCAGAAAACCAAACACGTCGCCGAAGATATAGCGCAAGTACGGCTGTACCCCACCTAGGTATCACCAGGTTAATTCCATAATCCAAGGAGAGTGAGATTCGACCTAATGGTTCATCCCTCACCTTCGCCAGGTATCGCGGTGCCGAGCTCCGCCATAGTAGATGCCCCAGTCCAGGCTAGAATCCCGCCGATAAGCCATACGACCAGCGCCGCCCCCGGGGAGGGAACGTGAGTATCAATTGAACCGGGCGACGTGAAAATTCCACTCCCTATCACGATGCTAATCACAATCGCGAAAGCCTCGGCAGTACCAAGGTTCTTGGAGAATGAAGACCCCTGAGCAATATCGTCGCTGGTGATGACGCCATCGTGCCGAGGAGCGACGGGTTCATCGGCTTGCTCTCGAGAAGCGGACAGCAGCGGTCGCGTTTCTCCTTCAGACGCCATGGTCAATGCTCACGTATTCATATGAATATTGAAGCAACGTCTTCTCTCCAGGTACACCTAAGCCAATATGTAAGTGGAGGAGTGATCAATGTGATAGCGGCTCCTATAACGGCTAATTGTGGCTGGTTATGGTGTCATCTCATGTACGGTATGCTGAATGGCTGACTAACTGTATTGGGGAAGGGAAGCTCAACCTCCCCCAGAGCGCTTGAACCACGATAAATCAAGGATGAGTCCAAGTTTTTACAATGACAGCCGATTTCATTCATGGTGATTTTACAATTGTCGTGTAAATGTTTAGATACAATATCCGGCTCGCTAGAATCTCATTTGACCGTATCCCGGGGTTTCCATAGTGGCTACACTTACTTATACTTACACAAGGAAGACATAATTCATCATGAGCACTAATCCATGCCCTCCATGAGTTCAGTCCGATCGAGCACCATTCCCTTCTGGCCAATATATTCGCGGAGGGCATCCCACTCGGCGCCCTCTTCCTCGCCTTGCCGCCATAGCTCTTGGAAACCCCAGGCACACGCTACCTTGTCTAACGCCGCCCTTTCTTCTTCCCTGATCCATCGCTTCCTCAGCGGCATCCCAGGAGCCCATGTTACTCGTTTCATTTGATCGTTCGCTGTTGTAGCCGCGACCACTCCTAGGGATGCCGTGAAACCAACGTAAGCCAGGATTCCTACAAAGGCCACGTTCGTGGCGGTAGCGGTATCCATTGTTTGCTGCAGACCGGAGAAGTTAGTGGCCAGTATGTAGGCTGCTACAGGAGTGCCAACTAATGCGCCGATTGGTAGTAGACCGTGACGGAGAAGTTTGCTTCGGACAAAGGCCGTAGTTCCGTAGCTACTTTCAATGATGCCGACAGCGGCATCTAGGTTCTTTGTCGCGATAGCCGCGTCAAGCGCAGCGTCAGCTATCTTGGGCTCGATGGCACCTTCGGGACGGTCGGGGTTTTGCTTTTTGTAGCGCAAGGGCACGGAGCCCTCACGAGGCAAAGGTTTTGATGCATACAGATTGAATATTCTAGGCAGAGTTTCCGGCCTCTCCAGCTTTGCCTGGACTCTAACATACTGGTCGAGTAGATCGGGCGTTATTACTACTGGCTGATGAGCCAAGATTCGATAGGCGACCATGGAGATCTTATCAAGTAATTCATTCAACTTCGCCGAATAGTCTTTGTCTTGTGATAGTTTTGGATCATTTTTGGCAGTAGATGTCGATGGTATCGCCGGTTTCGCACTTGCATCACCATCTAGAGAGAGCAGTGTGGAAGCCGTAGAATCCAATTGGCTAAGATCGTGTACAATATGCGGCTGCGCTGCCACATCTGTATATAATTCTGCCAACGCATGGCAAGCGTCCAGCACTCCGCTCACGCTCTGCTTAGAGGGGATGCCTGGAGAAGAAGTGATTTCCGATACGCTTGCTTCAAGAGAGTCAAGAGAGTCCTTGATGCCAAGGGTATACGACGTATGTGTTGACGAAGCTTCAGTATCGACTTTGGTTACGGCCTCACTTGAAGGACTCTTGGACGGCTTGGATCTGTTCGTACTAGGTACTACGGTCGAAGACAGCGCGCGGCGTTGCGGCAATATGTATGGGCTCTTTGCTCGCCGGGGTTGGGAGTGTTGGTAAGAGACATTTCGAGCACTAATTAGGGGCGCCGCAGCTCGGCGAGGCCGGACAGATAGGGATTCGCAGATTTGACATATTGAGCGCGGTCGCGCAACAGCCCCAGGTTGGCGCATGACGGTGGCGATGTCGCTGCTGCTGGGAACCTGGCCTTTGGCACCTCCAATTTTGAGGGCTTCGCGAGAAATGCGGACATACAGACCTAGGTATCTTTCAATAAGTACCTAAGTACCTACCTCCTATCTAACGGTCCCCCCCCGGGGTTTAAGCTCTTATCGTTATCGCAAGCTTCACTCTACTTAGTGGACTTGGGCACCTGATCAGACCGCCTCAGCGCCTAACTTGCTCGCTGGCCAACCCCTGGAAAACTGAAGCCGTGATGGGATCAAGCTCAAGTCGTATTCAAGGACCAACTTAGCGGTTCAGATCTGATTATTTTTCAAATTCGATATTGACTCAACGCGACTAGGATATTATCATACGAGACAACAATAAGTCGCCCCTCGCCTGGGCGGAAGAGCCGCCGCTAGATGGGAACGGTTAAGAGCATTTCTGCCTTGGTTACATCGTGTGATGTTTCTTGACCGCTAGTACGGCTGCAATCGCAACATATCATTGAATTGGACGGCTCGATTACATGGTATGAAGACGTTTCTGTGATTCTTCGAAGCCCGAGCGGTAAAGAAACATCGCGTTATATAATCAAAACACGAGGTTGATGGCGCTTGCCATTTGGCGGACCCAGCCTCAATACGAGGTGATCTGCATCTCCTCGGTTGCATCATGAGTTAGCGGAGTTGTTACCCGAACCGTAGCGTTACCGATGCGTATTATGCAACACAGAGCAATAGTCGTGAAGTTATATATAAGCATGATGCTAGTAGGTCGATTGCAAACTTGGAAATAACAGTTGCCCAGCTATCAGTCTGTAAATCAAAACACTATCACCCTCATCACAACCGTCAATTCTCTGTCATAACTCTGTCAGCAACATGAGAGTCAACGCTGTCCTTAGCACTCTGTTCGCGGTCGCGGCCTCTGGCGCGGCAGTCAAGCCTCGAGATGCCGCCTCGTACGATGTCTTCGGCTTTTCGGCTGACTGTACACCGCACAGCGTTACGTGTGGGTAAGTTACTGCTCATAAGTGACGCCGGCGCAAGATAAATTATCCTTCTAATGTGTACATGTAGCTACGGCTTCCGGGTGGTCCCATCCTTTGAAACGCCTAGCGACAACGGGTACATTTGCGGGAACATAGTTCTAGGCCCGGACAACCTTCCGCCTCTCCCCTTGACGGCCTGTTTCACGAACCCAGACTTTGCTTATTCTATCGACATTGCCAATGGTGGCCTCACTCTCACTATCACCTCGGCGCTTAATGCAAACACTAACCTAACTGGAACCCGTAAGTCTGACTGCTTACTCGCATCTCATTTCACAAGAACAGCGCCATGATCCTACTCTTGGCATTTCCTTCGAAACTCTCCTTATATCGCTTCTTGAAAGGATTGGCAAGTTTCTCAAAATGCTAACTTGTTCGTTCGCTTAGATACTGCTACATCAGATCAGTTTATCTTTGAAAACGGAGGTACTACCATTTCGCAGAGATATATTGGGCCCAAGAACTTCACCATCGTCGCCGAGGAGGTTGCCGTCTAAACAGGTTTTGAACAATGAGAACGGGCCCAAGCCCCTTCATGTTTTACTTAGATATGTCGGCCTAAAGGTATAAAATGGTTCCTAGTTTGGCATACAAATGTTGAAATGTTGGTATGGTAGCCTCCAAGACTGGAGGTTGGAGCAAGTCCCCCATACTACGTTTACCCCACACGGCGGGGGCCTTCCCAACAGTGTTCCGATTTCGTAACAGTCAATAACAAAAACCTACCACTACACTAGCTAAATACTGAACTGAGTCATTGTGTTTGAGACCTGGATAACGAGGCAGATTCCTGGGTGACAATGTACAAAAGGCTATAAAACTGACACGAAGTACGGAGTAGTCTCCTTGATAACAGCGGTTTAAGTGTAGTTGACGGGCGGCCTCTCAGGGGTGTCAACAACCACATCACACCCACCACAGCCCTCTGGTGGATGAACGTATAAGATGACTAATAAAAGTCCATGGTGAGTGGGTTTGGTGGGTAATAATGAAGCTATTCAGAAATATCGTGAATCTCGCCGCCGCCCAGCCCGTTGTCCCCGTTGTTGCCGATAGAAACACCCTTTGCGATCCATCTAGTGACAAACGCAACTCGCTGCTCGTAGCCAATATGCTGTATAGCCTCGCTTTCAACGTTTCTGGAGTTGACATAGCCGGGATCAGGGTTCATCATTTATCAAACAAATGACCTGGCAAAAATCGACTCGAACAGTTTACACGAAATCTTCGTCAATATTCACGTAATACGCGTCAAATTCAACAAAATTCTTGCCAAGTCATTTGTTTGATCGATGATGAACCCTAGCCAGGATAATAAGCCCACACAACTCAAAGACCCAGTCCCTCAATAACCTACTAAAACGCAAGGCGTTCTCCAACTTGTCAGAATAGGGGTGTGCGTAACTAAGTATATTATGCCATATTAGGCGTAAGTTAACGAAGGTCCTACATGAAGAACCAAAGTTCCGCCAAAACCCTGTGTTAGTCATGTTGATCACCATTCTTAGATGTATCGTGCTTCCGTTCTCGTACCCTGTACACTATTCCTCACCAGCTTGACCCAGCCTGGGATATTCACAACCAGAAGAAAGAACGCGACGCCAAACAGTCCAAACGTAACCCCAAACCAAGTTGTCACATTCAGGTTCTTGAGGCTAATGTCCATGGCGAAGAATGACGTGGTGAGCGAAAGTGGCGCGAACGAGAATGTTACACGTGTAACCTCTGTACCGGTTGAAGCATGCAGTTCGCCTTGCACTCCGGCCGTACGAAGGACCATTGCAGGCTGTTCATGACCTTCCAAGACATGCAGGCAGTATTAGGCAATATTGGAAAGTGAGGTTATACAGATTTCGCTTCTTGAAACAGACCCTAGAGACCCAGGCGGTCTGGGCTGGCAGATCATTTGTATATAGAGTCATCTCAAGCCACCAACAGCCGAGAAGGAGTTGGTTGGTCAAGGACTAATGCAGCCCTAGTTGATCATTGTAATCAGAAGCCTCAATTCCAAGCCCAGTTCATCTGCCCTTGTTATAGAGAAGGCCAAGGAAGGCGAGTTTGCCGAGCCTCCAAGACTATTCATAGGAGTTTTGGGCCTCTTTGGAGTTGATATTGTTCATGAGATTCGAGATGGCATCCTGGCATTGAGCCTGCAACGTCTGGACACGTGTCTGAAAATATTCATACCTCTGCGTGACGGATTTCGCCGCATGTGATGCCTTCAGGTCTTCCTCGTTTATGGTTCGCCAACCTGGAAACAGTTTGGCTATGGTCGCCTCATAGTAGACCCAGCAAAGAGGATGAATTTATGAGATGAACCTTCCACACAAAGCACTTCCACATTCACGAATGATAACACGGCATACATAAACATCTCACATTATCTCATTCTTACACCATGGCAGCAGCGGTCTGACTTTGACTAATATACGTATACAATGAGTTAGAGAAATGAATCTGTTGGTCTGTAGGGATTCAGATATTACTTTTACTAGTATAAGGTAAATGGTTCCAACAGAGGTCGAATTCGTGAAGTATCATAAGGATTGGTGGCAGCCATACATCAGCCACCCACGTGGTCGGGTTCTATCTGCAACGAAGCCACTGACACAGTCAAATTGATTTATTATGATTTAAATATAGTTATATAAAAAGCGACTAATAATTCAGTATATAACCATGCCAATCGTTCAATGTCTCATCAAGCTTCATCTATGGTACTGCGAAAGTTGGTCTCGATGTGGGTGCTGCAATGGCCACTAAAAATATTTACACTAACACGACAAATATAAAAATAGCACATTCCCATTACACTATGGCTCTGTGGTCTTGTTAAAAGCTTCATCGCATGGACTTGGCAAGTAAAGGTTACATAACAGACCACTACTGTGCCGCACGCTATCCTCAGACTTGCCTCTTTGAGAAGCCGTTTCGATGACCCACGCCATTTCGGGCTTGGGAGGATCAAGGTTTAAGTAAGAACTAAGATATACGGTGACGAATACGCCGTGTGTAGGACTTCGTCTTTGGGTGAAGGAAAGGGAATCAAAGATGTATAAATAACGACTTTTACCAGCTATGCTTTCAAATGAGACACCAGCAACTCACTGCTTTTGAGCCTCACCCAAAACCTTCGTTTCATCATGAAGCTTAGTGCAACCACAAGCTCACTGCTAGCTGCAGCCACTGCCACCACGGCACTTGCTCAGTCCCAATGCCCGATTGTCTGGGATGACCCCAGGGATGAGTACGGAAATCCGGGGTACGTCAATATTGACCCGTATTTCGGTGCCAGTGGTCGCAAGATCATTCTACGCCCTGGCTGCACATACTGGAGACAAAACTACCCGAGGGACCTCCCAGACGAAACCGTCGGGTGTCTGAATGAGGATGGCCTTGTTGTTCCTGTTTCCGAGGAGAACTGTGCTACATTCAACTGGATTCCAGCGACTGGCGAGCTTGAGGACTACTTTACCTCAGTTATAAGGACAGTCAAGAACAACTACATCTGTGGTACTGACTATCGTCTACCTAACGGCGGTTTTGGCCCGGACGGCAGGTGGACATGCCAAGAAGAAGGATGGGGTTACGATCTTGTCGATGGACCAGTAAGACCCCTACCACATCGTTTGACTGACATTTGCTTTCATTGCATCCGGTGATCACCCTAACTGAATCTGGTGGTATATAGGAAGGAGACGTTCCCATCTATCCTGCGGGATACACTGGAGGGGTTATCTCTACACAAATCTTCACGTGGTGGATTCAGCACCCTCCTACCAGCACTGCCGACGCGCAGGCTATGCAGTGGCGTGTTCCCGATAACCCCTACTCAAACTACACTCTCAAGGAAGGAGATGGGACCTTCCCAGTTATCATGGAGCTAGTAGAAGAGATTTAGACATACTCCAGAGGAATCTTTTGTTGGCGTGTGATCAACACGATCTAAGAGAAGTGGGTTGAAACACTCTTGCTTCAAGTTTGCCCATTCTCAGACCAATATATGGTATAATTAATCTGTCATATCTATAGCTTCTAACTTGACTTGGTATCTGGCCTGAATAGACATATATCACCCAAAGCAGTGTAACTTGATAGCCAGCAACGATAAATTTTTCATTTCTATTGCTTCAGTAGATCTCATACTCAGAATCGGAAACATTAGGAATAATTTTAGCAGATAGCCATTGAGCTTTCTGTGCCAATTCTCACTCACGTCTTCTGATATTTCTATGAGCTTCCTGTCTTACTGGTAGTATGGGCCTCTAGTGATCCCTTATTCGGGTTTGCTGAAATTCGGTAAGATATTTGCGCGACAAGAGCCCTTCAACTATACCAATGAAGCGTCAATTGCCCAAGATCTACAAGATGTATTCATGCATGAGGATACCGAAACGGAACTTGACACTGCACTCCAATGGATCGTTAGTAGTGTCTGACACATTATAAATAATTGCCAAGAAACCTGTTCTGGAATTATAGAGAGCCTAGACAATAGCTAACTAGAAAATCATAACATCATAACATCATTTCATGTGGCAGGCTGTGCTCGGATAGAACCGGCGATATAAAATAAGAACTCTAATGGAACAGGAGCTGCGACGACGCCGATTGACATTGCAACTCCATCTCCAAATTATTCTTCTGCCTTTTTTTTTTCTCTTTTTTGCTTTCTCTTTTTTTGTCAGTTTTATGTCAAGCAAGACAGGGGAAATAAGAAAAAGGAAGAAGTAAAAAGAAGAAATCCTTGGAATGAAATACATTTTAAGGAAACCAGAAGCCTCCGCGTTCCCGGATAGAAACAACGGTATACACGAGGATTCTGGAAGGGAATTACCTTTCAAACGCACCAAATGACGACACCAGAAGCCTCCATGTTCCCGGATAGAAACGACGGTATATACGGAGTATCTGGGAAAAGAAATGAAAGCAGAGAAAACAAAACAAACCAAAACGCCAACTTCAACACTAATTGTCTCCGTTGTATCCGGTGACAATGTCAATCTTCAACAAAAGAAAGAAGCCTTGGTGAGCATAGCCATGCGCACAGGTTTTGTCGTGGCGATTGTCGGCGCGGCCTTGCCTGGACCTTCACGGCCGATGTCCAACAGGCGAATTCAGATTTCCAGAGCAATCGACCGGGATGATCACCCGAAATTTCACAGGATATACCCGAGGAATTCAAACTCTTACCAAACGACTGTAGTAAGCTGATGATACAGGCCCACGCTATGAAGCTCGTCATAGAAAAATCTAGTACGGGATGGTGTCGATACGAGGCAGGAATCTTTGATCGGATGATAACCCGCACCGGTTACCATGCCTTCATAGCCATACTGATAATGATTGATTTCTCACAAATCCGTCCTCTCCGATGTTGCGAACCTTTTAACTCTTCTTCGGCCGTCCTCTCCGCCTTCTCCCGCATGGATCAAAATGGGCTTTAAAAATGGCAGACGCCGCGTCGTGACGACTGTCAATTGCAAAGCTCCCACACGAGCACGCGTACGTGTAGGGCGAGGCTTCTCGGCACTTATTCTCGTCCAAGTGCTTTCGGAAACGGTCCTTTCTTCGAGAAGTATAACCGCAGCGACAGTGCCATGGTGCATTACAATCGTCATGCATGCTTATCAAATGGCGTTCGAAGTCCTTAAGTGACTTGACAGTTTTACGACAGGTTGACCGTCCGCAGTGATAGGAGCCCGCCCTTTGCGTGATGCTGGAATGCCTTGACACAAGGTGGTCACTAATACGTGCTCCGTTAGCATGGCACGTTGCCCGAGCTTCTGATAACGCCTTACACAAGTTCCTTGGTGCTAGACTGGTGCTCCCAGCATATTTCACAGATATAAATGCCTGTTCGCTGTGCTAACGAGGCTTGAGAGATGCTGGAACGGGGGCTACACGCAGACTCAGGTGGTGTTTGGAATAAGGACATGCGACCACCAGGTAATAGGGACAAGTCTTGACCGACGGGAAACCTGGAGTTCTCTGAAGATGGCGTCGTGTCGGAGTTATGAAGGGTTGCAACTATTGGAGTTAACAATATCTGAGATGGGCCGTGTCCGTTAAGGGCATCTTGCTGAACTACGCGATCGACGGTGGCAGGCGTTTTCACGCGCAAACCAGCGTGCAGTTTGGAAGTCTCAGGGACAATGCCTTCTTCGGATGTATCATAGTACTTTTTAAAATCGAAATAGTAAAAGGTGTCCTCCTCGGACTTCTCTTGTTCTAAATGGTGATCATTGTTGTGGCTTCGAATGGGAGGAGCGCCGGTTCACTACACCGGCGCTCCCTGATCCAAACGAAGGAAGGAATCAATGGACCAGAATGGTCTTACAACAAATTTGGGGGGAGCTGGGTGTTCGTTAGCATCCCACTCAAAACAATGTGCCTGTACTAGGATGACTTCTTGCAAAATCTGTTCGTCCGCGGGGCACAAGGACCCAGCAATGACGTGCGACGAAGGACGACTGGACTCTGTTTGAACTTACGGAATAGGTTTTCAGAGCATTAAACGGCAATATTTGACTTCTAGTAGCCGGTCACCACCAAGGGCAAGCGATACCGAACGATCCGTATACCAAACGGCGATTGACCCTGAGAAGAAAGAGCTCGAAAACTGGCTTTAAGAATAAAAGTATCAACATATACCTAACCTAACTCAACTCCCGCCAAAGGTGGGGCCTGTCTTTCAGGCGAAAGACCAGGGTTTCAGCTCAAGTGAGCATGGCTTCGGAGGGCCTTTTTTTTGATTGGCTCAATTTCTCTTCCCCAGGCTCAATCTCTCAGGCCTATTTTCTCATTCGCCAGGTATATATAGAATCAACGAAGTAATAGCAACCCAGGTAGTATGGGGCGCAGTTGCGTAATCGGTGAAGGCTAGACTAAGATGTGTGCAGTGAACTGCTCTCTGTCCCTTGGGATGATTATGAATTCGCTTGAGAACTTGCAGGCCATTTAATTTATTGGATGATAGAGAAGGATGCTCAATGCATCGTGTTCTTTCTTCTTGTGCCTCAGCAACGAGATGCGTGAATCGCCTTGATCTTCTAAACATCCAATCAAGAAAATGGCCCAAAACTCTAGCCGCCATGAAGGACGACACTACGTGCGTCCAATTACACCTTCTTAGAGAACCCCGTTGCTATGGATGAATATTAAAGATGCATCAATGACCAAGAAGCTTCAGCTGAGATTCTCAACTTTATCCTAAGAAACTCAGTCAAATCCTACATCCGCTTTGGGCCAACCTCTGTTCGAAGATCTCGCTCGCGCTTCAAGATGCCAACTTCAAGCTCCAAGGTAGAGAATGCAAAGAAAGATGGTACTATTCGCATCCCATCTGTATACCAATGTACCTAGGCCAAGCTGACAATGTAAGCAGACACATACAAACTTCCCAGTAGTGACACAATGAGCTATCAAATGCTTGAATGGCTTGGGCAGGACCTGGATGATCCATGGAACGCGATAGGTTATAGAAAAACAGGAAAGATGAATTCAAAAACACCAATGTGCCATAGCTTTGCTGCAAAACAAAAAACACAAAGTACTATTACGAATATTGGATCTGGAGAATAGGGAAAACGAAAGCCCAACTTTGTACATCGCAGCACCCATCTGTTTCCCCAAGAATCCTCAATTCAGAGGACGTCAATCCACCAAGTCAGGCACTCATAATGAATGTATTTCTCAATCGGACTTTGACCCCCCCCTAAACTGGGATGCTCCCAAATGTGCCCCAATCCCCAGAGAAATCAGGCTCATCAGAGGCGTAAATGCAGCCAAGCGTATGCTTGCGAGCCAGGCATTATGTGTCGAATCCATTGACGATAGCTCAAATTCTTGGTTTCTTCTCTCATCTGAGGAAACCGTTGAGTTTCCTTCCTGAAAATACTAATTTGTTTTCTTCCTTCCTCTGCGAAAGCGGGTAGTTGCGTTTCCGCGGCTAGAAGTACCATGTACCATTGGAACTGCTGCCCTATTGTATTTTCCAGCTGTCTCCATGCTCTCGTGCCATTGTGGTATAACTTCTTCTGTTGCATCAGCACCTCTAGTTTGTTATTGACTTCTTGTATGAGACTCGTGACTTTCTTGTTTAACCGTCGTATCTCTACTAGCTCCCTTTCTTTGATCTCAACGTACTCGGACTTTTCGTAGTCATTCTCAAAATGAATCTCCGACCGACGAGCCTGGAGATACTCCCTCGTCGCCTGGTGTAAACTAGGAGGTAATAATGCAAGTATAACTGGATGCGGATTTGAATTTAGATGCATGTTTTCCAGCATGTACAATGTTGCTCCGTCCAGATCTTCTTTTCGTGTTTGAATGGCTTTGTTTGCTTTGAATATCTTGGAGTGGACATCACCATATATGTCAGGTTCTGTATCAAACTCACTGATTGTGTGATGTCGCCGTCTCATTGCTCTCCGCCTATCACGTTGCCGCAGACGATCGGACTCGCGCTTATAGTTTGATTTAGGCTTTGGAGCTTTCCGTGTTTCGGTATGTTGGAGATTTGGCGTTTGCGATGCGCTCTGAATCTGTATGGCCGACGGGTCTGCGGGTTCCTTGCCCAACAATTCTTCCACCGGACCACATCTATATATGACAACCACCCTGTTACGCCAATTCTCAGAGACAATGGTGCGCTTGGCTATTCGTTTTAGGTTGCGTGACCTATATGCCTTAATTTTCGGCGATAGATTATTGAAATCGTAAACTCGTGCCTGGAAGTTACACATATTCTGATCTTTATTCAAACCACACTCAATTTCTGGAGTCGGAACGGACTCTACAGAGAATGCAAGAAAGTGATATTCTTCATGGATAAACTGTCCGATCTTGAATTTTTGATCGAAAACAGCTCCAACTAAATCTTTCAGTTCGGGGTGCTTGGGCCCGATTTGACATTGCTGCGGCACCGCATCCTCTTGAACATGGGCGGATGCGGTAGCCATGGATGAATAGTGCCCAAAGTAAATTGCTGGGTACGGATATCGGCCTGGAGTAAAAGTGTATGTAATTAGGGTTATTGTTTTCTTGGGCATGCCCCGCGTAAGCTAATCATATTATATTCAGCCACAATGTGCTGACCATATGCGCAGCTCTCCCCTGTCCAAACAGTAACCCACCTGACATGACCACGAAAGAATCCTCTTTATATTGCCGAACCTATCAAAATCCCGGGACTTTGGGGTCTTGGAACGGGTTAGTCCCCAAGCCCCGAGCTATCCCCTCTAACGTCATCCGCGAAGGTTCGACTCGCTGCCCAAGGCTTAGTGTAATCAATGTAACTTGAAGGTTCCTACGGCTGCAGCCTCCGCGGTTTATGTGATCCTCTAAATCTAGCTGATTTATTACAAAACGCCGAAAAGATATATTCAACGACAGAAAGCCCATGATAAACAATTTTGTCCATCACTTACCACTCAATTGCTGTTACCATGCCAATGTTGTCTCATTCAAATGTCAACAAAATTTCCCTAGATTCTTTCCATTGCATCTACAGTAGATAGTTGATATTGGAATTAGGAAGGCAGGGATGGATAATCCTGGTGGCTGGTACTTCGACCCACACATATTCTACTATATAAACAGATATACCACCCTAACCTATAATACCTAAACTTAGTTCCTTAATGCAATATATATATAATTCCTCATCTACAGTATTACTTATACTGTATTATTTTAATTAGTTATAAGCCCAGAAGTTTATAACCTTAATAACTTTTAACATTTTACCTTATTTAATCTATTTCAATTATAAGTATATTATATTAAAATTAAAAATATCTTTATTTATAGCAAACAACTACTGCTCTTTTCATTAAGCTACAAGGGTAAAAAAATGCTAAAAATACTATAATAATAGGAATACTGTACCCTAATAGCGTACCCCCTACTGCACACCTTAATATATAAACGTACCTACCAAAAATACAACACTTATTAAAATAACAGAAATCAAAATAACTATACCTCCTCCTAATATATTAACGAAAATATTAAAATTTTACCTTTATTATTAATAGTTATTATTACTTTTATCTAAAAGAAAACGCCTTAAAGTAATAAATAATACGCTATAAAATATAAACTATTAAAAAGAAATTAAAATACTATTATTTATTACCTTAATAATTAAAAATTGGATGGAATAAAAATGATTAAAATAATAAAAAGATAATATTAACCTTAGGATTTAAAATAAACTAACATTTAAAGGCTAAGCTAAATTTATTTATAAAGATTTAAAAATCCATAATTAAATATAACCTTAGAACTTAACTACTTATTTTATTTATTTATTATTATTTTTTAAATAAAAAGAACTTTCCCTTTTTTATATAAAAATTTAAAAATAAATAATAATTAAAACTCTTTTATAAAAACCTTATTAATTATAATTATTAACTATAAATATTATTATTATTTATTTTATTACTATAACTTCTATTATTCTCTTTATTTAAAAAAGTATTATTAATTTCTATATTTAATAATATTAATAAAATTAATTTATTTAAATTTAAAGTTATTATTAAGTTCCTATTATTAAAAATATCTTTATTATTTTTAAAATAAATAATATTTAAATATATTAATATTTTAAATAATAACAATTTTAACAAACTTATATTAAATCTATCTATTTTAAAAAATAATACTTTAAATAATAATACTTTATATTAATTAATTTTTAAAATAAATTAAAATAAATAAAGAAATTAAAACTAACTCTTTATCTTTTAATTAAATTATAATATTTAAATCCTTATTTAAATATTTTAAATTTAAAAAAAAGATAATTAATTATATTTATATAATAAAATATGCTAACTATTTGTTTAAAAAAGCTAAGGAAAAATAACCTATTAAAATTAAAAATATATTAATTGGAACTACTTTATATAAAGCTTAAATAAATTAAAGGATTATATAATAAAAAGTATTAAGCTATATTTAAAGCTATAATAAAAAAAAGTACTTAAAGTTATTTTAAATTATAAAATATAGAAAAAGGATATAGATATAAAGATTATTATAATAAATATTTAAAATCTAATTAAAGAGAAATTTAAATTAATTAATAGTTTAACTTTTTAAAACCTATTAAATAAATAGTAAACTACTTTATTAGCTATAAAAGGATTAGTTTTAACCTTTATAATTAAGTTAAGGTTAATAAGATTAGATTTTAAAGAATTAAATATAGAAATTTATACTTTAAATAAGCCTTTTTTTTTATAAAGTTTTTATTTAGCTTTAATAATAAATATTTAATATTTATTTTAACCTTTCTTAAAATAAACTATATTATTACTATTTAAAAGGTATTAAGTAAAAAAATAATAAAAAAAGCTACTTTTTAATTAACTTTAATAAAGGTATTATAAGAAGAATAAATAAAAAAGATAGCTATTTAAAATTTTATTAATGCTTCCCTTTTTTTTTAACAATATAATTAAAATAAAAATAATAATAAAGGGAATAATTAAAACAATTGTTAAAAGAAATAAAAGGTACTTAAGGTAGGATATTATTATTATATTACTATTAATAGAAAGAATATTAACTACAATAACAATAAATACTTTTTTAAATACTTAAAAAAGGTTCCAAAATGGTAGAATAATAATAAAGGAAATAAAAGATTTAAGCTAAATGAAAACAATAATAATAATAATAACCTAATTACTAACAACAACATTAACGTTATTATACTTGCTATAACTAATTTATTATTACTAATTTAGCCTTTAAATTTAATATTCCTTACTATTAAAAATAATACTAAACTAATAAAAGAATTATTAAGTTGAAAGCTAAGCATCTTAAATTAAATATTTAATAATTTTAAATAAATAAAGGAATTATACCTTAAATAAACTTAACTTAAATAAGCTTAACTTAAAGAAGATTAACTTAGAAAAATATTAATATTAATTAACATTATACTTTAAACATTAATAGTAATAATTTTATTAAAATTAAATTTTAAAAAGGCCCTATTAAAAATTAACTTTTTAAATCTATTAAAATTAAAGGTAAAAGAATTTATAAAGTAAATATTTAACTATATTATTTTTAATAATAATTATAGTTAAATAAACTTTAATAATAAAATATTATTTATTAAAACTTATTTTTATAATAAACTACTTATTTATAAAATAAAAGATATAATAATAACCCTTAAATAAATAGGAATTATAAAGTTCCCTATAATTATTAATAAATAAATTAAAATAGTTATTATTTATAATATTATTTATTGCTTTAAAATAAGTATTAACTTAGTTTTTATTGCTTAATTAATAAAAAAAGAAGCTAAATTTTTATTCTATTAAAATAAGGTATAAATAATAATAAAAGAATATACCTTTATAACTATAAGGGAATTTAAAAAACTATATATAGTTAATTAATTAAATAAAAACCTTTAAATAGTTACTTTTAATATTACTTTTTATATATATTTTATTAATTTTATCTTAAAAGTATAATATAAATAATTTAAATATATAAATAATAAAAAAATTAAAAAATGAATAAAAATAATATAAGGATTTATTCCTTAAATTAAATATTACTTTTATAAAGTTTATATAAATAGTAAAATATAAGCTTTACTTTATTAAAGGAAGCTATTAAAGGGAATTTACCTTATTAAATTACTTTATTTTAATAAAGTTAATATATTTATAAATATATTATAAAGCTATAATAGCTTAATAGGGTGGTTAACTATTATTTATAACTTTATAGGAATAGTTTAAGTTTTAATATTATTTAAATTAAACAATTAATTTATAAAATTTAAAAACTTTTTATAAAAGTAGAAAAGGTTTAAAAGAAAATATAAAATAATTACTTTAAATAAATTAAACTTTTATATAAATGGTAATTTTATTAATTATTATATATTAAAAGGTATTATTATTTATTATATAATAATAAATTAATATTAATAAAATAAAAAATCTAAATAAACTATATATACCTTAAAGGATTTAATAAGATTATTATTAACTATTATTAAAGAAAAGGAAATACCTTTAAAATATTAGCCCATTTTTATTAAAATTGTAGCTTTTATTTAAAATAAAAGGAGATTTAAAAAATTAAATATAATATCCTATAAAAATTAATATAAAAAAAAACCTAATATATATAAAATAATAACCTTTAAAGTAAAAGGTAAATATAAATTATAAATAAAATAAAGTATATTTAAAAATAAAATAATAAATTACTTTATATTAAAATATAAAGGAAAAAGTATTACGATTAAAAAAGTTCTTCGTTTAAATAATTATTTAATTATAAATATTTATGATATAATTTTTATAAAAAAATACCTATACGTTTTAATAAAGAATATTAAAAAAATTACTATAGCTATAGCTAAAAAAGTAAAAAAAAGGTAAAAAATATTATTATTACTAAGTTATTAAAAAAGATATAAAATAGTTAAAAAAGAAGTAAAAGGATTTCCCTTTAATTTATTTCTAACTTAACCTTTAAATATTTATATATTATTAATATATACTAAAGTATTATTAGGTTTTAAATTAAAAGATAAATTTATAAAAGATAAAAAATAGTATTCCCTTATACTATACCTTAAACTATTAAATTTTAAATTAAAAAATCCAATTAAAAAATTCTAAATAACTATTATAATTTATAGCTTTAAATATAAGCTTTTAATTAACTTTATTATAATTTATAAGCTTCGTTACCTTTTTTTAAACTTATTATTATAGCTTTATTATTTATTTTTTAATAGTAAAAATAGAATTAAAAAGTTATAAATAAGTAAAGGAAAATATTAAATAGTTTAAATAATATAAAGCTATAAAAGTAAAATATTAATCTTTAATTAATAATTAAATTTGGAAATTTTATAAATTATTAATTAAAAGATCTTTAATAAATGGAAAATAGATATATAAAATTAAACAAGGTTTAAATAGTAAAATTATTAAATATAAAGTATAATAAATTATATACAGCTTTAAATAAATATTTAAAAAAGATTATAATAAAACGTTTATATTTATAATAAAATTAATAAGCTATAAAGCTATTTTTACTATTGCTATAGCCTTTAATTTAGAAATTAAATAAATAAATATAAAAATAGCTTTTTTTTATAATAAAGTAAAAGAAAACATTTATATTTAATAGCTATTTAAATTTAAAGATAAAATTAATAAAGTTTATAAATTAAATAAAGTATTATATAATTTAAAGTAAATATTTTAAGTTTAATATTAAACTTTAACTATATTTTTAAAAACCTTTAACTTTAAATTATTAGATTTTAATATTAGCATTTTTATAAAAGGATATATTTATATTACTATTTATATAAATAATCTATTAATAGTTAGCCCTTTAAAGGAAAAGATTATTAAAATTAAAAAAGCTTTATTTAATAAATTTAAAATATAACACTTAAAACTATATTTTTTTTACCTAAATATAGCTATTATATAAAATAGGAAAAATAAAAGTATTAAATTAAGCTAAAAAGCCTATTTAAAAAAGATTATTAAGGAATTAAGTTAATAAAAGGTATATATTATTATTATATTTATAAATATTAATAAAATTCTTAAACTAATAAATAATTATAAAGTATTAAAGAAAAATATATAATAATATATAAAAGCTATTAATTATTTAATATATATTATACTTAATATTTAACCTAATATTATATATATTGTTTTATATTTAAATAAATATATAAAAAATCCTACTTTAATATATAATAAAGCTATTTAATAAATCCTATAATACTTTTATAAAACGATTAATTATAAGCTATATTATTAAAATAAACTATAGGATTTAATAAGTTAAATTAATATTAATTAGGCTAGCTATATATAAATTAAGCGGTTAATTATAAAGTATATTTTTAATATTAATAATAATATAATTAATTAAAGTTTAAAAAGGTAATAAAGTATAACGCTATTTTTATATAAATTAAAATTAATAAGTTAAATATAAGCTATAAAAGAAGTAATATAATTAAAACGTTTATTTTTAAAGCTAAATATTTATAAAAAATAAATAATAGCTATTATTATTTATAAAAATAATTAAAAGGTTATAACTATAATAAAAAACCCTTAATTTTATAATAAAATAAAGTATATCCTTATTTAATAAACCTTTTATAAGGAAGCTTTTTAAAAAGGAAATATCGAATTTTAATAAATTTATATATTTAAATAAATAATTAACGGTTTAATTAAACTATTCTTAAGGGATAAATTTATTACCTTTTAAAATGCATTAGGTTTTTAACTATAAAGCAAATAGGAAAATTATTAAATTTTACCCCTTATTAATTAAAAACCCTATAATAAGTTAAAACTTTAATTATATATATTAAAAAAACTTAAAATAAAATAAATACCTTTAACTTTAGCTTTATAAATATATACCTTTTTTAAAACTTATATAATTTATTTTAATAGGACTTTTATCTTTTAAAACGCCCTATTTTAAAGGATTTAAAATATTTTAATGCTTTATTTAATTAGTATTTAATTAAATTATACTTTAAATATTAATATTATTAAGTTCTTTATTTATTTATAAATTAATTAATATTATTATTTATAAAGCAATTAAATAGGTTACTTTATAGGAAAATGCTTTAAAGGGGTAAAATAATTAACATTAAAATCTTTACCTTAAAAAGAATATATAGGAATAAAGATTATAAAAAAAATATATTTAAATAATTTTATTTATATATTTAATATATTAAAATTTTTAAAAATATTAATAATATAATTATAAAAATTATTAAAGCTACTTTAATTTTAATTATTAAGCTTATTTAAATTATTAAACTTTTCTTTATTTAAATTACCTAAGTTTTTAATAAACTTTAAAAATTTATTATTAAATTTAAAAATATTTAAAATAAATATTAAAATATTCCTATAATAATTTTAACTATAAAAAGAATTACTTTTAATATTAGGCTACTTTAAACTTCGTTAAAGGTAAAAAAAACTACTATATATTTATTTATAAATTATTTCCTTTTATAATAAATAAAATTAAGTAAATTAATTTAATTATATATTAAATATAAATAGTAAAAATATTTTTAAATATTTTATAAAGGTATTAAATATTAATAAAAATAACTTTAAAATTATAATATTTAATATTTTAAATAGGCCTATTATAGAAAATTAATAGGTAAATAAATAATAGTACGTTTTTTTTATTGCTATTATTAAGTTAAAGGGAATAAAAGGAAAATATATTTTAATTTAAAATTATAATTTATTATCCGCTTTATTTAAGTTAAAACGATAAAAAAGAATACTTTTTAAAAAATAATAAATATTTATTAAATATTTTAAAATTAAATAAAAGATAATTATGATAAGGGTTTAATATAATATAGATTTAAGCAAGGGAGGTAAAGATAAATATCTTCCAAAAACGCTATTAAAGTTATTTAAATAGGTTAAATTTAAGAACCTACCCTATTAAGGAAAGGAAGACATATACTTTAAAAACTATATACGATTTTATATATAATAAGGAATAGTTATAAAATAAAACTTATAATAGCTTTAAAAGTATATATGGTTCGAATGGGAATATTGGAATTAGGAAGGCAAGGATGGATAATCCTGGTAGCTGGTACTTTAACCTACACATACTTTATTATATAAACAGATGTACCACCCTAACCTATAGTACCTAGACTTAGTTCCTTAATGCAATATACATATGATTCCTCATCTACAGTACTACTCACACTGTACTATTTCAACTGTTGAACCCCCGAATGCGGGCTATACAGCTGAGATATGGCGCTTAATTGTGGAACTTGGATTATACAAAGTGTCCTATCTGGGAAGCGCGACCGATAATTAGTATTTGCAGAGGTACGAAATGCGTATTATCTACATAATACTGATATCATTCTGCTCCTTTTCGTGCCTAGGGATATGGCGAGGTGGCTTTGCATTCTCTAGTCGTATTTGTAACTATATATGATAGAAAAATCGCCAGCAATAGACACCACGCATACTACCGTGTGGACATCTTTACGCGGATCAATGATGCGTAACGTCCGTAAATTTTGTGTTGTTGGTGAATGAGAAGTTAGGGCATTGGCAGAACCCCGCTACTATATCCCTTTGCTACGCTTGGGAGCGACAAATATCAGAGCTGAGCAGAGATGCGTGAAATAGATAACTAAACTAGAGTGGTTGAAACTCGGTTGGTGGATTGCAAGTTGACGCGAGTTGATACAACTAGTAGCTACAGTGCGCAAGTTCGCTTATCCCAACAAAGGCTACATATCACATCGTTATAGATAGACCGTAGTGGGAAATCTTATCGTATGCATATCACTGTCGCGTATTTCACTAAGAATCTAACAGTTAATCGCCCTCATATTACGGCCTAAACCCTGCTTCCATTATTATTGATGGGCATAGCGAACTGGTAAATGTTTAAAATATGTCAATCAATGATATGATATGTTCACGGCGAGAACCAGCTAAGAAGCAGGCTGCTTCACTAGAGAAACACATCCTTCATCAACACTCTAATGTTCTAACTTCAAGAAGAACATATATGGCTCTTTCACTAAACACGCCGTCTAAGGTAATGTGTATGCTACATGATGCAATAGCCTATGCGATGTAGACTCAGAGTGCTCCCAGCTCAACTTTGATTGCCACTTCTGATGTAATATGTAAGAACAATTCCATCTTCGGACTCGGCTTCTTGACCGAATATATTAACCCTATTATGTAGCTCTTCAATCATTGGTTTCGGGAGATAGTGACGTAGACTTCTAGATGCAATATGCTAATTAGTACACAGCACCCGTCGGGGCGTTGAATAGCCAAATGAGGGATGCCACGATCAGTCATCTTGGGCTAGCGGCTTTGCGAACCTTTAAATGAGCAGCGCCGTTGTGGCATAATGACTGACCGGTCGCAACCGATCGTGCACTATGCAGTAGCGTAGAATATGGACTTCTCGGGCCCCTCAAAAAGTCCGCGGCCCGCTGCGCAACCCGCTTGAGCCAGTTACTACGGAAGCCATATTACTGAACGAAAAAAATTTGGACGTTATATAGCAGGCTGTCATCCCATAGATATGGGGATTTGAAGTTTAATGTCCTATAACACCTTCTTGTACAAAGTCATAAATTCAAATTTCTTTCACACCTTTGAGCGGCCATGGCTGGATTAAACGTCCTCGTCTCTGGTGCATCTATAGCGGGTCCCATGACAGCGTACTGGCTAGCCAAAGCAGGGGCAAAGGTCACAGTCGTCGAACGGTTTCCCTCTCTACGGACAGGAGGTCAGAACATAGACATACGCACAATTGGTCTTGAGGTGATGCGCATGATACCCGGAATGGAGGCTGCGGTGAAAGCCAAGAAATACGACATAGATGGCTTAAGCTTAATCCGCAGCGACGGCAGGCCCTACGGAACCCTGAAGCCTACGGGAAACCCCGATCAACAGACACTGATCTCAGAATACGAGATCTTGCGAGGCGACTTGTCGAGAATAATTGTCGACTTGACTAAGGACAACGAAAACGTCCAATACGTGTTTGGCGAACAAGTCACGACAATGCAGCAACCGTCTGGTGACGGACCCATTACAGTCGAATTCGCCAATGGATTTCCCTCGTCGGATTATGATTTGGTTGTGGCCTGTGATGGCACAACATCACGGACTCGCGCCCTTGGCCTCGGATGCGGCGTCCGGGACCACGTAGTCTCGACGAACTGCTGGAGCGCCTATTTCCGCATGCCACAAGATTTACTACAAGGCAAGAAAATCGGGTTGGGATATAATGCGCCAGGCGGTCGCATGATAGGCGTAGCACCTGATGCGGGTGCTAATCGAGTCTTCATGATGTCAGCTTACCCGAAGAGTGAGCATGACGCCATGTTGCAATTTCGCGGGGCTCTGAAGCAGGGAGATCAAGCGCTCAAAGAATTCGTCGCTCGGAGGTATGAAAATGTTGGTTGGAAGGACGCGGAAATTCTCGGGGGCCTGATGAAATCCGATGATCTCTATGCCAGCGAGATCTGCCAAGTTAAGGCCCCTATCTTACAGAAAGGCCGATTCGTCATGGTTGGTGATGCGGGCTACGCCAGCGGTCTTACTGGAGTTGGTACAAGTCTTGCAATGGCCGGCGCTTATGTTCTAGCGGGTGAGATCAGCGAGCACAAGAACGATATTAGAGCCGGGCTACAAGCCTACGAGCAACGTATGAGGCCACTCATCAACGACTTTGGGCAGATGCCACGATTTGTCACGACTGTTATGGCTCCGCAAACGGCTTGGGGGATATGGCTACGCAACAACATCTTTGGCTTCGTTCTTTGGACTGGTATTCTTAACTATATTCAGAAGTTTATGGGTAGTGCTCTGCAGAAAACTCCTAAAGATCTACTTCCTATTTATAAGCCAATAACTTAGCTGAATGGTAGCTTGGGCTTTAGGAGAGATAGAAAGCAATGATGTCGTATAAATGACTCAGAATAAAAAACTATTGATACCCTTATTCCAGTTACCGGCCAAGAACTGTAATTTCTTAAATATTTAGCTATAGAGTTACGTTATCAGACATGGCACCAATGAAGCGTGCGAACTGGAGGGCGATAGGTGCTCGATTACATGAACCAACCTTGTCATGCATCACAACACTTGAAAGGCTATTATTTGCACACATGCGAATTAGCCTTGTATGATGCAACACATACCTAATAGTAAAGAAGAGAAAGATGAATGTATAAAGAAGAATCTTCAATTGAGAAATAGACTCAGCATTTCGACCGGCGAGAATTGTTCACATAAAATTGGCGACCAGCGGTAACGACAGATCCCCATGCTATACGAATTATAACTAATCTCCGGATTAGATTTGCTGCGGTCGAAGTCGTTTTCATTGGCTCGGTAATTCAAAGAATTGAACTTAGCTGCGCCAAGAGTAACAAACATACATGTGGAAAGAATACAACGGGGAGTACCGCATTTAGGAGAGTAAAGGCATTAAAGCTTCTTGTTATGGTATCAGTCACGTACTCTCAGAGATAAACTAAATGACTTCAATTCATTGCGGATCCATAGTCCCTTCACCATCGCCTCTAATAGGCACTCACCATCAAAGTCCACAAAGACAAATGCAATATTTTATCTCGCAAAGTGGGCGAAGCCCTTCTTTGAATCGTTAAACTTATTGTAAAGTGCTATTATATCAGTATCATAGCTAGCTAGCTGCCTTAAGGTGGTATTACGAGGCTCCCTAGAGTAGCTGCTGATATAACCCTATACATCAACCACATACTGTGATAACTTAGCAAAGACGAAGCCTTGCGAACGTGGTGGCCCTACTGGCATCACGACATATATGACCTAGGTATATATACGACTCAATATGTTCAGTCGAATATGAACGATTAAAGCCGGCTAAGCGCATCTTGTATGACATTCCAAGCATGCCGCCTCTTATACTCTGGCTGGAGCTGGTCTTCTGAAAGCGGGTTATAGTTCATCCACAGCAACTGTGGCCTTATATACGAGAAGTTCACATTCTCACCTTTTGTCCCCATGTTTTGCATCATGAGCGAAGACATTACCTTATTCCGCCGCAGATCCTCTAAATCGACGAGATTCTCCACCTCCATCCGTTCATTCCTGCCTCGACGCTGATACCAGAAGGCCAGCACGAGCGCCGCCATGGCCGCTGCTACAGGCGTTGAAAAGGACGTGCCGTCATCTAGACGGAAACCGCCTCCCTTGGCCTCCGGCCAGTGTGTGATGATGCCTTCACCTACCACCATGAGGTTATGTGTCGCGGGGACATGAGGCGGGGTGAAGTCTGAGGTTTTCCGGCCGCCTTCTTTGCAGGAGTGGATGCCGATGGCATAATCAAGGTCCCTCGCCGGCCACGCGGCACCGGTTGGACTGTTGTTGCCATCGTTCGACATTGCTGCGAAAACGAGTATCTTGCCTTTAGCACGTTCTAAGGCTCGCTTTACTATTACTGGGGGACGACTAAAGCCAAACGACATGTTTATTATGTCGACGTTTTTTTCGATGGCCCAGTCTATTGCCTGTTTCACGTTAGTCGCGCTTTTCTACTAGTATACGCTCAAGTTGTGTGTACTTACGGCAGCTACTGCAGCTGGCTGAGGTTTAGTGCCGTTCGTACTCAGTCCCACGGTTTGAAGGTGTGCCGGTAATCCACGGTTCCTGTCACCTTCGCATATTCTGGCGACGTATACGTCGGCTCTTGGGGCGAGACGTAATATGATTCCGGTTACCTGTGTACCGTGGCCATCCACATCCACACCATCACTCTCCTGGCCATCAACGCTTCCGCAGAAATCTCGGAACTCTTTGATCCTATCCCGCTGCTTCACATCACGGGGGTCGCTTTCTGGTTGGTTATTCTTGAACCTAAGTGCCCGCGGGTTGTCCCAGTCACGATGTTTAGAATCAAAACCTGTGTCCAGAATCGCAATTTTCACTCTCCTATCCTTTTCATGGAATTCGAAAAATTCGTCCCAAGTATTGATAAGCTGGTGGTAGGTCCTTGACTGGACTAGATCAGGGCTAGGATTGTTAGGTATGTATTGCTGCTTTGTCTAGAAAGCGTGATTCACGGCCACTTACCTGGTCGGAGATGCAGAGAACATTGTCCCGTCAAATGCGCCGCTGAATAAGCTGTTATTAGGCTTCGCCCCAGCCGGAGGCATAGTATTTGCGATTTCTTCAGCTATCTCTGATAGCTCTTCGTCTTTTTTATTGCTGATTGCTTCCGCCTTCTGGAATTCAAGCATGGCTAGGCGCCAACGCCGAGTATCCTGTTTCATTTTCGTAGACTTGAGAGCTTGTATCTCGTTTAGAAGAACTTCTAAGGTCTTCTCATGCTTTCCTTTAGATGCCAGATCCAGTGCTGTCATCCCATGATGTGTCGTAGCAAGTACATCAGCACTGTGACTAAGCAACACCTGTACAGTTCTCCTCCGGCCCCTTTCGGCCGCTAGGAGTAGAGGAGTCCAGCGATTGTTCTTGGTAAGACTATCGACCACTGCACCAGTCTCCAAGAGTTTCTGTGCGATATTTGGCTCGCCTCCCCAAGCGGCATGGTGAAGAGCTGTCCAGCCTGACTGGTCCTTAGCATTGGCTAGGTCGAGGCGGCCCCAGCGCGATAGATCCAAAACGTATTCGGTGACAGCCCTTCTACCTTTCGCAGCACTCCAGCACAGCATTGCGACTAAATCCAGATTTCCTCGCATATCAAAGAATCGTGACAGCTCACCACTACGTTGACACCGTAAAAGGTCTGACTTGTACCTCGACTTGTCTCCCCATTTACCCAAGATTTCCATTACCTGACCGCGTCGTGGTTCATCCAGCATCTGAGCGTATTGGATAGCGTCATGACCATTGGCGTCTTGTGTACGTGACTCCTCAGCAGCAGCCGTCAGGACCAACACAATAGCGAGCGGTCCCTTCTGGATGGCTACTTGTTGTGCTGTCATCCCAGTCGCAGTTACTGCGTTGATTGATGCGCCTTTGCCGGCCAGGAGTTGAACCGCCTCGAGATTTTCACGGAAAGCAGCTCTGTGCAATGGAGTGTGTCCTCGCAGATTCATTTGGTGGATTGTGGATGCTGCGTTCAAGTCCGCGCGGCGTTCAATGAGCGCCAACATGGTCTCTGTATGGCCATTCTCAGCGGCAAATGTTAGGGGTGTGTACCCCGTAAAGCTTCGTGCATTGACATCGGCGCCATGCTCAAGCAGGGCCTTTGCTACAGCCGTGTGTCCATAGAGCGCAGCTTCGTGTAGAGCAGTGCGCCCCCGGGGCTCTCGGGCATCTACACAGCCTGGAGAAGCCCTCAATGTTTTAGCAACAGTATCTACATCGCCTAAGTTCGTCGCCTTATGAAAAACATCACCTGCGCTCCATGTGACCAGATTTGGGGATCTCCTGTGACCAGATGGAGATCTTGAGTGTGATCGGCTTCTGTTTGCTGGGCTCTGTGGATCGAGTAAGTGCCCACTGTCCGACTCGCCCATTCTGGCAATTCTCTAAAAGGATCAATTGCCCATTAGAGTCAAGAGTTGGGTATAAAACGGCATGAAGAGGAAGCGTGAGGCTCGAAGCAAAGCAAAGCCCGCTTCCTACTGTATCCCCACAGTGACATCACGTGCGACTAGAAGATAGGCGCAGTGAGCGGGGATTGTCATCTTTTAGTGAAATTTTGGGCGATACTTCATTAACTCATGTTCCTACTCAACTTATATTGTCCGATAAATCATCAAGATGAAGTCAACAGGCCACGTAGCGGGTGATATGAAATGGCACGTCTATCGCTATCCCCAGAAGCCAAAAACCCTCATGGTGATTGGCAGCATTCTAACGCGACCTGATGATCTGGAATCTTCCCTGAACTACCCCAACGGGATTGAGCCGCTTAAGCCAGACCAGGTCATGGACCAGACACAGGCCGTGAAAAGAACTATAAGATCTGAGCTATCGAAGAATGCCGGGGCGCGATTGAAAGCAATGCTCCCCGTCAATCCCTTCATCAGCGCCGGGGCAGGCTTTGAGGCTGATCGGACGAGGCAGCTTGAAGCAACAGTGGATGCCCTTGGTGTTCGCGCAGTGTCCATCATGCCCGACACGGCGAGAGAGTATATCAATCAAGCGTTGGCAACGCCCAGAGTAGTCCAGTATGTGAAAGAGGGTCTCTGGTCCCGGTCTCTGTACCTCATCGTCGGCACAGCCACTTGCAAGAAGCTAGTCATGAGCGACAGTCAATCGGTGGAAAAGAAAGCTTCAGCGGAAGCTGATGTCGCTATCGCAGCCACGGGTGTCGAGGCCGGCACCGGGTTTTCAAAGGGCCACCAAGCATCTGTAAGTTCGGAAATGGAAGTCGAAGAGGAGTGCGACTTCGCATATAGAGTGAGAGAATTCCAGTATTCGAGGCGGAAGAAGGGGGTGAAAAGAACAAAAGACTGGCTCGAAGGTGCCATGTTTACAAATGATTCGGAAGGCAAAACGCCGCTTACCAGCGCAGAGGCTGAGGCGTTGTCAGATGAGATTCCAGAATTTGACGGTTTCGAGGACGAGGATGAGGATATACCAGAGGACAACTAGATTCAAGCTTCACCTTGACCTTCACCTTCACAATCGCGCTCTATAAGAGCTCTATGAGAGCACAATCTCAATTGTATTGAACAAAGGGGATTGGCGCAGCAGGCCAGGGTTTTCCCTTGTTGTTAAAGGCGAGCAACGAGGAAGCTGGCAGATGAGAGGCGTCATAGCGTAGGTAGCATGGCATCTGCAGTATGTAAGTCGTGCCTATGCATGTAGGTAGCGATCTGATCTGACCAACACTCGGGAGATACATGCCTAAAACCTAGTCTAATGACTTACCCAGTTATGGCATCTCGTAGACGCCCGCCTAGTCGTGGTCTAGATGTTAGACTTTATAGTACTTAGACTGTGAAACCGATCTTCAACGCTTCCATCGCAAATACCTACAGATACTTAGTGATCGAGCTCTCAGATTCTACAGTAATAGCGCTCTATTTATAAAACTGTGCCATGCATTCAACGCGCTAACTGTATGTAGTAAGGAATGCCAGATGGAGCTGGTAGTCATACTTATCGTGGATAGGCTGTTTGAATAACTTGCGATCCGCCCAAATTACAATTGCTAACGAATAGCCGCCCATTACACGCTATCTATACACTACTGCAAGTCATACCAACAGTACCTCCAGCACCTGAGCGTGCCAATGTTCATGTCAATACGGCAGTAGAGTGGAAAGCGCTGTGAATGAAAAACGTGACCAAGTTAAGAGAAAATTGAGGAGGCTCTCTATTACCTATCTACATCTAAGATCATGGTGTTAGGACAATTGTATAGGAACAGCGCTGGAAGTAAGGGATATTACGTGCTGTTTAAGCTTCTGTAGGTACGGGAAGGTTCCTGTAGACTGGGTCGATACCATCTCGATTAGGAAAATAAGTGGGAAGGGCAACCAACATGCATATGAATTGCATGGGCGGCTATCCCAGGTGGCTGAGTGACATGTTCACCTCACAGAGAATCCCGATCCGTAATGAATTAATATAAATGAATGTGCTTCTCTGTGACCGTGTGACTATGTTGCGCATTACTCAAAGTCTTGAGTCTACCGAGCTCCGCGAGTTGTCAGATTGGAACAGCGAGAGGCCCGGCAGAACTAGCAGCGATGGAAATGGAAGCACAACAACAAACGGCTCTGCTTCCCGAGAGTCGCCATCAATGCCAGTTCAACCCTCCCCAGGACCTACAATCAGAATTCTCGGTTTCCCAGTCTTTCGATGCATCGAGAACACATTCTAAAGAGGCTTCGCTACCATGGAGACCCTTCTACTTACGACGATCTGTTCTTTGTGGTTTTACTCTTCTTTTCATTCTCATCGTCGTCGCTGTCGAAACTCTGCTCGCTATATCTAATAAGAATAAAGGAATAGCCAGTAGCACGTCTAACCTACATTATCTATGGACATACGGTCCGACAGCCTTCCTCACAGTACTTGCTGCAATATGGTCAGTAACTTGATATCTCTCATCAGCCCCCTTTCTCTCGCCACTATCGGCCTATCTCAGTAGACAGTTCTGCCTTGGATATCCATTATTAACTTCAGATACTCCAATAGGGCTCGCACTGAGCACCAGAGCAAACTGGTAGCACCATGGGTTCGCCTTTCGCAGAATCGTCAATCCAAGAACCTAGCGCCTGCCTCTCGGACACTGTTACTAGACTACGTGTCTCAGTTCTCGCTAATTGCCATTTTCACGTCACTTCGTAATAGAGACTTCATTGTTTTCATTACTATTGCGGTATCGTCCATCATTAAAGTCATGATCGCCTTGTCAACCGGCTTGATCTTTCTCAATTCAACCATCGTCACTTATGATTCGTATTCACTCCTGCTCGAAAGTAAATTTGTCAATAACAACGCCAGACTCTCCACATCAACCACCAAAATCACCCCCTACATTTTGACAGGCTTAAGTGAGCGCAATTTGACGTTTCCTGAAGGCATTTCTAAGGAATACGCGTTTCAGTCCTTGAAAACAGACGTACCCAACAATGTACTAGAGACGCGAGTGATCACCGACGGGCTGAGAACTTCACTTCATTGCGAGGCTGCCGAACTTGCTTTATCAGAGCCTCAGCTACCGTACGGTCGCTTGAACGTCACTATCTCATCTGCCGACTGTAATATCAAACGGGTGTCTATTGACAGACTTGACTTGAATGAAGGTGAATCAATATTGTTCGCGAGATTCAGCCCTGTCCAATGTGACGCAGTTGGAGGCGACGATGGCAGGCGGCTTCTAGTCGCTTTTGGAAATCTAACCTACGTTCCGACACTGCCTCACTCTCGTTACATACCGACAAACACCACGGGCGTGATGCTTCAAAGATCGACGCAGTTACTCTGCGTGCCAAGCTACGCGATCAACAAGGTAGAAGTCGTCCACAATCACACAGACATGAAGAGCATAATGCCTGTACGAGGTGCACCCAGTCGCACGCTTGAGTCCGTCACCGCATGGAATTTGGCGGATGCCCAATTCGTAACTGCCGCGTCCCGATTCTCAGCATCTGTTATAAGGGCCTCCATGGTCGAAGTACACGCGGATCCACCCATGATCCAGGCCCTTAAAAACTTCCTACCGTCGGGATTGAACGTCACAACTCTTTTCGACTCAGTCAAACTGCATCAGGTTTCCGAAGAATATTACCGTCAAATTACTGCAGTCATTTCCAAGCAAGCTCTGATGGAGCCGGCGGTAGAACATGTCTTAGGTTCTGCCACGCTCAGTGAGAATCGCCTCACTATACGTGCTTCGGTTGCCCAATCACTAGTAGGGCTAGCTGCTGCCTGTATTCTCCTCATTGGCATTGCTTCTTTTGCTGTTCCTAGTGAAGGGCTTCTGCCGTGCAACCCAAGCTCATTGCTCTCTTCAATTTTGCTTTTTCGGCATAGTCACGACTTGATAGCTCGTTTGCGTGATTCCGGAGCATCCGACGACGATCACCTTCGTCAATGGCTTAGGATATCTACATTTAGATCAGAGCCGAGACACGACGTTGTCAGCGGACAAGTCCATTTCTGTGTGAATGAAAACATGAAAGACAATGATCAAAGCGAGAAGCATCGCCCCTTTCCCCAAGCCAGCTCGAAATTCTACCATCCTATCATTCTCCACCCTGCATCGCGCTTAGCACTCTGTTCAGTTGTCGTTGGGCTGATCGTTGTTCTAGAGCTGCTATTACGCAAGTCTAATCTGGAAGATGGTCTTGGAGACGTCAAGGATGATAGCAATCCCTATTTACACTACACTTGGACCACGCTTCCAGCAGTCGTTTTTGGGGCTTTATCAATGGCATATTCAGCTATAGACTTTCAAGTCCGGACGCTGGCACCTTACGTCGCTCTGAAAGGGTATGTTTCGAAGGAAAGGTTTACGCAACTCGAGCTTCTGGATATGGCTATTCCCACTGCCATTTATAAAGAATTCAAGTTGAGAAACCCCTGGGCTCTTGCCACAACTACAGCCATCCTCTTTGCTTCCTTATTCGCCACCTTGTCGGCATCTCTTTTCCAAGAACTTCCTCTACCTACCGCGGCGCCAATGATGCTTCAGGCCAATCAATCCATATATGTGAAGAACCAATATATCGATTTTACAGCCGCCGAGATATCATCATTGATCCTCGGCAGCAACTTCACTTTCCCAAGCTTTACGTACAATGATCTGGCTTTTCCTCAATTTGTGACAATTTCGAATCAGTCTGAGTCTAATGCTCACCTCAATACTTCAGCTATTTCTATATCAGCTGTGCTCCCTGCCTTGCGCCCCCGCATGGGTTGCCGCTTCCATGAACAAGCCGCCATTCACACCAATCTCACCCTAGGTTACGACATTAAGAACGACATCAACAACCCCCTTGAGATAACTGTTGACGGGGAGGCTTGCGAGTTCCGAATTTATGAGCCTCTGGAAGGCCCCAGCGCTCGGATCGATACTTATTCTAACGCGACATACTTTGGCACAGTTTCCAATAGTGATTGGGCCCATGATACCGTTCTAACGTGCAGTAACTTCCTCTACATATGGGGGAAGCTCGACTACCACGCCGATCCACCGGTTCAACATGTTGAAGCTCTGGGTTGCAACGTGACACTCGAAGCCGTCGATGTCAACACCACCTTCTCGGGCACCGATCTCCAGATCGATCCCCAAAACTCGCCGCAACCATTGAACGACACGGTGCGAAGCGCAACACTCGACGCCTGGGCCACTTTCGTAGGCGACATCAGTACCTCAGTGTATCGAGATATCGCACCAATCGACGTTACTCCACAGGTTCTAGACCAGTTCTTTTCTCCCCTCGTCACTTCTCCTTGGGCTGTACCCATCTCAAGCCTGGGCGACCCTTCTTCAAGCGAGAGTATCGCAGAAGCTATCAAGCTTCAGCAAGGGATCATCATAGCACAGGTTCTCGCACAGATACGCGTTCCCGCAAACGAGACAAACGTGACCCTTGCAGAGCCAAGGGGCCCCGATGACAATGACGCCCGGCCTGTCTATCTCGCGACTGCGACGTATCCTGCGGCCCGGCGTCGTGTCGTCCAGGATGCCGTGGCCACCCACGTCCTGGTAGCGCTGCTAGCCACGACACTCGTACTATTCATCGCAGGCTGGATCGGCAATCCAAACACAAATGTTCTGCCACGTAGCCCTACGACCATTGCGTCCACTGCGGCGCTACTAGCAGGCGGCAATATATACGCCCATTTGCCAGCTGACGCGCAATCTCCGAAAGACATCGCCGCGGCACTAGGGGGTCCAAAGTCGCGCTTCTGGATGGGATGGGGCAACCTGCCTGATGAAGAGGGAAGGTTACAAGGCGGGGAGAACGAAGCTCGGGTTAGCCAGTTTGGGATTTTCATAGTGGATGAAGAGGAATATGGAAAGAATGGTAGGTGGTAGATAGGCACGCGCGCTTAGACATGTTTAGAAGCGGCTATGAGGGTACACTCACACGAACACATTGATACCCATAGAATAATATTCCCTTTTACTGTAGTTCGATCTTGATTCTCAATAACTACTGCCCGTCGTATGGATATTGTGAGCTCAAAGTACAAATTTGAATACTAAATCTCGTTGAGTATCAACTTATCTTTCAGTGAATTAACGGCCCATCTCTAGAAGTAAATATATTCAGGTATCCTCTCGACCTATGATATAGGGGCTCGCGAATCTGCAAGGTTGGTGTGGCCGGCCTAGATCTTATTCAATGACGCGCTGCAAAGTTAAGCACCAGACCATGAGCTCTTTGTAGCAACAAACGACGAGTCCTACTCTGACCTGGTAATGAATAGCTCAATAATTACCATATTAACTAACTACCATACAATGATACAGTTTTGCGCCCTTGAGGCAGTGTACGTGTCGTAACTTCTCGCGCTCGTAAGAGGGTGCTCATATCTTGTTCGGAGTGTCCAGAGAATAATAGCTTTAGTTACCCGCATCGAGATAGATGTAGTAAAAATATAAATCAGGTATTAAAATTGTGAGCGAGGAAAAGCAGATACAATTAGGTACTCAAGTACTTCGTCGACACAAGTTTACTATCAGTACCTTCCTTACCAGTCCTCAAAAGATACCTAAGTACTTACCAAATATATCAAACATCTTTCTCACAACTCTCATCACAAACATGATCGTCCTCACACCTACACCAGCACCTACACCTATCTCACACTCACGGCTCACATTCATATCCAGGCCTGAAACTATATTCACAGTTACAGGTACAATGACAGACAACAACACCAACACCAGCAACAATGAGCGTGCTACTGAGAGCGTTGCTGATCTATCAGCTCGCCGGCTAATACGACAGCGCCGGCGGGCTCGGGTGGCCGCCATTCTGAGGGCTGCCAACACCAATTCGTACAGGGAGGCTCTCTTCCAAAGTTTGTCGGGCGAAAACGGAAACCAGTTTCAGGACAGGTTCCACGCAATTGTTGAGCCTATACCCGGCGAAATAATCTTCTACACAACCCGATTTCCATCAGGTAGCAACACTCCAGTCTATACCGCACAAATAGTGCCACGCCTTCTTCTTAACATCATGAGGGTTCATTTCCATGGAGACAGTGAAAACATGTTTCTTCTGTACCATCTGCAACAAGCCCAAAACTCTCCGTCGTAAGCGGCGCAGAGGCGTCTCATACTCCTCAAACCCATTCCAATGGGTGACGACCCTATCTATAAGCTGTTCTGCAAGAGCTTTTCGCCCTTTGCTGTTTCAAGACCCCCGGGAATGAAAAAGCTCTAGCTGGTCTATTCCTAGTGAACTAAAAAAAAAAAAAAAAAACTGAAGAATCCACCTCCATTGCGAATGAATGGACACCAAGGAAGACGATGACGAGGAGTAGAGATGACAAGACCCGAACACCAAGCTGTCTCCCGACCATTATGGGCATACGGTCCCATCCCAGCATAACCAGATCCTCACAAGAAGTCCCGAAACTCCTAGTAAGAGCATTTCTGAGTCCTTGTCGTATGTATTGAGCTAACATTCTAGGTTCCAAACTGTTTTACAACCAGCACGAAGAGATCCACAACGAGTTTAAGATAAAAGCCTAAGGATTTCGTTGTCTGTCATATTTCCGACTTCGTCTCGCCGCCTGCTTCGTCGTCAGCTAGCATCCCTTACCTCCGAAGTATCAGCCGCCCCAAGACCATCTGCCTCTATTTGAAAAGATCCCAGGGTGAGCCTCGCATAGCATCTTTCCTCAGGGCAAGATCGCAGAGATCGCAGAGCGCGTCTGTCCCCCCCTGTCTTAATAAAGCGCTACTTCTCCCACCCAAAATGGGCGAACGTGCACGATTCGGGATTGTTTAGGAACATGAGGCCGGAGTAACAACCAAGTAGCCACGATTTTGCATCTGTATATCGACTCGAAGGTTTGAGGGCGCTTTCGCGGGGAATTGTAGGATAGGCTAGGGCATCGTAGCAATTGTAATATGAAGAATTCAGTACGAGAGTCTGTGCTGACTTATCGTGCGGGTTGTGGCGGTGCGGTCTACTTTGTAGCCGTTGGGCCTCCGTTTTATTATTGGTGTGTTGACCTATTAAGGTACCAGCGGGCAAGAAATCTCCCCGGATCTCCTTTCTTGGATGATTCGTGATGGTGAAGCAGCCAAAGTCTATGACCCTCGCCTTCTTACACAGCTCGTTGGATCAGTGGCTGCAGGCGGAACATACAGCACGGCGAATTTTGTATGTCGCTGCATATCAGATCTCACCGCCAATCCGGATGTGCTAATCGCTGTTCGCAACGAAATCGCCGCTAAGCATGAAGCGCTAGCTGGTAGAGCCTGGACGATGAGGGTTGTTACGTAACGAAGTCACGTGATAGACCGACCGGGGCCTACCCCACCATGTATTTAGACCGTAGTTCTCTAGGTAGCCCGAGGGGCCTGGGAGTTAGTTAGTTCATGTTACTAGATTGGTCCTATTCAGATCCTATTTTGCGTAGATCGTGACCTCCACGCCCTACGCGCCCTCAGATTGAGTGTCTCTAGCCCATTAAAAGGGGCGTCGAGTCCTTGAATATTCTTGAAAGCGCCATGAAAGAGACAAGTCGTCTATCGCAAGGAGCAGTCATTGCCTACAGCCGTGTCGCAGAACAGGAGGTAACTCTATCAAATAATCTGCGCCTAGCCCCAGTCAATTCATTACCATCTCAGCTTACAATCGTACTATGGACCCATCTGTGTTCTGGAACCCCCACAAGTACGATGGTTTTAGGTTCTTAGAAGGTGATAAAGTTACTCCCTTCCGCATAGTCGATAACGATGTGCTCAGTTGGGGTACTGGGAGATGGGCCTGTCCCGGCCGTTTTGTCGCTAGCATTATTGCGAAATCAGTCTTAGTGAAGATCATAGATGAGTACGATTTTGAATTTGTCAATGGGAGAAAGCCACCTCTCACATTAATTCATGAATTTGGGTTCTGGCACCCAGGTAACCAGATGAGAGTGAGACGAAGAAGAGATGTACTGGGAATAACATACGGGTAATAAAGATGCCATCGCTCAGGTTCTTTGGGTGGGAGAGTATAGAGAATTCTGTCAAATATAAACCCATTGTACATTTATCACTGAGCTGATCTACATTGTGACATATAACGGGTTTAGTGAAACCTTGCTAAGAAAACCGTCACCCCATGGTTCCATTTCGATTATGATTGCGCGATACTTAGCTCTCCCTGAAGTCATTACCGGCATACACTCCATCAGTAAACATCCCAGATTGAGATTCACATATCCGCTTACTCTTGATGATTAACAAGCTACTTGATCCGCTCACTTGTGCCATGAACTTTCACTAAGTAGAAGAAATATTGGCATGTTTGAAAGTTATTCATAGGTTTTCATAACGACTAGCTATCCTCCCCGGTACAATCCTAGACTGGTAGACCTTGCTGATGCATCAATGCTGAGCCCTAGTGTCCTCGCCCTTGGCGATCTTCTCTAAGTACTCATTGTATGACTTGATTCCACGGGGCATACCCGTCCAGTTCAGGTCCTGTTTCTCCATAGCTTCCTTTCTGGCTTGACCAAGTTTCTGCCACGATGGTCGGGATGTCATCCTCTCATGCCAAGCTTTGACGTTAGGAAAGTTTATGAATCGGTCTTCCTCAGGCATTGGAATACACTGGTGGAGAATATCATTCCATGGTACAAACGCGAGATCAGCATATGTAATCTTCTCACCAACAAGCCACTCACGCCCTGGAAGAGGGTTAGAGAATCTCATAATTGAGAGAATATAACAATCTCACCTTCAAGGACACCGTCCAGCACAGCAAGCTGTCGCTTACACTCATTGTTGAAGCGATCTTACACAGAAGGTATCTTTTCTGGATGAAGGAAGTTGAACCTATATACGCTCATCCCTATTAGCTGCAAGCACAATTTGGGCGTTTGTAGATTATGAGTTCATTTTCAAAGCATCAGTGTCATGGGGCTCATACCACCCAGCTTGATGGAAGAACGGCCCTTGAAGACTCATCTGGAAATGTAGCCATTGGTTCAATGCATGTTTATCGCCTAATCGCTCATTTGAGTACGCCAAAGTCATGTCTTTGTCATACTGTTCAATGATGTAGGTGATAATCGCCCCAGACTCCCAGAGAGTGACGTTTGTATTTGGGTCCACGATCGCTAAGCTTGTCAGTACTTGGTGTCTTCTACATCTTCCTGTTCATGGTAGACACAGCGTGGAGTACCTTGACGAATATATACCTGGAACTGATCCATTGGGGTTGAGCTTAATGAAGGGTTCCTTCTTGATGTCGTCAAAGCGGAAAGCCTCAATCTCATATGGAACCCCAAGCTCATCAAGTATCAGAACGACTTTCCATGGGTTGGGGGTTGTAGGCGTGAGCCAAACTTGAATAGGGAGCATCATTACAACGAGACTGTTGATGGATTCACTTGATCGGGGAGAGTATGGGACAGGTTGTCGGGCCAGCCTGAGAAGATCGCAACTTATCACCTGTTTACAAGCATATGGTGCGATTGGCTGAGGGGTAAAGTGCTGTGCTGCATGGGACCCCAACTGCAGGCAAGCTCCTCTTGATCCTCAATCGTCGATCTCTTGGGCAGAGCCCCTAGGAATCGCCTCAAGTACCGAGGCGGTGTAGTAAAAAACTATCACACTTACCTACACCAGCTATACGACTAAGTGTGACAGTTTTTCGCTACACCTCCTCTCCGAGAATACCTATGGAATTGTTCGCTAAGAAGTCTGCCCACCGACCAGCGCACCCGCCGCATCACCCCACCCCCTGTACGTCCTGTAGATCAACTTATTGTTGGTGTCTCAGCCATGTCGCTATCACCAACAGCCATCGTCTGCCTCCAGGTGATAACACAGTCATGAGGGTCCTCCAAGCTGTTCACTAAGACCGGGTTACTCAGTGAGAAAACATGCAGATCTCGGTTAATTACCCCACGCGTGTAGCCCGTCGGACTAAGATGTAGTACGTAGGCTAGAGAGAGGTAGGTATCATTAATATACAGTTCTATCAAGGAAAATTGTGCTTTGTCGTTAGTGCCGCATACCCAATTCTCCCCAATTCGTGAGTGAAAGCCAACAGATTATTTGGCAATGTGACTATGCGCATGATATTGGTCCTCCTTGAAAGAATCATAGTCGTTCATTTCTAGTAATTATGGAGTCAGATCCCCTTATAGCACGCTCATCAGCCTGCCTAGTTTGCCCTGGCGCAATACGTGACGTTGACTGGAAACTCTTGAGCGAGAAAACAGATCGAACAGTCTGCAACATGCTACCAAGATGCCTTCCCGTGCCTTGGAAAAGACATCCGTAGCATGGTAGACAAGCGGCTACAATCGAAAGATTGGGTTCAATGATGACAAATATGATCTCAACATATTCGGAGTCTGATGTCCATGGTTAATTTTAGTTGGTCTCAAAGGTTTTAGGCACATGTGGCTTCAGTTAGGATAGATTCAACTCAACGTATCTTCAATCCTGCACTCTCAGACACCTTCCCAATATTTTCTTTCACAAGCGCCAATCGCACGGCGGCTGCTACTGAACAACCGGAACGACTTAGCTAGTAGCCAGTTTCAAATGCAAGTGTTGTACTTACAATAGACCTAGCCAGAGGATAAGGGCAATGGCGATCTTTCGGCTGGTCCTCATGTGTAGTTTGAAAATTCCAGGTAGAGGATAAAAGAGAATTGCAACATTATTAGCTGACCCGCCAAGGGGGCGGGTCGCCAGATCCGTGTATGCAGTTATGAGAGAGCCGCAGATATCAGGTGCTACGAACCACTATTTTATTTTTAACCCAGGCGGCGAATCAACCAATTCAGACCTTCAGGCATTCCGCATAAGACTTTGGTAAAGAGAAAGCGGAATTTAAAGCGTGTCTCGCAGTCAGGTACATGTTATCACAAGATACGTAGATACTGTAGGCTACTGACTTCGTACCGTACCAACGTTTAAATATTGGTATACTACTACCTACCCTACCTATGTGACTATGCCGGATTGTCATGTGCGAGGCACTTATGTACCTAGGTCCTAGGTAGGCGCCTGTGCCACAGGTTTGTTTGGCCTTTGGAGTCTGAATCCCCAGTTACATGTCTGATTATCCTCATGTTTTTCAACTTTACGCCTTGGATTAGAATGTTGCTTACCACTTAATCTCCTACCTTTACTACTTGCTGAGCACGAGACATGTCTCCTGTCCCAGATCCCACTCTCTTTTCCACCGGCAGCTCGTACCTCCTTCGGGCTTTCGCTACAGTCGCTGCACTATGGATAGGATGGCGCCTGTGGAGATTCGCCATAGGTAGCCGAACTCATGTTTGTATTTATATCTTAGAAAAACAACTTGTACTTTATTTCACAGACCGGACAACACAACTTCCAATCTGCTCGAGTACGACAACTCCCCCCATCCACTATCACTACAAGACGACGTCGATGCAGCTAACCATTGCGGCGGTGCGACAACCCAGCCCCTTTTTGTAGCCGTCAGGCTTCTGTTGTGCTAACGGCATATTTACCACCGTTTTGACTGACCGGATCTTTTGGGCTCTTGGAATATGGTGCTCCTCTTGCTCCGAGTTACCCCGCTTCTACCCAGGTCACCCCCTTTCGCCCCGTCTGCGCAACCATGGGATCACCGCGACAGATAGCAGTACAGAAGGCTCCCAACCCGGCCTGATCCTTGATAGAAAAGAGTAGCACTAGGTCATCGATATTCTCCGGGCGGACACATCCCTGGCTAGTAAAGTGCAGTTATTTCTCTCGATCGACCTGTCTTCAGTTCACACAAGTCCACAACCAAGTCCTCGCTCCTCATTGCTTGTATCACACTGCCAAGACTGCCAGATGCCTAGGACAGGCCACTTAGGGACGCCCACGCCGTTGTCAGAAGTGAGGCCATAAGCGATTGGATATGTTAAGTCAGAAGACCGGAAAGCGATATGCAATGGAACGAACAGTTAAGGTACGAAGTAGATAGAATATGAAGCCCAACGTACATATTGGGTAATACCATTTGCCGTTGCCGTGACACTTGTCCGACAAACGTGTGCGTTTGGCGATCATGTTGTTGGCAAACGACTTACCGTTATACTTGGTCCGAGCTCGCCTCAACCTATAGTTATCCGTTGCCTTGATGGAAATGTCAATGACTTAGTCTGCATGATTCCTTGCGGATGTAAGATCAAAAACATGTCAAACGCTTTCGTTGTTATGTGCGGCTGCCAAACGCGCTTCCCATAGTACCTGGGATACGTCATAACAAACGGCCACTACAGGTTACAAACGTCTCACAGTAATTTCGCTGGAAAAATGTTCAATAGAGTCAATCACATTTCCCGGTGCTTTATCTCGAACGTCAAAAACGACGCCGTTAGACGTTCGAGCGGTCTAACGGTTATTATCTAGCCCCCACCTACGTTCAACACTTTAAAACCATCGAATCAGCCCACCATTTTTGATCTACTTAGTTCATCTACGAGCGAGGGATCCCCCGTTATGCAAAGCACGATGGAAAAATCCATATATGCCCTGCAGGATGTCCCAAACAAGGGAAAGGGCCTGGTCGCAACACAAAAGATTCCCAAAGGCGTGCGAATTCTTTCCGAAGAGCCGGTAGTTTCAGCATCTTGTTTTGGAATCGATGTCAGAGGGGTACAGAAATCCATCCATCAGCAAGTCACTTCCATGAGCGAAGAAAAGCGCAACACCTTTCTGTCTATGCACAACATCCACCCGTACAAGAATGATGCCGAGCGTTATCTCGGAATCTTTCAAACAAACGCCCTTCCTGCTGAAACTATAGGAGATGTAGGAGCAATCTTCCTGGAAGCATGCTTCATCAACCATGCTTGTGACAACAATGCCCAGAAGAGCTGGAACGAGGCTATCAGACGACACACGGTGCATGCTATGAGAGACATTGATCAAGGAGAAGAGATCACAATAACCTATCTCGCTCCCCTCAAACCCCGAAGAGTCAGACAGGAGGCACTAAAGAAAAAGTTCGGTTTCATCTGCGTGTGTCGTCTCTGCTCTTTGCCACTAGAACAGAGCCAGGAAGTTGACAGAAGATTGATGGAGATCGACCGTTTGGACACTGTCGTTAACCTACTCGGCATGAACTGGTTTCTCGTGTCCCCATCCCAGACACTTGGCTACTTTGATCGACAGGCACGGCTCTATCAAGAGCTAGGACGAGAAGACGTCGGCTTCGCGCATGTCTTCGATATGGCAGCCCAGCTTTCCATCGCAAACGGCGACCTGGCAAGAGGACGCATCTTCGCCGAGAAGGGGGCGTCTGTGTGGAAGACGACTATCGGCAATGATAGCACCCAGGCCATCGAGCAGGGCACCATTGCAAAGGATCCTTCGAGCCACGAGTTCTACGGGCGCTCGATGAACTGGAAAACCAAGGTAGGTGAGGCCCCTCAAGGTCTTAATCAAGGCGATTTCGAAATTTGGCTATGGAGAAGGGAGAAACCGATGGTCCCGGGACAGCTGGCAGACCTGCGAAACAGCACGACATTCCCCGGCTTCGCCTCCATTCCTGGGGAGTACGACATCGACCTGGACTACTACGAGAGCAAAGAAGCAGGGGTTTTCACACCGAGACGACATTGGTGTTTCTTGGGCGAGATTACAGATGTTGGTACATTTGTTCGCCTACAGATGGAGATTGAGGATGTGGACGGCCGAAAGATCCCGCTATTCTTCCACACTGATGGTCGAGGTGCTGAGCTGCCGCCTGCGTTGGTTCAGAAGGGGCACACTGTGGCTATTCTCTATGCACATAGTCACATGTTCATGTCGATGGACGTAGGCATCCGCCACGAGGAACCTCATTTGATCAAGGTACTATCATCTCTGTGCCTACCGATGGACCCTTTGGAACTCAACTAGCTGACTAGAGGAAATGTCGTATAGATCTTCCCCGTACCACTGCGCAACTTGCTGGCGTTCAGCGATCGAATCCAGCAGTTCTCAACGGTGCGCGATGGGATGAGAACTTGCCATGGGTGTGGAAAGATGGCAGCCTCTCTACAACGATGCGGAAAGTGCTCATTTTTCTGGTATTGCGACAAGGTAGACACTCTTTCCTATGTCTAAGTTACCCCAGATACTGACGTGAGTGTGATGTTAAGGCCTGTCAAGTTGCTGGTTGGAACGGGAAAGGCCACAAAGCCGATTGCAAGCTCCTTAAAGATCCCGACTTGCGCGGGATGCTCACGTCCAACTGGAACAAGTTTGAGGACTTTTTCCGATTTCCCCTTGCTTCTGGGAAGAACTGAGGAGCTGAGCTGTTTCCTGGTTGTGAAGTGATGTCGGGAACCACTCTAGATAGTTTAAAGTTGCCAGGCAACATGACTAGATCGCCATGGTCCAAAGGCGCGAAGCAAGGGATAGTTTCACAAAAATGTCGTAGGACCCTGACGATTCAATGGAACGCAAGTCAATTCTGCTAACTACGTGTGTGTGAGAGTCATCTGCTGATCTCTATCATCACTTCCCCTTTATCCTTCTGAGGCTCATATTTTATTCCTCCTTGGCATCTCTCCCGGCTACTTAGTACGCGACTCCTTACTCTATTTCACTTGTTCGAGGCTGAAGTATCAAGCTTGCTACCAGGTTATGATTACCAACATGGTGTGTCAGTTGGCACCATAACAAGAAACACAATAAAAGAAGCTAGTGTAAGCTATATTTTGGTGATTCCTTCCCACAACACATAGTATTTGCGAACTTGCGAAGTGAGTTATGCCTAACTAACTTCTGGTGGCTAGTGGCCGAGCCAAGAATCTGGGGGTGGCGTCCTCCAAGTAAGCACTTTGAGGACACTAAACTATAATTGCATGATCCTTGTTGCTTGCCATTCAGGTGACTTGATGTCAATCAATTTAATTGACATTTCGTCCATAGTCATATTGGTCTCAATTGTCTAGAGACATTCCAGCTAATGGAGGATTGTGACTTCATGAAAGGTTCCATGGCTCTAAGTTTATCGAGGCGATGTGAATCATACCTCAAGTAGTAGCTGTAGATATCGGAAAATGCCGCAACCCGTGTTCATATTGTCAAGGTCAACGGGCGTAGGTAGGTCCACAGCTGTATCGACTAGTTTCATATTAGACAACTCCTACAAAAATGGTTCCTTGGTGAGACCCGTGGCTATTCTTATAATATAGCTGCGTACCAAGACGAGAAGGTGTTGCAGATTGTCAGCTTCCCGATACAGAGCTGTACCTTGCAGCCCTACCTGTCAATATGCCTGCCTACCCCTGATATCTACCAAGCCTCATCCTTCGTTTGAGGTTATGCAAGGTACCCCCCCCATCTAAACACGAGATCTAGTATCTTAACGAGAGTATGCCCGAGGTTTTCCATGACGGATACTTCTCTACTGTAATTGCTTTTTTACGTACTGCGAAAGGAATGAATATCAACTTTTGAACCTGATATGGAGAGGAAGAATTTCAAATCAAGTGCGTGATTCATAAGTGTCATGCCATGTGTAAGTCATATGATAAACTAACACATATCCCACCAAGAAATCAACTAACATACTAGAATTCAAGCTGCCCCTCAATGTCCAGAGAGAATCCTCATAACCAAGCAAGAAGACATCCGAGATGACGCCCTCGCGCCGTGCACGCAGGACCAAGGGTTCAACCAGCTCACCATCAAAACGGACGCCGACAGCCTAGGCTTCACCAACTTCACAGGCGGCTTCAACATCAGCGTATCATCAAGTCCAGGGTTGCAAGTACTAAGCTTCCCAGATCTCGAGGCGCTACAGAACCTGCGCGTCTCCGACGTGTCCTCGCTCACGCAGGTATCTTTGCCTGAGCTTCGCGCCAACGCCAAGACGCTGGTGTACCCCGTCACATACACCTTCACACCAAGCATAACTATTTCCAATGCGCTGCAGTTCGGCGGACTGAGTCTGCCGTCGTTGACTGAGCTCGGGGATTTAGTGATCCGCCACGTGCCGCGCCGGCAGACGACATCGGGGGGTCTGAGCGACATCACATCAGCGAACTCGATCACTTCCGACAACGTCATCTCGTTCCCAGGGCTAAAGTCCGTAGGCACGTTGCGGCTGACGGGGTACGAGGACTGTGGGTATTTCCTCCCGAACCTGTCCGACGTGGGCGACTTCACCTTCACCAACGCGCTGGGCAGCAAATTGGAAACAGCAGCGTTAGCAATAGACGGGTCCTTCACGCTCGACACATCGTCGTACCCGCGCGCCAAAAACGAATCGACTTTCGATATTCCTCCGCCGAACCTTGATTCAGTAGATACAAACGCCATCGACGTGAGGAATATCACCTCAATAGGTGTCAACGCGACAATACATTCGAATGCGAACGCGCGGATAGATCTTGCCGGGCTGACGACTGTGGGCGGGGCGTTCTCCATAACGAACAACACGAACTGCAGCATCGATCTGACGAAGTTGTCACAGACAGGGGCCCTGTCCATCATAGACAATGTAGACAGCGCCATTCCTCGACTCTTCAACCTTGAGAGGGCGGATAGCATCCATCTGCGCGGCAACATAGATACGTGCGTCCCCCCTTTCCCCTTTCTCCCCCCTTTCATGCTGAAGTATGGCCACATATTAAGCTAGTATGGCCCATTTCAATCATTCCTATTCCTATCCCTCTTCGCTCTAACATACCACACCAAAAAATACACCAAACTCATCAAAAATTCAAAGTTAACACAAGGGAAAAAAAAAAAAAAAAATTGCTAACCCACCACCAGCTCCTCGGGCCCCAACATCCTCCCCTCCCTAACCTTCGTCTCCGGCACCGTGACAATCGAGCCCTGGAACACAGACTTCAACTGCTCGCGTCTGATATCGCAGCAACAGCAAGGCCTAATCAACAACCTCCACTGCAACGGCACCACCTCCACAAGCACCACAAGCTCTCCGCCGTCCCAATCATCATCGTCATCACCGCCACGCGGTGGCGGCGGTGGTCTATCGACAGCGGCATCAGCCGGGATCGGCGTCGGCGTCTCCCTGGCGGTGATAGGCGGGCTAGGCATATGGTTATTCATCTATTTCCGCCGGCGCTTCGCGGCTCTCGAGGCCCATCGCCCGCCACCCTCCCCTCCGCAATCATCGTTTTCTCCGGCCCGGGGTCATGAGGACGCGGCAGGGTGGCCTTTACCTAACGACAGCGGCGGCAGTCCGCGACCGAGGAGAGTGACAGGGGGAGAATCCATTCAGGAAGCCAACACGAGTCTAATTCTAGAGAAAGACGGCCCTTACATCCAGACTTCGCAGGAGTTGTACGTTCCGGTCTTACCCGCTGAGATGCCCGTCACTCACGTGTCGCACGAGATGTACGTGCCGCCGGCGGAGCTCCCGGCTGGTGACCCGCGGTCACGAGGGAGGAAACATCTCGCCGGCGCTCCTATGCTGACTAAATAATCATGGCTCCTACTGTCATGTTTATCAAAGCAGGTAGTGGGACTTTCCATGAAAATATAGATTACAATTTTACTATTTTAGACCTAATTCTTCTTGAGCAGAAATAGATGGACTATATAAACAAGCCCCGTATACACATGACGATGTGCGACAAATCTGCCCGCGACAAAAGTATTCCGTAGCTACTTAATCGGCATGAAATTATTAATTAGTAGCATATAGCTTTCGTCGCCGAGTTTGATAGGCTAGCGTAACCCTTTCGTTGCGCAGGCTGGGAAGCACTCATCTAACTCTGCCAGTCCGCCCCATATTATCTATGCACTCCCGCAAGCGAAGACCTGTGAGCTACTTCAGCTTCCTGGGTGAGTTCGGAAGAGATAGCATCCTCTTCCCTGTCTTTATGTACCCTTGACTGAGATTAATATTGGATTGACAGATCATTCTAGCTCAGTGTCATACACATTAGACCTGTAGGTTCAAGACACATAGGTTCTGGCTGCGATAGCGGACACTAGCCGTCAAAGCGGAATCTAGACCCTTCTAACTGGCCAAGCCCGTCTCGAGGAGCGACGTATCTTCTACGGTACGTGTTCGTAAAGTCTTGCATAAGGGAACGAATCTGCCGTACATCACCAGTATCGTTGGCATTTAGCTTGCTCTTTATTTTCGCAATTAGGCGATCAACCTCAACCGGGGTGATAGTTCCGGCCGGGAGCAAGCGAAGAGTTTGATCAACTTGAGCCAGGGTCTCATCTGGCAACACTTGGAATAATGCAAGTAAAGCGCCACTTGCATCAGCAAAGCAATCGCCGGGGAATGTGATCATCATGCCGGCGAGAATACGTGTAACCAAAGTCAACCCCTGGGCCCTCAGAACTGACTTGACAATGGCCCCGAGCTGTTCAGCATCGGCTGGCGAAATGGAGTCGGTGCGCGGAGGTGCTTGACCGTCAGCCCACGCCAAAACGTCGCGGATATAATGAAGAGTAGCTGTTAGAGGCTCGCGCTGTTCTAACGTCAAGACAGAGGTAGCAGCTTCGAAGACCGGAGAGAATAGGGGGGAAGGGATGAATTTTTGCGGGAAATAGAGTAGCCCATCAACAAGTAGGCGAAAGAAGTCTTCCGTGACATCAGGGAGCTCTTGCGGTGTTAAATCGCTAATAAAACGTAGCACATTTGTTGCCTGTGCTTCGAAGAATTGGTAGATGTTCTCTGTCATAGTCGGCTCGACGCGGTCTCGGTCATCAGCAAACTCTCTTAGAATCGCGCCAGTGACCCATAAGAAGCAACCTTGTTTAGAGCTGACGAATCCGTTCGCAAGTTGATCAGCCATGGCAGGCAATATCGGCGCCATGGCTCCCCTATGGGCTATTACCATCAATCTCCAACAACGACATACTCTTTCACATATCGGAGCGAAGTCTAGGAAATTGCTCAAGACTTTGGCGAGGATAGGGAATACTTCTTGCCAGTATCTGATTGCAGGATCTTCCTCGCCTTTCTCGGCGGGAGGAAGGGTGACTACAATGTTTCCAAAAATGGTGATCAATTGTAGGTGGTCCGCAAGGGCTAATTTTCCTTCATGGTCTACGGCGTTATTCGCCTTGACCATGAGCCGCTGGATCAATGGTTCGCAGAAGAGTTTAAGAAGTCTGTATATTTCACTCTTCGGTTGCACCGATACGACGTAGGCAGCCCCTTCGGTGATCTCCTCTTGGCTGACTGGAGGGATTTTGTCGAGTATTTGGTCATAAAATTGTTGCAGCTGAACTACCTGCTCGCTCAACAGGTGCTTGCAATCGGTGCAGAAATATCTCAGCGCCATGGCAGCGGCCTGAAGAATCTCTTTCGAGGTAGTTCCAAACGAGGACACAATGTAATTGAATTGAGCCATTAGGAATTCAGGATGATCAGCGGTCCATTCCGTATACCTGCCGAGTACCATGATAGTGGCAAAGCGCAATTTCTCGTGGCTTGGCATCTGTACAAGAAGTGGCATGAGCTGCGGAAGGACAGTATTTTCATCCTTCTCCACCTTGCTACCCATTGCGCGCATGGCAAAAAGCGGCGCTTCCAGTTTCTGCCAATGTGGCACGTTGAGATCGGTCGCCATACTTGCATACCTCTCCATCCAAACTTTGATGGCGTCGAGCACTTTTGTGAGACACGCAGTCACACCCAAAACTTCACATGAGTCTTTGAGAGTATCGCCCATGTGATGGCGAAATTCGCGGAATTTTTCTTCTGCCTCTCGATCTCCATCAAATAGATCCTTCTCGTTTCCTGACTCGGTCTCAGGGAACTGCAGGTGTTGAAGAAGTACGTCAACGAGTTTCGAATAGATATCGGCAAGCTCGAGTCTCCCTTGAATATACTTATCGATAACGAGGTATAGTTTGAGTTCATACCAGAATTCAAAAGTGTTGTCGATAACATCCCTGTCCTTATCCCTCGCAGCGCATTCAAGAATAGCTTCAACTAAGGGTCTGAAATGGGTGGTCTCGCGCGCAATGGCAACAACCCAGGCAATACCCGCTTCTGCGAACACCCTAGTGAGAAATTTGTAAGATTCGATGTCCTCTTCCTCTACAAGTTTCTGGATCTTTGGACGTAGCGCGATGATTTTAGGGAGTAGGACTTGTATTGTATCGAAGTTGTCATCAACGTCTTTTGTCTCTCTCGTGATGGTGCAAATACACTCTGCAGCCGCCTGCATAGACCGATCTGTATCTAGGGCAGTGAAGATAAAGTTTAATAGGGGAGAGTTGACAATCTCATTGATCGGGACTTCTCGCAGCCATGATGTTATGCACTCGTAAAGCTGGGGGTTCGTGGCAGCCTCCGCTAGATTCCCAAGTTTAGCTTCAAAGTCTTAAATATAATGGAATGGAGCAGACTTACGAGACGACTGTGCGTAGTTGATGAGGAGTTGAACTACCTGTGGTGCGTTGTCTTGCAGAAGCTCAGTTGTCCTCTGGCTGAGCTCTTCTTCCTAAATAAGAATCGATTAGACTATAATCCAACGCTTGTCGTTTGCCACCACGGAGCACCGCCGAAAAATGACGAGGCAAAGGTCGTGCTGGTGTGTTTCGATCCACGTACTGTCAGGGTGATTTTGCGTCCCTCGGTCACCTCTTCCGGAAGGACTCTGAGGAAGTCTAGAATGCAGGCATGACTTTCGATTTGGCTACCGAGCGATGATACTACTATAGCTAGAACATCTTTCCATTCTGTCATTTGGATGGCCAAAATAGCCAAGCATACGCAGAGCTGGACTCTGATAGGCTTAGGGCCAGGCGCATATAGTTGTAGGAGTTCAAGAAGCTGGTTGCGCACAGTGACCAACTCATTCCGGGGAACCTGGCTCTGGAGGTCAAACGTGATCTGGCGTTGAATTCATCGGTCAGCCCAAGGTCGCTCGTGTGGCATTCTAGAGCGTGGGACAGCAGTACCTTTCCTTTCAGAGTAGTAGCGGCGAAGAGTTTATCGGCGGGATCAGCGCCAGATTTCAGTATGTTGATGGATTCAGCCCATGCGGCCGTCTGACATGAGAGGTTAGCAGTATGAACTTGAACTTGTTGTCGTATAGCAGATAGCAGGCGGTGATGCACTCACCGACTTCTGGAACTCTCCCAGATATTTTGTCGCCCTCTCCTTCTTGTCCGAGTCCCCACCCCGCATGGTCAGCATGGCCTGGAGCACATCTGCCAGCACGAAAGTCTGTTGCGCGCCGTTCGTAGCCATGATGTGCAATGTGTGCTGGGTGAGATCAGGTCAGAAGCTGTGGGGTGGGTACGCAGGATGATAGCAGAAGGCGTTGCTGCCCTGTGAGGTCCGCGGCGAGCGCAAGGCAGCGAGCGCAGTGAGGCGGAGAGATGCCTGCAAGCACAAGCAGGACGGCAACAACGGTAGCAGATGTGAGTAATGCGCCGAGTTGGACTGCGTACAGCTCTACGTAGTAGACGGGGATGAATGGGCCGCAGAACTCGCCGAACAAGGGGAGATGGTAGAATGGATGTCGGGATTTTGATGATGGGGGGAGCTTTGATGTCACTGAGGCAAGAGCAAGAGAAAAGGAGGGGCCAATAAAAACGATGCAAGGTCCTCTTGGTATGGTACCTAGGTAACTACTATGTACATGCCTTAGGCAACTATAGGTAGTATGTGTTTTGGCCTGTGAAGATTTGACCGGAGGCTCATAAGTACATTAGATAGGTACATGTGGCTTGAAATACTAGGACCCGTCTCATCTTGAAGTAGGAAGGTACCTAGGTACCTAGATCACCACTGCTTGGAGGGGTCCAAAATGTGGCACAAGCACCGGTTGGATTCCACTATTCGAGTGGCTGGAGCTGTTTCGATGAGTCAGCTATCAGCTTCTAGGACTCTTCTAAAGCACTGTACCTACTGTGTAAGTAGGTACCTAAGTAGGCTGCTAAGAGCCCCAAAGCTGCCTTACTTAGGTAACTAACACACCTGCTAATGCGCCGTGGCAGCGTTCTCAGTAGGTAGGTACATTTAGAACTAACCCTCCAGGCAAAGTCGAACGAACAGCCTTGCCAAATCTCGGAATCGAGCATCGACACGACACGCCCTTGACCACCTCCCACCAACTGCACGTCCAAACAAACCAACAGCTGTACTCCAATCACCAGTAGCCGTTCGCAATTTCCTTCCCAGGACCCAATCCAGTCGTATCGACCGCCGACTTGACTTTTTTTCGCACAAGATGACAGGCCGTGGAGGTGGTGGGCGCAAGGTCCTACTACCGCCTATCAACTTCATCTTCAAGCTCCTACAGACTCACGCGCCCGTCAAGATCTGGCTATACGAGCAGTTGTCAATTCGCATCGAGGGAAAGATCAGGGTGGGTTGAACCTGCGCCTTCAGCCCGAATTTGAATTTCCCAATGTTGGACAGTGAGCTTACGCGTGTTGTGTCACAGGGTTTCGACGAGTTTATGAACCTGGTTATAGACGATGCGGTCGAGGTCAAGCAAGTCACCAAGACAAATCCCGAGGAGAAGAGAAGAGAGCTGGGTTCGTCCATTCTGGAAATTCTAGGCAATAGGGAGAGCAAGGGCTAATCTTTTAATTTCCAGGACAAATTCTATTAAAGGGCGACAACGTGTCCTTGATTCAAGAAGTCAAATAAGACAAAAGATAACTCAAGACGACGCATATCCCTCATAACAAAAGAAGGTTTTCTCACGCCGTGCTATATCGGGACGGCATAGCCCTCCACGGCGGATGTCTCGATGAAATGACAGGGTCTAGGTTGAATGACATGGCACAAGTGAATAATTAGCATACTTGTTCTAGTCTATGCTGTTGCTAATAGACTGTTTAATTTGGCCATCGCCCAGGACGATGCCATCTAAGGGCTGATCATGGGGTCCAACGGGGACAGCCTCCCCGGAGGTTGGAGAGAGAAGCTGTTCTTTGAGGGCGAGAGCATATAGCAATACAGATGAACCATCACGAGATGGCGCTGAAGTTTTCTCGGTCCGGACAGCCAGCGCATAGCGGTGTAGGAAATAGTCGTAGAAACCTTTGCCATGACCGAGCCTTCGCATGGCGCCGGTCTCGGGGTCAAAGTCAAACGCGACGCCGGGCATGAGGATTAGATCGAGCGATGCATCCGTGGCACTCTCCCCGCCCAGCTCACCTATGCTGCGCTGTCGTTCGTGAACGGTGGCACCGTCAACGCTCGGAATGCCCCACTTATCCCTCTGCAGGGACTCGTAGTCTTCAACGTCCCTCAGACTTACCATATCCATCAGTCGCATAGGCCCTTCTCCCGGAGGTAGACCAGACTTGTGAAGGTAAGGTACGAAAACCCGCTTTCCGGAGGCCAGGGCATGTCTGACGATAGAGTCGGTTTGAAGCTCACAACCGGGCATGGAGAGATAGACGCCTAGCGATTTGGCATCCTGATATGGCTTGAACCTCGACAGGGCATCGAAGGCAGCATTACCTAGACCGTGGCGATGTGATTTAGAGAGGGTGGCTCCGCCGATGTCGTGCGGGGTCGGACTGGCTTACTCTGGGCTGTTATGACATCTGGCGAGAGGGTGGAAAGTCTCTGTTTCATGAGCGAACGCAGGCGAGTCTTGGCCACATGTAGTGTCGAAGAGTTCATTTCGGGGGGTTGGCGCTGTTGGTCGTCCGGCATGCTCGGTGTATCCCGTGTACTTAAGCAGTGACAGACCAGGGCGGATGAGGGAGTTGGGTGGGTGAATGGGATGATGTCCGATGCTGATGTGGATCTCCGGCTGCAACCTCACGTCTCCCGACAGCGTTACCTGCTAGACCAGAAGTAAGTATTCACAATGGCCACAGCTGTAGGTATGGTTTTCTTTTCGTTAATCATCATCTCGGTAAACCTACCGGTGTAGATGTACAGTATGTGCGGCCTGTTCTTATCAGATCAGTCGGAGGACAAGCAGTGGATGGCTTCAATGTGTGGCTGCAGGTACTTCGAGGGAGGCAAGGGCCGGCGGTAACACGGAGACCTGTAAGTGGTACCGGTATCACACTCCGTGCGCGTGACAAGTATTGGCAGGTACACCGGTCTAGTACAGGTACTACTTGCCTCTTGATAAAGCAGTAGTAGAAAAGAGACCTGGGTTCGAGAAATCCCTAGATTACAATATGGTTCAGGCTTGGAATTCGCCGTAGAGTGTAGCTAAACTAAGCTACAGACAGCATCACGTTGCAGTAGGTAGGGTGAGTGCTATCGGTTCCAATGTTGTAACTGAACCACTCTACAGAAGAGCATTGGGTGAAGTTTTGACACATAGATTGTATTATACCCTACTACACTCGCATATGTAGGTACTTACATTGGTGCGTATGTGGGATTTTTTTCTAGAGGAGGTAACATCGTGGATCCTGTGGTAGTAGTTTCCTCCGTAGGTGTAGTGCACTTCCGAATACATAGGTACATAAGTACTTAGGAAGCTGCGGCAATACATAGGATAGTGGGATAAATACCTAGATCTACTTCTATCTGCCACTTAGAGTCTACACTACTCTACCTAAAGGAGACGTCCCTGCCAAAATCGGTCAAGTACCTAACTAGGTACTCTCCTACCCCCCTGTTAAAGGTCCCTAGTCAGGTATTATGGGCCCAGGTCAGCCTTAGCACTTCAGACAACTGGGTCATAAAGTGAAGTAAGATACATAGGCAATTCGCATAGAAACTGCACTCTACGCTATATTCAGTAGTCGATTAGCCCAAATGACTGCTTCACAACGCTTCTTCGTAGTTAATCTTCTCTAATAGCTTTATATACTTCCGTAACCTACTTATATATATTATATCAAGGCCTTCCAATATAAGATATATGAAGAGCTATTAATATAGCTTAAGCTTAGCGATAGTTTTAATCCCAAGGTTTTTAAAAGTTAGTCGTAAGTCACTCGAAGGATAGCAAAAGTATCTCTGCTCGCAGGGGTCTAGAAACTATACTATAATAGGTGTAGTTTCAAGGTCCCTGCTAGCGTAGATACCTGACTAGGTCCCTTTTTCTAGCCTACAACCACGTACCTAATCTACTGGGTCCCTGGTAGTACCAGTATGGAGAGTACCTTGGCTCAATTTTCGAGATGTACTTACCGCTTAACAACCGAATAACACCATGACCTGTCCTGCATTACATATGCGGATAACTGACCTTGGGCTTTGGGCATTGGCTGGATCCGATCGTGGAGCTTGCTGCTGTCGAATTTTCGTGATCGCGCTTTTATCTAATCCATCAATCTAATCAATCTTCGACTTTGCGCTTCGTAACACAAATACCAGTACTGGCAATGACAAGGATTCATCCACTATCCATCCTAGCACATAGGTATGACGTCCGTTCATCGGTCTCGTTACCGAGTGAGCCTCGGACCGCACATCGCTAAATTCTTATTCAGCTACCCACCCTGGGCAGTAAGAATTAAACGAGCAACATGGACTCGTCACTTCGATATTCGGCCTTCGTGTGGATGGTGTGTAGACAGTGCTTATCAGCCCGGCTCAGCTCGTCTTACCTCGGGCATTTACAATATTCTACCATTTGCCTACCTATCTGATCAATAGCGCCCGCCATCTTCCCTGCCTAGCCCTGCGAGCGCTGTACTTTCCACGGCTGTTGTATGATTTATTTAACTTTTTTCCCATTAATTCGACTCCAGGGTCCACCTCGCTTTCTGTATTAATACGGGCCCATGCCGACTAATGCCTCGCGCTTCGTCGACTACTCCTACAAGGGCAAAAGGCCGTCATGATTCATGCCATGTACTTTCTTCTTCCTGTTCATCGCCTCCACCCTTTGACCTGGATCCCCGAAATAGTCAAGGCGTCCCTCTTAAGGCGATCCATCCGCAACGTATACGGCCCATTCCTCTAGGTTAGCCAATTCCGTTTTCCTGTTGTTCAACCACCCCCCTCAAGCTCCACCACAGCTGCTTGATCTGTTCAAGCCCCCACGCCGAGTCTCAACATACAGTAGCTGTCATTCGCCGACCTCTAACTGCAGTCCAACACCAGTTCCAACGGAAGCTCTCTCTCGGATCTCTGATGTCTCGAGCCCATCCAAGCCCACAACCACAGCCGCTACCGGTAATATAACACACCCCGCTCTTCCCATCTCGAGCGATGCTTCTCATATATCCCGTTCTCCAGACGAGGCGAGCTCGCTGTCAGATGCCCATGATCCTAACGTGATCATGTCCAAAGCACCCCTGCTATTGCGCTCCTCGCCAGGCTTTGGCACAGGGTCATATGGCGCGGCCCCCGTTACCCTCGATACAGACAGCGATGGTAACCATCATTCTCCTACAGCTGCCCTACTGAATAGGGATAGCACTGAGATAACTTCGGAGAGACGACGCCAATCCATCGCTAGTACAATTCACTCCTCGACTTTCTGTACGAGCACGTCTTCAGTAAGTCGAAGACGAAGGAGCCAGTCGGAACAGATCAACAGGGCCTCGACTGTCGTGGGTGGTCTAGAAGGCCGCTTCGGCGTATCCGACAACCCCGTTTTAAATGATATCTTGTCTGATAATAATTCAGACAGCTCTACCGTCAAAGGGAGCGCAAGTGGCGAGGAGGATGGTAATGCCACTGATGTGGCACAAGACGAGGATCCCCCCGATAATTCGATTTATCCCCAAGTTCGCGCTTCAGTCGCTCCAACCGATAATGTCACCCTGTCTATCAACACCCCTCGCATGTGGATTTTGTCCTGTCTGTTCTCGATTCTTGGATCTTCAACCAATCTCTTTTTCTCTTTACGATACCCCAGCGTTGCGATTACACCTGTCATAGCCCTGCTTCTTGTACACCCCTTGGGTCTCTTATGGGATTATACGCTCAAACGACCTGATGACCCTCTGGAGGACTTCATAGATGGCACGCGTGTCTCTATATTGACCCCGAGCACCGAGTCTTCGCCTAGTCTTGGAGAGGAGAAGAGGAGTTGCGCACAACGTCTACGGCTCTGGCTTGCTCAGGGGTCGTGGAACGAGAAAGAACATAGTTGCGTCTATGTGAGCAGCAATGTCTCATTCGGATTTGCATTCGCAACCGATATCATTGTTGAGCAGACCCAGTTCTATAAGCAGGAGGTTGGCATAGTCTATCAACTCCTGCTCACCTTATCCACACAAATACTGGGCTATACGTTTGCTGGTTTGGCAAGGAGATTCTTGGTCCGCCCAAGCGGTATGATATGGCCCGGTACCCTCATGTCAGCAGCCATGTTCACCACACTCCACAGGGAGCAAAATGAACCCGCAAACGGGTGGAAGATTAGTAGATGGAACTTTTTCTTCGTCATCTGGCTTTCCGCTTTCGTCTTCTATTTCCTCCCGGGGCTGTTGATGCCAGCGCTGAGTTACTTCAACGTGATCACTTGGTTTGCTCCAGATAACGTCGTGGTCGCGAACTTATTCGGGGTTGTCTCCGGCCTGGGTCTGTTTCCAATCACATTTGACTGGGCGCAAATTGCATATATTGGTTCTCCCTTGCTTACTCCTTTCTGGGCTTCCTTGAATGTCATTGGTGGCTTGGTGATAGTCATGTGGGTTATCGCCCCAATCGCATACTACTGCAACTTGTTTTACTCATCTTATATGCCCATTCTTTCCGCTTCGGTATTCGATAATAGAGGACAAATTTACGACGTAGGAAGAATTCTCACTCCTGATTTCCTCTTTGACAGGGATGCGTACTCAAAATACAGCCGTGTGTACCTGCCTATCACTTATGTACTTAGCTATGGACTCCAGTTCGCAGGTCTAGCATCACTCCTGACACATACCGCGTGCTGGCACGGGAAAGATATCTGGACACAGTGGAAGAAGTCTCTCAAGGAGGCAGGGGAAGAGAATGAGCACGCTTACCAGCCCTTGCGGGACGAAGGAAATGGGTTTGCGTCTATCCGAAGAAGCGACAGCGGAACAACCTCCAACGCGAATATCGACGATCTACTTAGCCGTGAGGATGTTCACAATCGTCTAATGAGGAGGTACAAGGACGCACCAATTTGGTGGTATCTGTTGACATTTATATCCATGACGGCGATTGGTATCTTTGTCGTGGAATAGTAAGTGCCCTCTGATAATCAGCTCCAAACTCCTAGACTCATGCCAGTTGTCCTAGTTATCCTGTTCATTTGCCATGGTATGGGCTGCTGCTTGCTCTAGGAATATGTTCGATACTCTTTATACCTATTGGTATTGTTATGGCAGTGACAAATCAGCAATGCAGCATCTATCTCATATGTCAACTGATATGCGGTGCGGTGTTCCCAGGGCGTCCGGTCGCTAATATGGTCTTTGTGACCTACGGATACATCTCTTCTGCACAAGGAATCAAATTCGCGGCAGATCTGAAGCTAGGACACTACATGAAGATCCCGCCTAGGATCCTATTCATGGTTCAAATGGTAGCCACAATCATCTCCTCGGTTACGCAGATTTCCGTGTTGAACTGGATGTTTCGGAACGTTCCGGGCATCTGCACCCCTTCGGCCATCAACGGCTTCACCTGTCCCATTGCCCGCGTTCACTTCAACGGCTCGATATTGTGGGGTGTTGTTGGGCCAGCGGAATTTTTCGGGCCCGATGCAATCTACAGGCCGCTGGTGTGGTGCTTCTTGATTGGCGCAATCGCTCCCATCCCACTATGGTTACACGGCCGTCGCAAGAAGCACAGCATTGTGCGAAAGATCAACCTCCCGGTGCTGTTTGGGTCGCTCAGCTGGATTCCTCCGGCAACAGGACTCAATTTCTCGGTTTGGGCGGCGGTCTGCTACATCTTTAACTATCTGATCAAGAATCGAGCGAACGCCTGGTGGGCGAAGTATACAATGACACTTAGCGCGGCACTGGATTCAGGCTTGGCGTTCGGCATCGTCGTCGTATTCTTCGGTTTCATTTATCCGGGCTGGATGGACAGCTTCACTTGGTGGGGGACGGAAGTCTATAAGCAGGGATGCGACTGGCAGGCCTGTGCATACCGCACGGTGCCGAATGGGTCTCATTTTGGTCCCGGCTCCGGCTGGTAGATGAAGGCATGGCTTATGAGTGTGTATAATTACATGTGAAGATGGGGATGGAGACGATTGTCGCATGGTTGTTGGATTGAGAGGTTAGCATTATCTGGCGTTTGTTTGGACTCATTGCTAGAAAAGCGTCTGTCTTTAAGGGACATATACATATACCATCTCACATAGATCTACAAGACTAGAATACCATTCAACACGCAGATTCTTGCATATTCAAGGGCTCTTTCTTCCATATTGCTCGGAGGATACATGATAGCATTATTCAGATATGACTGCCCATACTTTACTGGATGGACCGTTGCGAACGTTAAGCACCTGCAACTTGATACCTTCTCAGCTTGTGGAACAGATTAGAAAAATGGTATCGATGGGATTTCTCGATTATCAATTCACGGGCACCTGGCGGCAACAAGCTTGGAGCAAGGCCTCACGAGTCACCACTCCATTTCTTCTCACCGTCCGGAAAGTGATTCTCCTTGTCTGGTGCGAGTGTGATTCCTAATTATCTCATTTTAGCTTTGATGCTGGACTTGATGATTATTGAATGCTCGGTGATATAACAGCCAGGAGAGAACTCCCCTTGGCGCAGAATTGTTGCTCATGTCCCAGTGATGGTATGAAGTAGGTAGATGTTATAAATGTCTTCATTCATTTAGAATAAACGGTGTTTTGTCAGCAGCCAGAGGAGTGTTGGTAAGGAGACAACCAAACTACGAAATTGACATACCTACCCGACGTAATAAGACACCGGCTGACTCGGTTCTGATTTGGCAACAAAGAGGTTAGTAGATTGTAGTGTTTATGTTAGCAAATGAACAGTAATTAGTTCAGCAGAGTGCAGGGCTTGACTGCGCATGTTTACAAGGGCTGATACCTTGGAAGGACTGCGTGTTGATGGCCACTGGTAAGGATTGATCAACAACGTTCAAAAATCCAAGTGTTAAATATTTCTTAAGATTTATTCTGCTAATATCCTCTGCTGAACGCCCCCCGTTTCTAAATCTCACTCAGCGTTATTACCCTTAAGCATGATGCTTTGCTTAAGTGGGAATAATTAATAGCAGTTCTTCTTCCTCTTCTTCTTCCAAACATGCTACATGGACTTGACAACAGATAGTCCATTATCTCGGTCTTACCTTCACAGAAAGAAAGTGAGCTACTTCCAAGACTTCCGCTCAGAGTACCTTAGCTACGTAGGTAGCTTTTCCAAAAATTTACCCATGTTTGTAGGTACCTTCCCATTTACGACGCAAACAACAGCGACATCATCAAGTAGGCACGTTCTTCTGCTTACTAGTTCTTTAAGTGCCTTCCAAGTTACAATTCCTAAGTGAGGTGAGGTTGTATGTACCTTGTATTACATCCAATGTTGATTTTCAAGGCAGGAGCGGACTATCCTTTGTACGTACCCACGTTGGGCAACTGGCTACCTATCTACCCATATAAACACATATGTATATTTCTCTTCCTTCTTCTCTCTCTATTCTCTTGTTTTCTCCACCACCACAACTTCTCAAACACCCATCACGTCCAGCTGGTCCACATCCGCCTTTACAAGGGCAGCCTTCGCCAAGGTATATGACTGCGTAAATATATAGTCTTGGAAGCCTTTTACGTCAGACTAACGATATACAGAAATCAGCTCTCCGGCAGTTTGGTCGTCGTGAGGGTTACTGCTCTACTCACTTTTGCCCAAAGCACTCCTACCTCAAACAGCGCCTTCTCATTAGAGAATTTGATCTGCCTGCAGATTACTATTTACTATCTAGTCTTTACCCATTCCCCAATCGTTACCACCAAAGATACTTCCCCAGCCGTTCATTATGCGGCTACCAGTTGAGCTCTGGGATATGGTTCTCGAAGACCCTGACTTAACTCTACGGGACCTGCATAACTTGAGACTTACCTGCAAATCATTAGCTGGCCTCACCATGCCGGAAAGGTTCGTTCTCACCGTCTCACGATTCAAGAAAGACCGAGATAGATTCGAGAAGGTTGCCCGCAGCTCTTCGCTCTCCAGGCATGTGAGAAAAATAATTTGGGAGAATCTTGATCTTGAGGCGATCAACCCACTCAAATTGCACCTATTACTGGCTGCGTGCGATGAAGATATATTTTGGGCGCCGTTAAGGTACTTAGGCGGACAGACTACGACGTCACATTGGCTCGTAGCAGGAACCAAGAAAATGCCGAATCTCAGAATTATTTTAGTTCGTTATATGGATGAGACACGAAAAATCCACTACAAGGACGAAGAAATTAGCGTAGCGCAGTACACGTCTAGCAGAAGATCAAACCCCAGGTTTTATGATTTTGACCTGCCGGCGCTCTCCTCTGTACTCTGTGATCCTGAGTGCCAAGTACGGAGCTTTACCATACTTATCGGTACTGGCTTGTTGTATGCAACTGTACCCATCGATTCATTCCAGCATTTGACATCGATCGAAATTGGTCTCTTTTGCGGGTTCTGCGAGGGTCATAGCTACTTGATCTCAAGGCTCCGACGCGCGAGGAATCTGAAAAATCTCAAACTTCGCATTTTGCCCCAGGATGAACGAGATGTAGCCCGGGAGACCGAGATTGAAACTAACAATAGACAGGTCGGCTACCGAATCAGAAAAATGTGCACTGCTACCTTTCTTCAAGAACTAGTTGACGATATACACTGGCCTCACTTGCGCTCATTCCATCTAGCAGGCTGTCACGGGGACAACTGTCCCCCAACAGAACCTAGTATCAGACTTAAACGAGAAGTCGCTTCACTGCTCTCAAACAACAACAATAACAACTACTCCTTCAATAACAACCGCAACATTGCTCGAGCAATTAATGCTCTTTGTCGGCAGCTGAAAGACCTCACTCTAGATGAATGTAGTGTTACTTGTGGGGTCCTCGATCAATTGAGAAAACCGTATCGGAAGTTTCCCCAGCTTCAATCCTTCAACATTCAACCCAGAGATCACACCGGCAGTTGGAGAATCGCATTGCCCGAAACCAAAATTCTCGCATACCTGAAAAACGAGATTGAAGATCTACAGATTGAGACATCTCATCCTAGAAGTCGCCTCTATGTATACACAGAATAGGAGAGTCAGTGCCTTTGGCGTTAGCTTCCCTATGCCGTCATTATTCATAAGCCCCCAGGTACGTAGTAAACTGCAGACAGTTCAATATCAGCTCCGCCAAGGCACTCGTCGTTATAGTGATGTTTTTACATACAAATGTTGAAGTGTGGGTATGGAAGCCTCCAGGACTGGAGGTTCTGGGACGCCGCCTTGAGCGCGGCACGGGACATAGCTAAACTAAAATACTAGTAGTACATTTGACGAACCCTGCCCATAACGCATCCGTCGGTTAGCGCGGGCCCAGACTCGATTCGACGATAACCTATTCATAGTTTAACAAGCCAGTAGCACGTCGATAGCTGTCATACCTGAAACACCATCTGGCGTCTAAGGGACTGGAGCCTCCCACAAATCGTGATAGATATCTACTTTCATCCTCATCCATTCCATCTCGTACGCAAATCAACACCTGACGTACGCATGACTCACCGACTATCAGAGCGCCATCAACCAATGGACCGCTTAGAGAGATTAAAACGTCAAACCCGTGAATCTCGCTTGAGAACCGCCACCGTGGGAACAACACCTAGGGGCAGTACCAACACCCCCCAACCTGCAGCAAAGGCGACGCGTCAGAACCATCGCCGCGCACGCAGGAAGAGGAACGTAATACTCGTGAGTTTTCTCTATCCGTCCTGAGGTGCCCTAGCCTAGGCTAACCCGGTGGCTAACTCTCAGTGCCGTACCCAAGAAGCCTATACCTGTCAGCTGTCACTGCTGATCCTCCTCCCCACCCGGTCCTATGACACCCTCCACCCCGTCCACCAGGATGACTTTCAGCGCAGCATCGAATTCGATTATGCCACCTTGCCGAGAACTAGCCGTCGTGTCTCCTTTGAGAGCCTCTTAAAAAATCTCTGCTATCAAGACACCATTGCCATCCAGTTACCTTATCTCAATGCGCTCGAAGAGAGTCTCGTCGATGCCCTACAACTTCTACATTCCCACAATATCTCATTTCCCGTCTCGGCCGAGGACATCGAATTTTCGCGGCACTGGGACGGCGACCGTGGTGATATAAGATCCTTTAAGCTTTTTCTCCCATTTAACAAGAAGGCCAGCTGGACTTCTAATCACTTGCCGCTAACCTGGAAGGCTGAACAACTATCGAACGCCAAATCGATTTTCTTCATTCCCAAGGTAAAAACTTCCGACCCTGCGCCGTCTCATCTCATCTCATCTCGCTTGCGTCCCGCTGACCTCGTCTTAATCCATAGTTACTCGCTCGACTTGGTGCCTCGCCAAAACCTACTCTACTAGATCATGTGAGCCAACAGGCCCTCGCCACTTACTTGAGGGAAAGGCCAACCTTCCACCACGACAAATATTGTTTAGGCATCACCCCCATCACTGCAAAGCTCGCTCACCAAATTGCCTACAACCTCGTCATGCGCAATATGGCCAAAGAGAGCTGCGAGATCTTGGAATCTTTTTTTGGCGGACCTATGCCACTGCCCGAGCCAGGCACACCACCTGACGCGACTTGCAGGACCTTGTCCGATTTACGCGCCCGCGCAGTCGAGTCTGGGAAAGACCATGGCAGTAATACTATACTGTATCAAGCCTTGGAAGCCAAGCTCCTGGTCGACTCTCCTGCAATGGTTACGCGATTCGTCTGCTGCAAAGCGAAGGTTGCGTCCGTTCTTAGAGACCCCGACAAGAGACAGTGGTGGCTCACAGCAATGGATCTATATGACGCTTTCCTCTCTAGCCAGGGGCCAAGCTCGAGGCTGGAGAGGGTCTGCGCCTTTGACTTAAATCATTATCGGGATGAATAGACTTAATACTGAGTATACTTGTATACCTAAAGAAAATAGACCACTTAGTCTGGAGAAGCATAACATATGTGCTATTTCTAAGACGTCGAATGAATTCCGGTTATTATCCTTAGCGCTGTTGCCATGCTTTCACATACGATTTGCCACCTCTTTCAGGTCAGACTTGCAAAATGTTATATGGCAATAGCAATCATAGGATGCCATAGAAACCAAGCATCCATTGATGGTTTCTTTGTAAACTTAACACAATTTTTAGTTCGTTGATTTTCCTTGGTAATACCTCATACTTTTCTACCAGAATGGCTAAAGACGATGTGTAAAATGAACCAGAATCAATCGGAATTGTTTTTATTAGAGGTCTCTACTTCTGTTTCACACGCCCGCGCAATATGCCCGCCTCATACGAGAGGCGGCACGGTAAGTCGAGCGGATAATCTTGCTATCGTCTTCCCCCTCGCTTATTAACCTCGGTGTGCCCTATGTCAAGAGTAGTACATGTGATCCCATTAGATTATCTAGAAGTCTAAGTTACAATACAGTTATCCGGCTGGATAAAGGTCTTATATACAAATTCCTAGCATTCCAATATATGGAACGCAAGTATTACCGCCTTCCCTTTCTAACACTCCTTCTTAATCCTTATACTAATTAATACTATAAATCTTAATCAACTCCCTTTTAAGGGTAGCTTACTTTAAAGTAAGTTATATAGTTATATTAAATAATATAAAGGTAATATTTTAAAGGATGCTTATTAAAATAAAATAAATAAAGTAAAACTTTTTAAAAGTTAAATTATTTATAACTATTAAGTAATAAATAAAAGTAATATTAAGTTTTTTAAAATAGGATATTATAAAGGGTAAAAGTTTTATTAATATTACTTTTAAATTACTATTTATAATATAAAGCTTTTAAAATTAAAGTATTATAATATATAATAGCTATAATATATTATATAGTTATTATTTTTATATAACGCATCTCCCACTTGACCTGGCCACCCAATTGACCTGGCCACCCCCCTAGCCCATACAAATAACGTCGGTGCGTTAATCACGTGATAATTTAATAACTCTGCGAATACTAATCGTATAGAATAATAGGATATACCATTAGATTCGTAATAAAAAGAGCTATTTAACGGTACTCTTTACTAACTTTTATGACTTATATTCGCGGAGTTATTAAGCAATACGCTAAAGTAAGCACTAAATTAATCCTTACTTAGCGCCCCTTTAGCGTATTGCTTAATATCTCGCTGAATAAATTTTATAAAAAATAATAAAAAATACCTCTGGATTCCCCTTTAACTAACGAATTTAAAGGTACTAATTATTAAATCGTACGATTGGTATTCGTAAAGTTATTAAAGATTGAAATAATAGGATTTTATATAGGTTATTGGGGTGGCCAGGTCAATTGGGTGGCCAGGTCAAGTGGGAGATGCGTTAAATATAAATATATATAAATATAAATATTCTTTTTTTCCCTTCTTTATTTTTATATTATTTATATATATTTCTATAATTACTTTTTTTAATAATTAATACTTTTATTAAAGTATAAATTATAAATAGCTTATAATTTATATTATATTAAATTATTAAGCTTAATAACTTTATTTTAAAATAGTTATAAATTAACCTTTAAAAACTTTATAGGGCTTTTTTAACTTTTATACCTTTTTTTAATTAATTATAAAGGTTATAATTTTAAATTATTATATATTTTCCTTTTTAACTTTTTTCCTTTATTATAATAATATTAAAAGTATATTAAACTTTATTTTTTACCTTTTATTTAATTAATAAACCTATTATAAATATAATAAATAAAGCTATTATAATTAAATTATTTAATTTTATAATTAATTAAAACTTCTTTAAAGTAACCTTTATTATTATATTATTATATTAATTATTTTTATAATGTTTTAAATATTATTAATATTAAAAAGCTTTAATAAAAAATATAAAGTATAAATAAATATATATTTTATTATTTATAAATAAAGCTAATTTAAAATAACTTTAAAAGGTTAATAGCTTATTATTATTATATTATAGTCACGGCTCCTAGCCTTTGGGCTAGCTATATGGATGACGTACGGGTGATAGTTCTATTCTATAGCCTAGTCAATAGCCCTGCCGAACCTCCGGAAGCCTATTCAGCCTACCATAGCATATATAGCCTAGTTGACGAAGGTTATAACCTAGCAAGTTATCCTTTATTTCGTTACTTTACAATTAATAATGTATTTCTAATATTTACCGACAACATTATATATCGTACCTGTTATAACAATTATAAGGTTCTTAATCCAGATAGCCCCCTTAATGGTTAGCCTTCGTATAGTAAAGATACCTTTATGTATAGCATTTTTATATATAATTTAAAGTTCCTTTACTTTTAATTCCTTTATGGTTTTTAATCCCTTTATGGTTTTTAATCCCTTTATAGTTTTTAATCCCTTTATAGTTTTTAATCCCTTTATAGTTTTTAATCCCTTTATAGTTAAATTAGCTATAAGTATAGCTATAAGAAATATTTTAAGCTAAAAAGAGCTATTTTATAATAAACGTTTATTATATTAAGCTATATATTATATATAATTTTAATTTAATTAAGCTTTAATATAGTTCGTTTAGGTTTTTACCTTTATTATTAAACTTAATTTTATAACCCTTTATTTAACTTTTTTATAGTTAACCTTACCTTAAATAAGAATACCCCCCTTTATTTATTTTTAGCCCCTTTTACAGCTACCTATTTTAGCTGTACCCTTTTATATAGCTAGGCTAGTTTTTTTATATTAAGTTAACTATATAATACTTATATGGATAGTAGATTAAGTCCTTAATATAAACCGTTATTAACCCTACTTTAAATAAGAACGCCCCCCTTTATTTATTTTTAGCCCCTTTTACGGCTACCTATTTTAACTGTACCCTTTTATACAGTTAAGCTGGTTTTTCTATATTAAATTAATTATATGGTATTTATATAAATGGTAGACCAGGTTTTTAACGTAAACTAGGTTTAAGGCTTAATTTAAGTAATGGTTTTTTATACTATAGCTGAATTAATACGAGACTTTAATACTTAGTTTAAATAGTTAAAGGCTATTTATACAGCGGAATTAGTAAAACTTTAAACCATTTAAAATATAGCTATTTTAGCTCTTTTATATTAACGCCTTTATTTAATTTTATTAAACCCCCCCTTAAACTTTAAGATCCCTTCTAATTAAAAAACGACCTTTATTTTATTAATTTGGATACCTATTAAATAAATGGCTACCTATTTTACTATATAGGAACATTTGGAATGCTAGAATTATAATAAGTGTAAATGTTATAACGGATTAGGTTATATAGTAGTTAATTATAAATTACTACCCTGGAAAGAATATATTAAGTTTTATAAGTAATAATTACTGCTTTAAAAGTTGTATAAGGTTATTTTTATACCTATTTTTAAGTATTTATAACTTTTATAGGGGTAGTTATAGCTCTTAACCTTTAGGCTAGCTATATAAATAATGTATAAGTAATAGTTTTATTTTATAGCTTAATTAATAGCCTTGCTAAACCTTTGGAAGCCTATTTAGCCTATTATAATATATATAGCTTAATTAATAAAAGTTATAACTTAATAAGTTATCCTTTATTTTATTATCTTATAATTAATAATATATTTTTAATATTTATAAATAATATTATATATTGCACCTATTATAATAATTATTAAAAGTATTTTTTAAAAGTTAATCCTATTATATTTAAATATATAAATATTTAAAAAATTTAATTTAAATTAATTAATAATATTTATTATTTTACTTTTTAAAGTATTATTTTAAAATATTTTATAATTTTATTTTAAACTTTTTTTAAATTATTTTTAATAATTTTTTTTAAACTTATATTTATTTTATAATTTAACTTTTAATAATTTAAATTTTATATTTTTAAATTATAAAAATAATTTTTATATTATTTATTATTATTAAAAAAATATAATAATAAAAGTATTTTAATTTAAATTAATTTTAATATAAGATTTTTTATTTAATTTTATATATAAACTATTTTAACTTTATTATTTATTTTAAACTTAATAATTTTTTAAACTTTTTAAAAGTTAGCTTTAATAATACTTTTATTAGCCTATTTATTATTTAATTAATAATTAAAATATATTTAAAATTAACTTTTTTAATAATAATTTATTTTTAATATTATTAATTTTAAATTAATATAT